CCAAAATCAAAAAAGGAACCAATGGTCTTATAAGAACCCGAAAAAAATGCTAGTGGAAAAAAACCCCATTAACCCCAACCCAACCTTTTGGTGAGAGAAATTCCCAAAAATGATTCAGGTTTCATTTTTTTTAGCGGTCTCGCTTAGAATAAAGGGGGGGTAAAGGTCCAACTTAACGGCCAGGTATTATAGGTTAAACCTTCCATGAAAAAAGAGGGCCAAAAAACCAATAAAAATCCCCCTTCGGGCCTGGTGGCCAAAAATAAAAAAAACCCCCGGATTTCCCAACCCGGGGTTTTTCCTTACACGGGGGCCACGGTTTCCTTTTTTCCCCCCCCGGGGCTTTTTCCACCCAAAAAAAGTTCCCACCAAATTTTTGGGCCGGGGATTCGGCCCTTTTCTGGGGGAAAAAAGGGCTTCCGGCCCGTCAACCAAAAGCCAACCCCCAAAAAGCCCGGTAGGATTGGAAGGGGGGGCCCAACCAAAAATCTAGGGGGTGCCATTTTTTTTCCGGCCCGGCCCATAAGGGAAGGGCTGGGGGGGGGTTTTTTGGTATTTTTTTGGAAAAATAAATAAATTGGGTTGGGGGGAAAATTAAGGAATTTGGGGGAAATTAAAAAAAAGCTTCCCTAAAAGGGGGGGTTTTCCCGGGGAAAAACTTCTAGTAAAAAGGAAATCCCGGGGGCCCCCAGAACCGGTTTTATTTTTTTTTAAAAAACAATTTTATTTCCAAAAGCCCTGGGTGGGTTTTTTTTTTTTTTTTTTTTTTTTTTTTTTTTTTTTTTTTTTTTTTTCGATTAATATTCAATACTTAACACTCAGTTATATAAAAAAAAGAAAAAAACACTGTCAAAACAAACAAACCAGTGTCAAGCCACCCAATTAACTGTCAATCAATCAATTATCTGCCAATTAACACCCTCCTCCCCCTCCGCCACCGCCATCTCCTCCTCCTCCTCCTCCACAGGAACCACCACCTCCGTCGCAACTTCCTCCTCCTCCCCCATCAAAACCCCCAAAGAACCCTCCTCCAAAGAATCCCCCACCGTCTCCCCCGTTTCGTCGTCGTCTACGAGCTCGCTTGGACTCGAAAACAGGCTTGGATTCAATGAAAATGACTTCAGCCTTGGGCTTGGAAGGAGACCGGGACAGGACGGGGAGACTGGCAGTGGAAGTGTTCTTGGTGGATCGCGAAAAGCAGAGAAATCCCATAGTTGTAGTTGGTTGTAGTTGTAGTTGAAGTTGTAGCTCAGGTGTTTGATACCGAGAATGAAGTCTTCAAGTCAGTATTTATATCATTCTCGCATCATGTTCGGCAACTCGGCTCCTTCAGTCGCCGTGATTGGACCCAATATCCGTCCTCATTCTCATCACATGAGGTGTTTCCACCTACCTATGGTCATCTGAACCACCTCAGTACCGCCCGGAACTCCCTACGGCCCTCCCTGTTGCCTCTCGATAAGCGGCTAACGAAAAGTGCTTGGTTCACCGCACGGCTACTCAATCACGCTTGGTCCACCGCACGGCTACTCCAATCACTGCTATCGCTTTCTTATCTGAGCTACATCAGCGGTTCCAGACTCTGTAACCCCGAAACTTCCCCAGAAACGGGCCTATGTTCAAGCGGCTAAGGCTTGTTTTACAGGCAAAAAAAGCAGACTAAAAAGCAGTCTGACAAAACAAAACCACAAAAAAAGTATGAAAAAACACATCCAGTGTAGAAAAAACATTTCAAATACACTGTTGGTCGTATCTTAACCGCAGATATCTACTTTTGTCCTGCTCAAATCGCCCCATTCGTCGTTCTGAGGCGAATCGCAACTCCCTCCCCCGGATGACGTCATTGAGAGACTAGCTCCAAGACAGTCTTAGCCGAACGTTCAGTCCCCGGTTATCGGCCCTATCACGCACTATAGAAGGCCCCCTCCTGCGATACAACTTGCCGTACAAAGAGCGACTCCGAATTGCCATCTACTGACAAAGCCGTTTCGGCCGAGCGGATCCAAATGTGAAATCGTCAGTTTGGAACCTAGGTTGGATGTGACATTTGCAGATGAGACGGAGTATTGGTGCCTCATGACCATGTTACAACCATCTACGGACACGTTATCTCTGGTTGTTCCGTTTGTCTCTGCAATCAGCGACTTTGACAGCAGCTGTTGCTGAAGTTGAATACTGTGCTGAAGTTGATTGCTGTGCAAGTGCTCGCAATTGAAACTATTTCCGGTAGCCAAATCACCACCAACGTCCGGACTGTGACCAACTGCAACGTGATATAGAGGAGCTGTGTCAAGTGTTCGGACGACGAAAGTTGGCATGGAGTAGAAGAGAGCCTGGATGTAGTTCTATAGGGTAGATAAGTCCAGGTTTGTGTGTACAGTTTGGATGAATCCATGTACTTGTACTAGTAGGCGCAGTACCGAACAATCCCTTACTGGCTAGTTCAGATGTCCTTCTGAAGAAAGGAATATTCAGATACCACTTGTGAGAAACATCAAATCTGAATCAACCTGAATTTGTATCTCGTCAATTTCACTTTCCCTCTGTTCCATCAAATATACTCCTGGGTCAACAGGAAGAGTGAACTAAAACTACAGGTTGAGCTCCAAAGAACGTGTACAACGACTTTTAAATGAAGCTGCACCGTTGTAGATTCACCGAGTTCAGCTTATGAAGACAAATTCGTGAACAGTACCGTTCTTGGACACCACATCCACTGTGAATGGCAGTTACCTCAACCACTCAACCCAAAAAACGATGGTTTCCGTTCAGTACTATCCGTACTCCCTGTAGGAGCTCGCCAAATGGTGGACACCGAATCCCACTCTAGAAACATCCCGGACTGTTTCCCTGCAAGTGTTTCGGCTCTACTTACCTTAGGCAAAACCACTATAGCCGGTAGGCAGCTCTCTCATGTTCCCATGATTGGTTAGTCGTCTTGTCGCCAGCAGTACTCACATTGTTAGTAAGACACCAGTCCAGTTTGGTAAATCTTGGTTCGGTCTGCGCTGAGGATCAGCAGGGAGCACACACACTTGCCATTTCCCAGAAGTAAGTCACCATGTTCCAAAGATGGGTTGGTATCACCAAACAAGTAGATAGTCTCATTAGGTCGGATCGTCACCAAAAACTGGTGAATGGAGACCTAGACATTGGTGACAAACCACTACAAGTAGTTTCAATTCGGAGGCACAAATTCACCCAATGGATTTTGGTCGACCTGATTGCGTGCTCAGTCGAATCCTCCATTAGGGTGCTGAGACTCTCCTGATAAGTCCCTCTGGTAGAGAGGGGAGTATGGTTTATCGGGACGCCTCCCAGCAAGTGATTTGTAAGTTGTTCATGTATTTGCTATAGAAAATTTCTTTTTCTTCCTCGACAACTGCCTGTGACTTCAGTTACTGTCGAGATGTGTTCTAATAAAACACGACCAGACCTCCAGGAACCTCCCTGGCTGTGTTCTACTATCTACATACTCTGATCGAAGAATGAATTTAGCCTGGATGTCATCTCTGAGAGTCCCTCAGGATCTACGATCAAGTTGCGATATGTTTGATAAGCGATAAGCAATAAGCAATAAGCAATAAGCGATAAGCGATAAGAGATAAGAGATAAGATATAAGCGATGAGCGATAAGCGATAAGACAATCGGAGTGCATTATCTAAACTCTATCACAAGAACCGACTACACTAGTGAAAGAATCTAAAATCAATTAACAAACATAACTATCATCAATGGGAAATGGAATTTTGGACACATTATCAAGAAGAAACGTGCTGAAGTCGAGTGTCGATTCCTATCGCCGGTCACCTCTTAAAAGTAAGGAGAGGCCTCAACAGGAGCAAAGGAGCCGTAAACTCGAGGGGCAAACTTGACCTCTCCTCGGTTAAGGAACTGCACCTCTCCAGCAACGTCTCGAGGAGCGTCGTAGTCGGTGGTGATGACAGAAACGGAAGCGTAGCATCCCCAGTTGGCAACGACATCAGACTCATCGGGAAGAATACAATCTCCGTTAAGACAAGCCTTGGAGGCCTCGGAGTTGGTGATTCCGGGAGAGAATCGGTTGGTGGTCTCGTTGTAAGACAGCTTGAGCACAATGGCGGCGGGGCCAGTCTGTCGGGTGAAAATTGGCTTGATCTCCTTGCACTGTCCGGTGGGATCAACGTCACCAGCTCGGGGGAGGTTGACAGACAGACCAACTCCGTAAGGAAGTAGAGTGGCTCGGTCCTTGGCGTTCTTGACCAGGTTGTTGACAATACCGGTGGCGGCCTTGGCGTAGATGTTGTGGGCCGCGTTATCGGAGGTGGAGGCGTTGGCATAGTACTGGTGGCTGTTCATTCCACTGTAAGCAATGGCAGGAATTCCTCGCAGAACAGCCATGTACATGGCACCGTTGGTTCCGGACATGGTGTAGATGTTGGGGCCAATGTTCCAGCCCTCGTTGGGTCCAGACACCACCAGATCGACAGTAGCGTTGTTGAAAAGACGGGGGATGGCGTAGTCGAGGCCGAAGCTCATGGCAGCTGCCGGAGTGCCGTCAAAGTACCAGATGTGGTCGTCGTTGTCGTCCTGGCCCCAGTTGGGAGCTCCTACGGGAATGGAGCCGAACTCTCCGCCCTTGGTGAGGTTGGCGGCTCGGGGAAGGTTGAAGGTACCTCCAGTTCCACTCTGCTGGACAGCAGGAGCAAACATGAACACATTGTAACCCTCCTTCTTGAGCTCAGAGTAGAGAGATCGGATGTTGGCGGAGGCCCACGAGTCATCGTTGGTGACAATGATGGTGGTGTTGGAGTTAGGATTGGTGGAGTTCTGGGCCACGGCGCAAGACGCCAGCAGGGGCAGGGCAAGGTTGGAGAACTTCATGGTTGTAGTGTGACTTGTTACTGGGCTTTGAGAGAGATCTACATCGGTTTATATACTCTACTTGTCGGCTCGGATCAGACTTCATGGCAGACATCCGTTGAGCCTAGCGCATTCTAGATTGGACTAATGCAGGGCTGGAGAAGTGGACCTTGTGGAGTTGATCTGGTTGTGGTGGACAGTACAGTACTGTAGTAAGTATTGTAGATACTGTAGACCTATATGAGCCCCCGAATGGTCTGCTTAGTCACAAACGGATACTACAGTGATGGCTACTCCTGTATACTGATCTACTTACCAACTACTACAAAATCAACTTATCCCGAATATGCCAATAAAACCGTGTCTAAAACCACGTGCAATATTGGATGTATTGACAAGACCTATTGCAGCTCTATTGACATTGGCATAACTCTGAATCCGTGACATAATTCCACATTAAGCGGAGAAAGAGCCATTGAACTCTGTCGGAGATGTCCGCTATACGAGAGGATGCGGTGATACGAGCGCCGTTGCAAGTAGTTGCCTTGTATCTGTATGAGGGTATAGGAACATTGTAGATGTATCAACAAGGCTCATTTTCGGAACTTTTTTTTGGTTCTACTGACACCGCCAAGAAACGGAAAACGTGTCTCCCCTGTTCTCACCATTGGTCGTTGATTTTCCAGCTCCAAAACTCTGATTTTCTCGTCGACAATCGGTGTTTTAATCTGGCAGGTCAGTCCGTGTGAACGTCGAGAAAGATAAGCTTCGGAGTCCGCCTCGTGACGGTAATAGAAAGGTGGGCAGGGCCAAACGAAGGAAGATGATTGTACCAATGAGTTCTGTTTATCTTGGTGATTCGATTTCCAAATTTACAGATGTGTAGCTTGTCAATTGAGCGTTTCAGAGACACTTTTATCATCGCAGTTAATCTCGCCAGAATCCCAATTAAGCGAGATGAAAACTCTAAACACCCGCGGAAGTTCCGTGACTAAAGCCGTTTTCGGGGTTCACAGACGTTGAAGTTTGTTTCCCTCGAGAGATTGGAACTTTGGAGATTCTTTCTGTGTTTTTAGTTCCAGTGTGAGGCTCATGGGTCCAATGGAGCATGCGGGACCCAATGCAGATGTAAAAGATAACTTAGCGTCTTCCGCAGTACATACAGTAGCGGAGATTTGTGCCTATTAGGCATCCAATAGTGCAGATGAGCGGAGCAGAGATCGACAGGCTGAAGACTTGGCGACGGTGAAGTTTGTGATTTGGTAATTTCGTTCTGGGTTTCAACAGTACATACAGTAAATCGGCATGTTTGTTGGACGAGTGCTGTATCACTTTTGACCTCTTCACTTCTCAAATGAGTGCTGTACCACAGAATCTCAATTATCTGATGTCAATCTGGTCAATTTCCGTGCTTGTACAAGAGATTAAGTGTCCAACCTATAGCAATTACGAAATGGGGAAAAATGGCCAGAGAAGCGGAAAATATCCTGCAATTTGGCTGTTTGGCTGATAGAAAGATGTCAAATAGAAAATGGATCATTGATTTAGCAAGATATTCCAGTTTGCTACTTTCGTTACTATATAAACTTGTACAATCTACGATGTTGTCTTACTATCGCACGTAACATACTCGCACTTGAACCGTGCCGAGACTTCAGAAAAGCCCGTAAAATGGTAACAACGAAGCGATAATGGAAGAAGTAACTTGTTATCATGGCAACTGTGTCGGTAATTAACTGGTCCTCGGTGTTGATGAGATGAAGGCTTGGATGATAAGTACAAGTACAATATCTACTTGTAGTTGGTTCGTCTTGTTTGCGACATTAATAGTGACCTTCAAAGACAGGAGACTTACTGTGCTCGTACTCGTACAATGTGTACAAGTAGTGCTGAACTTGACTTGGCACAATCATCCGGGATTCGAAGTCACTCCAGCTCCATAGAGACACTATTCGAGACAGAAAGCATTACAGAGATTTACATAAGAAATGTAATTGATTGATCTGACTTTACCCAGAGAACTACAAGCATATGGCTTCTCTTCGTGAAGCCACAAGGCTCAGGAGTATGTCCACATCGAGTATTGTGGACATACTGTACATACTGTAATTATGGTGATACGAAACTGTCTAGATATCTTCTTTGGTGACGGAATTATAACGGGAAGAGGCGTCTACAGGACAAGGCATCTACTGGACGAGGCTGGCTGTACAGCTCCTTTAGTAAGAGATGACAACCCGACAGAGCAGTGTATTCATGCTTTTTCTCCAGTCGCTACAGGAAAAACTAATCGATACTGCTGGTCTGGTAGTTGCGATAACTCGGAGACAACGCCCATTAGACGAACTCCCTTGTACATACTCGTACAGACATTGTACTAGCTCCCCAAGACGTGCTGCCATAGCCCGACTTGTTCACAATGGTTTGTTCGGCTTACTCCTGTGACTCTTTGGATCGTCGGTATAGGTACAGTACATACAGTACTCTGAAGATAACCGTCCCCAATATCACAACGTGTCACGGCGGGTTTCCTCTTGATGCTGAACGGAGATTTTGCTCCTGTTTGTGGAGGTATATTCACCTGAGTCCTGGTCTGAAATCACTCTATCCACTTCTCCAATGGTGTAACTGACCCCTAAGGAACCTCCGACAAACAACCAAGTGATTAACACCAAGTGATGAACACCCAATGAAGAACACCCCTAGCAAGTGAAGTGTAAGTCGGAATATCCTAGCAAGTGATAAAACCAAGTGATGAACACACTACCCAGTGATGAAAACACTACCAAGTGAGGTGTAAGTTGTTAATTCCTATGATACTATCACCCACTACGATCCATGTGTATTTTTGTGTATTTTTGTGTATTTTTGTGTATTTTTGTGTATTTTTGTGTATTTTCGAGTATTTTCGAGTATTTTCGAGTATTTTCGAGTATTTTCGAGTATTTTCGAGTATATTTCCATATTTAATCCACACACTGTACATCCCAGTCTGGTAAATATCATACTGAAAAACCCAACGCCATTTAAACTTTCTCAATGCATCTGGAAATACCCTCCAAAACAATCAATAATGTTCGGAAAGAGAATTTAAAACACGAAATAATACACCACCTATCCCATTGAGTTCGATTCTCATATGATATCAGCCATAAATCACGACTGTAAAGCTCCACGTCGTGCCGCCATCCCGGAGCTAAATTTCAGGGGGTGGAACTCTAAAACCATATAAGGTTTGGATGGCCAATTTTCTGTGGAAATTGCAAATGTCAATAAGAGACAGTTAAACAAGACGAAAGCGGCGTGGCAGGCCAATTTCGACGCTAGATAACCACGTGGGTCCACATTGTGCAATTTGGGGCAATTTCGACTTTTCTTTAATCTGGTTGCAATTTCATCACCTTATTTTCGACAAGGGCCAAAATTGAAGATAAGGGCCCCGGTTTTAATGCTACAATCAATCTGAGACATTGGTGGAAACCGTTATGGCTGTACGATTCTTACGGTATCAATATTGTTTGGTTTCTGACCCGAATTACGCAAGACACGGATTTTTTTGAATAAAGAAATAGATGAAGTCACAGGGCCCAGAAAGTCTCAGACCCTGGGAAAAGTAACAAGAGCAGAAGTGAATGGCATCTTCTTAAACAATGACACACTTTTCATCGTCCTTGCCCTTTCGTCCGTGCTTTCGTCCTCCCTTTCGTCCGTTCTTGGTGAAGGCATTGTCGGCACCCATGGGTGTAGGAGCAGGAGCAGAGCTGGGCATGGCGGGGGTGTTGGAGACGTTTCGGCGGGCAGCATAGTTTGCGGCATTGTTAGCTGAGGGAGCGGCGGGCAAGGAGGGGGTGTTGGCCGAGTTCATTGTAGAAGTAGGAGCGGTGGAGTTGGAGGTGGAGGTGTTGAGCGACTGGGTGTTGACTGAGCTGGAGACGCTGGGTTTTCGCACGTCCTGGGTTGTCTGGTAGCCTCCGGTGTAGGAAGAAGTGGGGGAGACACCGGGGCCAGTTGGGGACGAGGAGAGCATGGGCTGCGGTTGTTGCTGGAATCGTTTCTGGGGCGCGAACATGAGCACGTTGGGCTCCTCGTCGGCGGCCAACAGTTTGTTGGCGAGATAGGAGTAGATTTTGATCCAGGCGGTTTCCATTTCCAGGGTGAAGGAGTCTCCGAACCGGTCGGCAAAGGTTTTGATCATGGCTTCTCCTAGCCATCGGTAGTGGATGGGTTCGACGCCGATCATTCGGTTGTGTCGTTTTCCCACCGACCACAGGAATTCGTCCAACTTTTCAATGTGGTCGAGCGACTTGATGGCGAGTCCAAACACGCCTGCGACCGCCACCGATTGTTTTTTGATGGAAGGGAAGATGGACGTGAGCTCGGCGTGGGATGCCATGAGGTTGGTGTAGAACTGTTCGCAGAAGAGCGCCGTGGGTGTTCCGTAGGCGGCGCTGCTTTCAAGTGTCTCGGGGTCGTTCATGAGCTTTGCCCACAGCTCTTTGGTCAGGTTGATGTCTTCGCGGGTCATGTTGAAGACGACCTCTGCCTTGGACGGCCGTGCCGCCGAATTTGTGGGGGTCACGGCGCCATTGGTTCTGGTTTCTCTGGCGTCGTTGGAGTTGAGGTGGAACTGCTGGGGTGCCGTGGACGTTTTGACCGGCTGCTGTGCGTACAGGTGCGGTTTGATTGTGTAGAAGTCTCGCTGGGACTGCGAGTATCCGTCAATGTCGGCCATTTTTTCGTGCTGGCTGTGGATCGAGTCGTCGCGGACGTGCACACCCATGGTTCTTAAGGGCGAATTTGCAGATTGACTTTGATCGGCTGCAGCAGCCATTCGTCGGGGAATCAGTGGCAGGTTGGAAAAGCGGCCGAGAGCGGACGAAACTGACGAGATTGACGACGTTCGGGACGACGGATAGAAAGGTGCAAGCGGCGGAGTTTCCAACGGCGGAGTTTCAAACGACAAAGTCCGTCTTGGTGGCGGTGCGGCTAGTGCGGTGTCAGCGTGGTATCTCTCCCCGCTCTCCTTCTCCGTCGTTTCTGCTGCTTCGTTTTGCTCCATAAGGTTTTGGTGAGACCGGGTCCCTTAGCAGCCAGTCGCCGTGGGGGCTAGTGAGTCCAGGGACACGTATTATATATGTCAGTTTGCAAAAAGGGCTAGCGAGCGGGTGGAGGGTGAGAAAATCGTGGTGGAGAATCGAAAATCTCCTCTTTTGGCGCTCTGCATCTGATTCGTCCTTGTCGAACGTCTACCGAACCGGTCGGAAAGCTGTTTGTCGCCCACACGTGAAGTCAACATGACCCATGCAAGACTGGGCCTTGTGGGCCTTTTGCTTTGGATCTACTGTGTATTCAAACGTAATCTTGCTGTGGGGAGACTTGTAGTTGACAGCGTTTAGTCGATTCGTTGGTTGAGAGCGTCTGACCGTCATCAGTGTCGTCTGAAGAAAGTGCTATAGCAGCGCTGAGTGGCCGTTGAATAAAGAAGCTTGTCAGAAATGAGTTGGAGTTGGACTGATTGTCGGTTTGAGCGGATTGAAGGCTTTACGTGGGATTTTTCGTCGTTGACATGTCATCAAACTGTCTCCAAGCCCCTATTAGTGCCACTACCACCTATGTACAAGTACAATGGTATCATATGAACAAGTATATTGTACTTGTTGTACTTGCAAAATTATCACGTCAAAAGAATTGACATTAAAGAAGTCCCATACAAGTCAACACGAAAATATTTGAACGAATACGAACAGGAACGAAGCCGAACAAATTGAAATTAAGACAGATTTCAAAGATTCACAGATTTTACAGGTTACAACTACTTGTACTGTACTTCATTTGTCATTCTCCACCGCATGTTCATTACAAGCACCGCCCATCCAAATAAAATTAATTAATTAAATGTAAGAAAAGTAAATTCACAAAACCCAACAAAAATTACCAAAAAACATCACATAATAAAATTGACTCAATAGAAAAAATTACAGCAACAGAATCGACACAGTTATGAGAAGAAAATAATCGCAACACTAACCACAGACCAGTAGATACGTACTACCACTAACAATACTGTACTTCTTCTATAGCCAAACTCAGAGCCACGGTGTAAAAACGTTTGACCCCTCACGCCACAATAAACAGGGTAACAGACGGCGGTTGCAGGCAGCCCCATACGGGTCACGTGATCCGAACAATAGCAAAAAGACCGCCGCCCTTGCTGTTTAGGTCCTTGGCGTTTTTCTGAAAGCGTCTTGTTGGCTCCGGTTCTGGCTCTTTCTTGTATGTTTGGGTGACACACAATAATAATATTAAAAAGAAAACAAAAAGAAAAAAAACAGGGGTAAAAGAGAGCTGAACGTATTAAGGTTAGAGTGTAAACCTTATTGGTGATTGGGGTTGTTGGAAATTAGAGTTGATGACCGAGTTAAGCGAGAAGGAGTTACGAGTGGCTTAATAATTCGCGATTTGATGGCGATTAAAGGGATTAATTAATCAAATAATTTAAATAACGGCAATAAAAATAAATAAATATCGAATATCGAAAATAAATGTATATATTTGAAATCGTGTCATCAAAGGGAAAAGAAAAGGGGGCGGGAAAAACCAACAGAGACAAGCGGACAATCCAGCTCGAAACCAGCCATCCCAGCCATCCCTCTTTAGACTCATCGTATCGTAAACCGTCTTTGTTGCTGTGCTTACTCAGCACGATTGCCGGTTTGAGTTCGCCAGATCTTCACGTGATTGCTTGCTCAAGACACGTATGATGCTCCGGGGTTGCATTTGCTATCGGAGGGTCGGAGAGGGGACTGTGTGCGAAGTTTGAGGCATTTTTCTGCGAATTATGGCGAATTATGGCGAATTATTGAGGCTTTAATCGTTGTTAATTTGTCAATAATTCCAGATACTTCCAAAACACCACGAAGCACCGTCAATCAATACACAAGTGGCCCGCAAGTTCCTGTTCCGACGCTGCAAAAGATGGACTAGCAGTACATCGCTGCTTGAGCTGCTTGAGGGAACCATGGGCTAGTCGGCGCCCGCAGCAGAGTAATCCAGCAAACTAAATGGTGCCGTGCAGTTCAGCCGTCTATATTGTTGCACAATAGGGTATCATACCGGCAGCCGAGCCGGGCGTGTAGTTTTTTGCTGTTTCGGTTTTTGCGGTTTGGTTGGTGGGATTTTTTCTTTTTCAAAGTAGATTTGCATAGCCTCGTTTGAAGCTGGCGAAAAATACGATATAAATGCGGATTAATTCGAGACGGGGCGGTTTGAGGCGGTTTGGGGCGGGAAACGGGCCACAAAACCCAGCAAAAATGAACTTGGCCGTGGGATTTGCTTCTAAAGCACCCATTCACATCAGTTTTCACGCAATACTCACATGCCAAGTGTACTCTGGAACTAGTATTGCTGCACGTGGAACTTCAGATAGAAGCTTTGGAAACTCAATATCGCACTGTATCGAGCAAGATATAGTAATGTCGGGAGGTTCTGAAAGGAGTCATGCGTCGATGAAGGTCCAGGGTCCGTCTCAGACACTTGGGCGTGATGTGTCTGGTGGTTCTGAGTTCCGTTTTCAGCCAGGTGCGTTTTTGGACGTAAATTTTGGAGACCGCTTTGAACGTGACTGCTTCGGACGTGACTGACTCCAACGTGACTGAGAGTGACCGACTCCAACCAACTCGAGTTGTATGACAATAATAACACATGAAAAATGCACCCAAACTAATTGATCCACTCTAGTCGCAGTTGTAGTCGGTCGCTCGTAGCACTCGGGCTATTTTTGGACATATGCACTCATTGACAGCACATGGCATGACATATTACGGCGTGTTATGGCATATTATGACACATGTGCGATACTGAACCCCCCGCCCCAAACTAGTATCTCTGGTGTGAACAAGACACAGAAAGCGAGAGTGATGGTTGTGATCATTCGGATTCTCGTCGTCACTACATGTTCCGACGGGGCCACACATTGGGGCTAATTTGATTCTCGGAGACGGGATGCGAGGATCGCTCATTTAATATTAGCCTTCTATTTATAGCCCCGCACGTCACCGAGTCGAGGTTGGATTGGGGTCTGGATTGATGTTGGCGACTGTGTGTAGACGAGCTGGACGAAGCCGACATTCTTGACGAGATTCTTGCTACTTTGATGTCTTTCTGAATCTCCCTTACCCTCCGTTTTCCATATCTCCTCTCCCATCAAACCGATACTGAATAAAAATACAAGTTTGAAACAGGGGTGCTTTGGATGCTTGTGAAAAGTATGCGTTTTGGGGATATATCGCCAGAGTCGATGCGGCAAAAGACCGTTGGAACGCCGGAGACAAGGCCGGACCAATCCACACCGCCATCTGCGACTTGTACGCTCGTCTCAAACGGACTCTTTTCTCGTCGCCTCCACATCTCCGCTTCCTAATCCAGCCTTTTGCCTTTTCGCTCTTCCCGCATATTGTGATAGGGTTTAGTGTGGACTGGTAGTAATACCAAAGCGAGAAAAGGTTGTTCAAAAAGACTAGGTGCAAGACCCAAAAAAAAAAAAAAAAAAAAAAGAACCTGAGCTCCGAATAGTCGACGATACTGGCCCTTCTAGTCACACAAACACGCCCGGTCACCGCAATTGCCGTCCGTCTTCCGCTTCCAGTCCGTTTGTTTCGTCCACGTACTCCAAACCCCCGCTTTTCCCCGTCCTCACACGCCTCCTAGCAGTACCACTTGTACGTGCGTGCTTGTGCACACATCCCACCATTAGCTGAAACCCGCTTACACCTGTACATTTCCGCCCCCAACCTAGCGAGTCGGACTTTGGAACTTGACTGACACTCTGTGACGGACCATCTCGACAACCGACCCACGACAGCCGCCCTGAAGCCCATTCTCACGGCGTTGTCGCATCCAACGGTGACCACTGCGCATCTCATCTCATCACCACATCACTGTCGTTAAGCACACCACACTAACACCCACACGGCCACAATTCCGTCGCTGCCGCCGTCAATCAGCCCAAACAGACGCCGTTCGCCAAAAGACAGCCGCCCAACCGACCGACTATGTCCGCGAGAACCAGATCCATGTCTCCGGGCCGCCCTCTGCGCCAACAACAAAAGAGCCCCTACACCACCCACAGCCAGCAGCTCCAACAGCAACACCTGGCGCAGCTCCAGCAGCTGCAACAGCTCAATCAGCGCTTCGGGTCGTCCAACTCGTCCTTCTCGTCGTCATCCTCGCATACCCCGACCCAACCGTCGTCGGCAAACTCCACCCACTCGTCCTCCCGCCACTCGGTCTACGGCACCCACAACTACGCTTCCTCCGATGCGAGCTTCAACAACCGGTCCGTGTCGCAACCAACACTGTCGGAACCCGCCACCCCAACCACAGTGCCAGACAGATACCGGCGCAAGAGCATGGTCAACCTGCCGTCCCACGAACGCAGCCCTTCGCTGCCCAGTAACACAAACCCCGGCCAAGGTTCTCACGTGACCCCAACTGCCGGTGCTGCTCAAACCTACACCACCCAGCAAGCTCACACCACAAATAACCCCAACACCAATAACTCGCCGCCTCCCCGACTGTCGTACTCGTCCACAGACTCGTCTGCGCCCTCCACCACCGCCGCCTCCACCTCCACCATCGGCACCGTGCATTCGTTCCACAAAAAGACCCAAAGCAGGGACTTTGACGGTGAGTATCACAACATGGACCATCATGGCATGCACCATGTTGCAGCTCCACATGGACCAACCCTCCACACAACCACACACAGCCGTCCATGCCCTCGTACTCCCACTAACGCAGACCAAGCGCCGTCCCAGCAGCCGCCCCAGCATCAGCCCCAGCATCAGCCCCCGCCCCGACAACAACCAATGGTGCTGCCGTCGGATGCCCGCCGAAAATCGCTCCTGGCCAAAGACCCGCTGGGCACACTGCAGGACCAGCGTGCCTCTGCCATCTCGCTCTCGTCCTATCACACGGTCCAGTCCAACTCCTCGCCTACTCGAAGCATGATTTCCGACGACAGCAGAGAAAGCTCCCCTGACGTGAGACAAGACAAGGTCCCCCAACCCGACACGACCCATGTTAACGAGCACACCACCAACACAGAAACCACACAGCTCGGCGCTGCTCCTCCACTTGCCCCACCAGCGTCAACTACCACCTATGAGGATGCTGTGGCCGCTGGAGTTACTGCCGCGACTGCACCTGCCGATGCAGACCAGACGGTCACAGACGCGCACACAAACACCGTGGATGCCCCCGTTGTTACTCCTGCAGACACAACTTCGCACTCTAACTACGACGTGGTCTCTGCACAGTACGATGCTCCCCCACAGTTTGATGCTCCGCCGGCCGCTCCTGAAAATAACGCAACATCCTCTTTGGACCCTGCTACCGAAAGAGGACGGTACAGAGCCAAGCACTCCCCTCCTCTGTCGAGTCCCACAAAGACAGAGGCACCACAGCAACCTCAATACATGACTCAGCAACAGCATGTATCTCAGTTGCAGCAGCAACAGCAGCAGCAGCAGCAGCAGCAGCAGCAACAGTATTCCTCACCACCCGTGAGCCAGCCTTCGCATCAGCAGTCGCAGCGCACCATGTCACTCGGCAGCCAGTCTGCATTCCGCGACTTTGACCAGCCCTTGTACCAGACCAAGTCAAACATGTCGATTGGTGGCAAGTCTGTCGGCGGCTTCTCCTCGTCCGGGATTAGCACATCCGGCATGAGCACACAGTCGTCGTTCGGCGGTCTGCGTCACCAAAAGTCGTCAGGCTCGCTACGAGAGAAGTTCAAGAAGGTCTTCTCGTTTGGTCGTACAAAGAGCTCATTGAGCAGTGCCCCTACTTCAGGTCAGATCAACCTCACTGGCGGCCCCGCCCAGCGATCCGAGCGAACGTCCACTATGACATCCACGACCTCGGGACGTTCATTCTCCGAGTTTCTGCGCCGGTCGTCCAAGCCTGACAACTTTGACGACGCCAGGTCCATCGAGAGCAACAAATCGTCGTCGTCGTTTGCGGCCCTCAAGCGCGCTGGCAAGAATCTTCTGAAGAAGAACAACCCCACCGAGCAGGCTCGAACCCCCAAGTCTTCTTCCCACAGCGCGTACGATGTGCCTACTGCGGGGTCCACTGGCCGTGCGCCTTCTAATGCTCCCCAAAATGCACCTTCTCGAACGGGTACTCCTTCAGCAGCGCCTTCGCGTGCAGCCACTCCTACCCCCACGCTGGCTTCTGGTTCTGGCTTTCAGCCTGGCGTTTCGCCTCCCAAGAACACCGCTACAGCTTCTTTGTCGGTTTCTCCTGCGGAGGTTGATCGAGAGACGGCCCAGTGGAGTGCCGGTTCCAGTCTGGAGGGTGTGCTTGGTGCTGCGGCCGCAGCTGGTGCTACGCAGGCTGCGACAGCTCCTTCATCAGGCTACGGAGTGTCTGGCAACGCTGTCGTTGCTGAGCCTGCTGTGACGGAGCCTGAATTTGAGGATGCCCATGCTGCATTTGATGACCAGTCTGCTGTTCCTGCAAGCGCTTCCAGCGATGCAGCTTCCAATATTGCTCCTCCTGCGATTACCACCACGCTGGCTAGCGCCCTTCCTTCCGACGCCTCCAGTCCCACGTCTGTGTCTTCTGTCAATGGCGGTTCTGCTGGATCCGAGACTGACGCCGACGAGTTTGTGGCTGCCGAAACGGTCTTCCCCAAACACCTTGGTGTTGAAGACATTGACAACATTCGAACCTCTCTCGACCGAACCAAGTCGCTGGAGCGACGAGGTAGCCGACGACGCAAGGTGACGCCCGACTCGCAGTCACATGCCCATCACGCACCCGAAGAGGCCGTGCCCAACCCTACAGAGGTACACATCCATCATCCAAAGTCCTCGCTGGGCCGATCCGAAAGTACTTCCAGACCCCGAAGTATTCTCAAGAGCAAGCAGAGCGATGGATCGATGGTTAGCGTTGATACTGTCACCGGCCAGCGTCTGAGCGATGTGAGTGGCGAACGAGTCAGCGGTGATGTGTCACGTTCATCGGTGGAACAGGTGAGCGGTGATGTGTCACGTGACACCATCATTTCGACACGTGGGGGTACGAGCGATATTCTGCCCACACGTGACTCTCTGACTAGTACTGGCCCTGCACCCATCGACATTGAGATTGCACAGAATTCTGCTTTGGCTGACCCTGAGGCCACCCCCACCGGTCTTGAATCGTTCATGGAGAGTGCCCGACCCTCTAACAACGGCCCGACCTCCGAGGCCGGCACAGACGTCGAGTCCATGTTTGCCAACTTCTCGTCGATCTCGTCTGATCTCGATCTGTCGTTTTCCACGCAGCTGGAGCCGCTTGGCCTGCCTGTGCGCCCTGAGTCGCCTACTCCTTCACAACAGTCGTCTGTTCGCTCCACGGACTCTGCTTCTGTTTCCCGTTTCGCCACCAAGCTAAAGGACAACCTGTTCAAGCGTAAGGAGTCGAATACCGGCTTCAACCCCGATTTGCATGAGACGATCAGTGAGGACTCAACCGACCAGGACCATCTGAGCGGTCTGGGTGGCCACCTCAACGACCACGTTCCTCTGGAGGGCTCGCTCGAAACGGCCTCCATCACGTCGACTGAAACCCCTTCTATCACTGAATCGTTCCGATCCGAGGGCTCTTATTCCGCCCCTGTGCCTCCCCAGATCCCTGGCGGCCAGCGTGGTAACGCGCCTCTGAGACACTTTTCGCCCGGCCCCACCCCGTCGAACCCCAATTCGCACAATCGGCGGTTTTCGGGGGGTACCAAAACCCCCCAGACTGCTGCTTCACGGCGGTACCACCAGCATGGCCGGTCTGCGAGCTACAACGATGATGGGTCTCGAGCTAGTGGCTCACCTATCACTGCCCATTACCCTGGCGTCCATGTTCCTTCTCCCGTGAGCCATGTGAGAAAGGGTAATGTTTCGTTTTCCAGCCGAATCGTCATCTACGATACGTGGGATTCGGACGATTATGACCGGCGAACGGAGCCGGCCACTTGTAACCGGCTGACCCCGCTGTTGGCCCAGCAGATCAAGGAGGAGTTAAACAACTTCAAGATGAACATGGACGTTCATCATGAGAGTCGAATCTACACTCACTTTTTCTAAGTGGTTTCCGACTCCGTTTGAAGACGGAAAATGCATCTAGTGGATGTGGAGGATAAAAGTGACAATGTCACTCATATGATAGTTAATTGCATAATTTTGATATAGTGAATACTGTAGGTGCATGCCCTGATACTTTTACCGATACTTGACCGAGTGGTCTTTGATCGGCCATTTACGTTTCGCTCAAACGGGCCAGTGTTTCACCTCATGGGTGTTTATCTCCGTGAAACTCGTACCAAGCAGCAAGATACAAGTCGCGCCGGTCTTGTAGCTTTCTGTTTCGGGTTAAATGTTTCGTTTCTTTTTGTTCCTTTTTGGCGCCTGGCGCCTGCGATAACGCCTCAACTTTAGGTCTATTGATATTAGCTTTAGGCTGCGTCTTTTGTCAGTGATGAGCTACGAGTAGTCGAGGTGAGAGGCGGTCACGTGGGGTGGAGTCACGTGGGGTGGGGTCACGTGGGGTGGGGTCACGTGAACACCCGGTTCTCTGCGATTCTTGGTTCACGTAACGAGATTTGTCGTCGTCAAAGCGCTGTCAAAGCACGTCTCCATCAGTCTTTTTGGTGAGCTATAATTAGTCGTCTGGGTTTGGACCCTTTTTTGATAGCGCTTATCGGGCATTGGATTTCGAGGAAACCCGTTTTGAGCGAGATGGGATCCAGAACCAGACTAGGGTTTTGCGGGGGAGAAAGGCACTCAAAAAGGCACTTAAAAAGGCGCAAAACTTTGGCTGTTCAGGTACGAGTTGAGCTGTGAGGGCTGCAAGTAGAGGACGCCGGGAGAAGGTTGGAACAACTTTTTAGGTAAGTTTTTTTGACTGAGTGTGTTCATTGCCAAAAAACTCCGCAAAGGAGAATTGAACTCCGGTCCCCCGCGTGCTGGTGTAAACCTGACAGGCGGAAATTCTAGCCACTAAACTATTGCGGATGGCTTTTTTTAAAATTTAAAAGCTGGGGATATACCTCTTGGGTTTGCTTAGTCAGGGACCAACCGACAGCGTCCCGCAGCGCACATCGCAAAGATTCAGAAGTGTATGATTTATTGAACGCCAATAACCCGGGTTACTACTGTAGGTATATCTGTAATAAATCATTAGAATAAAAAAATAGAATAAAATTAATATAAAAATTAAAAATTAAAAATTAAAATTTAAAAATTAAAAATTAAAAATTAAAAATTAAAAATTAAAAATTAAAAAAAAGCTTAATTTCAAAAAATCAATAAAAGAGGTCGAAAAATGAGTAAAAACGAGTTTGAAAGAGATTCGTTGTGCTTTCCAACTGCTGGAGTACATATTCGGTCCAAGTTGAACTCATTCCAGCGTTCCCACAAACATCTAATTATGTAATGTAGCCAAATCAGTTTTGCAATAAGATCTTGCAATCGTGCTACTTCTTCAGAATGCTTGAGCAACTTGATTCGAAACGGTTCTCAGAGTTGTTGAATCTATGGAAACCTCTTGAGTGTGTACAGTATGTACAGCAACCAATTTTCGAGCTCGAGACTCTGTACGGAGGTGTTTCCGGGCACCTATTACTCATGTGGAACGCTTCCTTAACTGTTCAAAGTAACTGGACACCTTTGGATCTTGAAAAAAATGCTTACAAGAGTATCTAGTTCAAGTGGAGGGCTTGCACATGAGTATCAATGAAGACTGCTCGTCAGAGAAGCTCGCCAAAGGGGTAAAATACTTATCAACTGCTGGAGTCGCAGTATGCACCCAACTTGGTCGTTCGAATTGACCGGCAGATGTGATTGCGGACTCTGAAACGGAACCGAAGATGATTGCACGCTCAGGAACCTCAGTAAAGTGTCTCGGTTGTCGGGAAAGGCGAACTCAGCCTGACTATCTCCATGAATCATGCACTTGATTTGTACGGTGATTTATGCCTATCTGTTGTCACCAGTGGCGCTCAGCTCCGAAAGAACTCGCTCCCTTACCTCCATTTCAACTTCCCAACTCAAGCATCTGACTTGCAAGATATCGTCTACTAAGCCTGGGAGCGCATAACCCGCAGTAATGTGCCAGTCATACGGACATTTGTGGCTGGTTACAGAGCCGGAGATCAGGTCCACCAAACTCGCAGAGGGAATTATAAAGCTGCCTGTCCTCATAAAAAGATTTCCAAATTCTCTGGACTTGTTTCCCTGGGTGTAATACCCGTCTCTGACTTCGTCAATGCCTCTATCTGGTCGATTGATCACTTTATCAGGTGTTTCCAGATCCACAATAGCCCGAAAGATCATAAGGCTCCGAAATTGAAAGCAGAGATATCTCCAAGTTGTTGTCGCAGTGAAATGATGAGTCACCAATTACAATCATGTGGTCGAAGTGTGGCCTGTCCCGTGGCTATAAGAGTCTCGTACCTCATTTGAGTGACACCAAGATGGAGTGGTGCCTCACTTGGGCAGAATGATTTCTGTTCCGGTCGATATCTGTTTCACGAACAGATGGAGAAAGGGTTAACTCAACATCGTCACATTTGATAACATCTTTTGTTTCTTCCTCGCTTTCAGTCTCGAAAGGCGGATACTTTTTTCGTAACACGCCAGTTCATGGATTCAGGGTGTATTCTTCCTCTGTTGTCGTAAACACATCAATCAGCGCAGGTTGGTCCGCCAAACAAACAAAGTCTGAGTGAAGTAGTTCATCTTCTAGTTCTGCTCCGACTAGTGTCTTTGTGATAGGCGTTGTAGGACCTGGATCCATTGTGCTAGAGAGACGGTGAACAAACACCAAGACGCAATCAGCCCAGTAGTTTTGGATCTCCTTTCTCCATCCACGGCTTGCGAGAGCACAATTTGGACCTGAGAATATGCTCTGTGGCCTGGAAAGCAGTGTACCACTGACTACCTCTCGCTGAGTCACACACGACTCTATGTCGACAAACGAGTACACCATGGACATTAGTTCGGGCGGCAACCATCCTTGACCCGTCTGTCCTAGCTTGAAGTCCCTTTGGCCAATGGTAAGAAGAGGTTTGTACTCTCCCTTGGTCTAATTTGCGGAAAGTGGGGGTGCTCCTGTTCAATGAACCACCGTCGTAGAGCCTCATCCTGACCCTCAACCTGCGTTAAAGAGTCTGGATCAAGGACTCTTCCTGCTGTTTCTGTTAACTGATAACCTCCTCCAGCCCGGAATAGGAGAGTTGAAGCTCTCATCGTGGGAAATCCAACGGTATTGCCTGAAGGTATGTCTCTCCGTATAGCCCCCGGCTTTCTTTGATATAGATCTCTCTCTCACTCACAACCCCACATTCTGACGAAAAGAAGACAGCTTCTGTAGCGACGAGGATATTAAAGCTCTTTCGGGTTCCCACTCTTGCAATGTCTTGTATTTCTGCCTTCACAACCGCCGCTGCTACTGTACATTCTTCTCTGGTGGCAGGAACTGACAGCCGAGGTCATGTCTCCTCCACGCGAACCGCCGGTCGATTCGTGCACGTATTAATGAGCTAGATGAGCCGCTCTTCTTCTTCCTTAATAAATCTGAAATATTGTTTCAGTTTCGACTTTTCCAAACGGTTCTCCTTGGTGTGTGTAGAGTGGAAGTGGAAACTTTTTGATATACAAGTTGCGAACAAGTCAACTACTGTACTGTAGTGTACTGTAGTTCTGCCAAGTGATATTAACAGCCGTTCAACTAATCATTTAACAAGAAGTATCTTGAACAAGTTCGTTAACAAACCCTCAACTAAGCTCAACAAAGGTATAGTACAGTTTCATGGGACTATGGAACACACCGTCAACAGGATATTGATGGAAAAACCTCCTTTTTGCAGTAAATCTGTAATTTAAATGCTAAACTAACACTCCTTTTGAACTCCCTAGTGTGTTTTTACTGATGGTAGTTGCTGGGTGGTCTCACCTTCTGTCCAATGACCAACTTGACCCCAATCGATACTCGGTTGGAGAGTAGGATAGGTAGTAGGATAGGTAGTAGGATAGAAAGTCGGACGAAAGTCGGACGATCTCTCTCGAATCACCTACCCCGAAGTATGTGAGTATCAAGCTGCTGAAAATGATTAGTAAAGACCAACATGCAGCCTCTGCCTGCCTTCGATCAAGCAGGTTCAGGGCCATCGTGAATGGGTCAAATTTACGAGGGTGTTTGTTGAAACATGGACAATATCGAGGAATATGAGTCTAGGAACTGTTGAACCTTTCTCTGACTTGTTCAGATCTTTTTAGGAAGAGGTCTGAAGTTTTCCAAGGTAGGACTACTACTGACGAGTGTACTGCATGTACTTCAGGTACTATTGTACACAAATGATACAAGTACTTAGAACCAGATAGTTAGAAGTTGGGCACCGTGTAGAGATTGTAAGACGCATGTTCACATCCCGATCAACCTCCTTTCTCCTCTTGTTTCTGAATCACGTGGTTAAAGTGGAGATGCAGTATCATCACCCAGTTCAACCTGCACAACACGACGACAAAACAAACATCGTCGGCAAAAGATCAAAAGATCAAAAAACATAGCCATGCGAGCAAAACATCGCCCGATAGATATTCCACGATCCACTCTCTGCATTATGTACAAATATGTGCAAATATGTGCTTCTGTGACAACCGTGGATGTGTTATTATGTGGCACTCCTGCACTCCACTGCACATTCGTGGACAGGGTTGGTGTTGCGATATACAAGTATGTACTGTACATGACTGGTGGAGCACAAGAGACGTTGATATGACGAGAAAGGAGAAGAGTCCAGATTTGGTGCGATATTTGTACAAATACTTGTATTTGCGGGGTTTGCTGGTGTTTTACTGTACAAGAGATGTACAAGAGTAGATGTATGCATGTACATATATGTACTTCTACTCATGCTAGCCCTACAAGCACAGTATACTGTACAACACCGACAAACACCCTCCTGACTCCACTTGTCTCACTTGCACAGGATAACAACTTGACGAGACGGGAAGGTAAGTGCCGACACGGCAAGGTACAATACTGCACCAATATGTACGCGCCGGCTTGTGCATTTGTCGCCATGTCTTCGCCTATATCTTCGTTTCTCAACCAAACTTTTCACGAAACAGAAGAGACACGCGAAACACAACCATGGAACAGATATTCAACTGTAATCGAACCAATCTCTGTGGACACACCTGATATCGCACGGTTCATTCATGACCCTCACCAGACCAGCACCTCCCCTCACACGACGTTTCACACATGCAGGGGTCATGCACATCCATCTTTGTATTCAGGAACGGGAGGCGCGAGGGTTGATCGATTTACGAGGACATCTGAAACACACAGTGGAGTTAGCCGGATTCTGGGACCCTGGTGGTGTCTTCTCTTTGGGTCTCTTCCGAGAGTGGTTTACCGCTTAGTCATACCAACCACGTTTGAGCGTCGAGTCTCGACATTGCCATCCACAACAACCAACCTCAAATGAACTAATGAACTGATAAGACCGTTATCAACAAGACGATGCATTGTCTCCCACACCTGGTCCATTTCATTCAGCACCCCTGGCTTGGCGGCGCACATATTCATCACATTGGGGACATTTGCTGCAGCTGATGCCAACAAGCAAAACGGAACAGGCGAGTTGGATGAGGTCCAGAATATATAAACGAGCGCAAGGTCTCGACAATATGATCCTCATCCACATCAACAAACTCCCCCTCACCCCAGTCACTCTTTCATGAAACCCTCCGTCATTATCGCGCTGGCCGTAGCCTGTATGGCCGCCCCCATGTCTCCTCAGGGAGCCTACAAGGACGCCCTTGACATCATCAACGGTCAAGCCTCCAAGTTCAACGATGCGGGTCTCAAAAAGCGCCATGGCCAAGAGCCCGATACCTTCAACGTCATCTTCAAGGACGGTGTTTCCATCGACCAGATCTCCGAGCATCTGAAGCTGCTGGACGGCTTGATCAACAAGGACTCTCTCAATGGAATCAAGAACGCCTTTGATCTGCCTTCCCAAAAGGACGGCTCCGGCCTCATGGGCTACAGCGGTCACTTTGACAAGAGCATTGTCGAGGCGCTCGGCAAGTTCTCCGACTTGGTCACCATCGAGCAGGACCGCGTCCAGAAGCTTCCCACCTTTGAGGGCTTCAAGTCCACCTCCAATGTCTATGAGAGCTCTTCCTACGGATCCGACTGGAGTATGAGAGACGACTTTTTCTCCTGGTGGAGAAACTCCAACACCTGGGGCGACTGGTGGTACGCTCGAAAGCCCGATACCCAGCCCGGAGCCTGGCCCCAGCCCAAGCCCCGGCCTGAGCAACCCGTCCAGCCTATTGGAGATAACCCGACTTCTCCTGCTCCTGCTCCTGCTCCTGCTCCTGCTCCTGCCACCGAGGAGCCCAGGCCCGAGACACCTGCAGCTCCCTCTTCTCCCGCCACCTTTCAGGAAGTTCCCACCAAGAACTGGGGTCTTTTTCGAGTCTCCCACAAGCAAAACTCCCGTGACCAGACCCAGTACGCCATGAACAAGAACACCCTGAACCCCACTGTCGCCTACATTGTTGACTCTGGTATCCGAACCTCCCACCGAATGTTCGAGGGCCGAGCCTCCTGGGGAGCCAACTTTGCTGACAACTCCAATGTGGACTTTGAGGGTCATGGTACCCACGTGGCAGGCACCGTCGGAGGAGCCGGCTTCGGTGTATCTCCCTCCACCAAGCTGATTGCCGTCAAGGTGTTCTCTGGAAAGTTTGGAAGCTCCTCCCAGATCATGCAGGGCGTGTCCTGGGCCATTGATGACTACGTCAAGAACAAGGCCAAGTATCCTCGAGCTGTGATCAACTTTTCTGGTGGAGGAGACACCTCCGAGGCCGAGGACGCGCTCTTTCGAAAGGCTGTTGAGATGGGCATGGTTGTGGCCGTTGCTGCTGGTAACGAGAACTCCGACGCTTGCTACGTTTCCCCTGCCCGAGCCGGTGCTGGCACCGCCGGATTCATCACTGTCGGAGCCTCCTCCGCCGACGACTCTCTCGCCTTCTGGAACGCCCAAACCAACAAGGCCTCCAATTGGGGCAGATGCATCGATGTCATTGCCCCCGGTACCGAGATTCTTTCTGCCGACTACCAAACCGACAACGGTATCCTTTCCAACTCTGGAACGTCCATGGCCACTCCCCACGTGGCTGGACTGGCCGCCCAGCTGATGGCTACCTCGTCCGAGCTGCTTACTCCCGCCCAGGTGGAGGAGCAGATCATCAACCAGAACAACGGTAAGATCACAGGAAGACTCAACGGTACCCCCAACAAGCTCGCCTACAACGGCTCCGGTCGTTAGGTTGGCTAGTTGGATCACTGTCGCACGCAGTTCAATCAATCAATAATAATTCTTAGTTTTTGTACTGTAGCGTAGCATCAACAGGTGACAAGAATTGCAAGTGTTGTAGAGTCGGGTATACGAAACTGTTCTTGTCAAAAAATGTATGACTAACCCTAGCTACTTTCCTTACAATACAGTATGAAATTAAACAGCTTTAAACCACCATTTCCAGCTTCAGATACGATATTTAGTCAGTCTGATAACGTTACCGACAACAGAAATGATCACCTGCGAAATACAATATCACAACATTCCTGCGGAGCCGTTTTTACAACTCCAAAAGATAACAATTTATCTGCATAAAACCCGCATACACGTGCATAATACTTGCATAACGATAGCATATAAACTGCACGATTGCTGCACTTGACTTTATATCAAACTCAATATCAGCACCACCCGATTCTCTGATTATTTCATCAACTATAGGAGAGAATGAGTTGGTGATAAGACATCGGTACCAATAAAAATCACGTGACTATTCCACAGGCCTTCTGTTATATCATCAGATGCCTTTGAACATTCTCTTGTCGAACTGAGTCCAATTTCAACAACTCTTTCCACAGTGCCCGGTTAGGCCAATTAGGGTTTGGCAAAAATCGGCAATATAAGACAGCCCAGATGTGTTTCTACGATGGACAACCGCCAGCACTTCACGATGAGCGAGAGTAGACACAGTAGCAAGCGTAAAAGGCGGCCGAGGCCACCGAGAGAACAGCGTAGCAGGGCGCGTAGTCACCACAGGGGACGCAGAACCAAACCAATGACGAAGAAGAACCACAAGGAGACGTTTTCAAAGGCAATGCAAATGAAGAGGGCAATGGAAGGATGGAGATTAGAGAACTGGAGACTGGAGTGGCGTTTTCCCGATGAACGAACAAACACGCGAAGCTATGTGGACCAACATACAACACGGACTGAACCAGGTTTTTTTATGATTTTTTTACTGGAAATAGGTACGTGCCAAGTTGGACCATGACACTAAACGTGTTTAATTAGTAATATTCGTGTAAGCGTACATTCATTTCAAAGGTTATTCTTTCATGGCAAAGTTATAATTAAATGAATGTATATGCAGAAAAAAAAAAAAAGACAGCAAACTAAAATTTATATAAAGCCCATCGCTGCCTTGTTGGAGCCTCGTTTTTTCCCACAACACAAGCTTAGCAGTAATTGGGTCCTCTATTCTCAATTGCACGTTCCCCCCCTCTCCTTACAATTCACTCACTCTCCCGACTATCCAACAACGCACGACAAACATGGCTTCAATTCCCCATTATGACTATCTGGTTATCGGTGGAGGCTAAGATGGTGTAGCTTCTGCTTGTCGAGCCGCCTCGTACGGCGCCAAGACGCTGCTGGTCGAGTGCAAGGCGCTGGGAGGCACCTGCGTCAACGTGGGCTGTGCCCAAAAAGATCACGTGGAACGCCTCCGATCTGGCGGGCCGAATCCGACAGGCCCAGGAGTACGGCTTCTCCGACGTGGACCCCAAGTCCGCCGACAACTTTGACTGGACCGGATTCAAGGCCAAACGAGACGCCTACGTCAAACGACTCAATGGCATCTACGAACGAAACCTCCAGAAGGAGGGCGTGGAGTACGTGTTTGGTTGGGCCACCCTCTACAAGCAGGAGGGTCAGGAGTTCCCCCTGGTACTGGCCAAGAGCGACGATGGCAACGCCAAGTTGTACTCCGCAAAGAAGATTATGATTGCCACCGGCGGCAAGCCCATTCTGCCCGACGTGCCTGGAGCCGAGTACGGCATTGATTCAGACGGCTTCTTTGCTCTCGAGACCCAGCCTAAGCGAGTGGCGGTGGTTGGAGGAGGCTACATTGACGTGGAGCTGGCCGGTGTCTTCCACGGACTCAACTCCGAAACCACCCTTTTCTGTCGAGGCCAGACGGTGCTCCGAGCGTTCGACATCATGATCCAGGACACCATCACCGACTACTAACAAGAAGGGCATCAACGTGCTCAAGGGCTCTGGCGTCAAGAAAATTGTCAAGAAGGATAATGGCGAGCTCACCTACGGGCAGGATGGCGCCGAGAATGATATCACTCTCGATTCGCTCATTTGGATATTGGACGAGAGCCTCTCAAGGACACCCTCAACCTGAGCGAGTTTGGCATCAAGACCAACAAGCGGGCTACATTGAGGTCTACGAGTGCCAGCAATCGTCTTTCGACAACATTTATTCGCTTGGAGACGTTTGCTGCAAGGTCGAGCTGACCCCACAGCTATTGCTACTGGACGAAATCTGTCCAACCGGCTGTTTGGTCCCGCTGAGTTCAAGGATCAGAAGCAGGACTACACCGATGTTCCTTCGGCCGTATTTTCCCACCCCGAGGTTGGCTCCATCGGCATCACGGAGGCTGCCGCCAAGGAGCAGTATGGTGAGGACAACGTCAAGATCTACACCTCTAAGTTTGTCGCCATGTACTACGCCATGTTGCAGGAGAAAGCCCCTACCGCCTACAAGCTGGTGTGTGTCGGAAAGGACGAGAAGGTTGTTGGTCTGCACATTGTTGGCACCGACTCTTCCGAGATTCTGCAGGGTTTTGGCGTGGCCGTTCGAATGGGAGCTACCAAGGCCGATTTCGACAATGTTGTGGCTCTTTGTCCCACTTCTGCCGAGGAGCTGGTGACAATGGGATATACCGGGAGCGCGGCGAGAGATTTCTCTGGTTTGGGCTATCGATATTTAATCAACTAGACTCCACTGTTGCTGTCACAGGGTCAGAGAAGATACTAGAGTACGGAAGTGCGTTCCGTTGGCTGTTTTAATCGCCAAACGGTTTGAATATGGCATAAAACTAGTCTTGTCCTGTCGGTTTCTTTTCCATGGGCTTCTTTTCCCACTTGTTGAATGTTGATGGCGAAATGAAGACGGGCTAGAAAGTGGAGAGACAAGAGGAAGTTGCAGAAAAGTTCGATCAGCGGGTCTTGCGGTTGAGGGAAATATCCAAGATACGGTCTGGGTCGTGGGAACCTACATATAAGAGGGCTGGAGTCCTGGATAGAACAAGTCGACACATTTCAACCGGCCCATCATCGTTCCGATGAACTTCAAACATCTTCCAGTTTTCTACCCCGAGGAGGCGTTAGAGGTGAAGGACAACCCCGAGTTTGTCATCTGTCATCTGAAAAGTGCTTCAAGAGGAAAAAGTACTGCCGGAAGCGACCCAAGAAGAAGTGCTTCTAGATGGAGCACTCCGTCGCCTGGAGTAGAAGTAACTGTAGCAATAACTGTTGAAGTGACAGTAACTGATCAGACATTGATCATACGTGCATCAGAACTACCCTCTGTTAACTGAATAGCACAAGATAACGTCATATCGAGGGGATGAGTTTTCTGTGATTGAAACCAGTGTTGTCGGTCTATACATCTTGAAAACCTTCCAATAGGTGAGGGCTACAAGTATGTACATACTGTCTCTGAACCCTCAGTTTGAACCGTGAGTACGCTCTTTAAACGCCCAGGTGAAACGAAAGAAGGGAAGAGTTAGGTCCTTTGGGATCCCGGCTCATATTCTTGCTCCTAATGGCTGTCAGGTGAGCAATTCCAAACTTTCCATGTCCATATCGCAGCCCTATGGTGTTTTCAGCCTCAACATTGCGTCGTGCCGACAGAACGACTACTGTCATCTCCATATGAGGAACATGACAGAAGAGAATGAAGAAGAAAGAGAATGTAGCCCCATTCCAGTGTCGTCTCTGTTCAGAGCGGAAAAGTCCACTTCCAAGGAATAGTTCTCAATCACATATCGGTATGTACAGTACGTACCGGTACGGTACAATCATGCTTGAGGCTGTCAACAACAGAAATCAACAGCAAGGATACTCGAAGTTATCCCACTTCTCGCAAGTTCCACGAGATCGCTTCAGCATCATGTGATTCTACACATCCAAGTCCTCTGTCGATATTGGGGCTGTTCTCCGAATGGGTCCACTGCACTATGACACTGGAACGACCGCCCAATCAAAGAAAACTCATTCGGAGCCATCTCATTGTCGATAGACTGCAAAACCCACTGCTGAAGACGACAAGATGAAGACTTTTCAAGTCAAAGTCGATGGTCGCTTCCTCTCACCTTGTCTTGTCAGCCTCAATCACTTTGCTTCCGAGTCTGCTACTTCATCAGTCACAACTGAAAGAGCCCCTCTTGTTGAAGGAAATATAAAGGGCCCGTTTCTGAACAGTCCTCGAACTCCAACAACATCAACCACGCCCCTTTTACCCTTTCAACCATCAGACATTGCCAACGCACACTCCACCAGTGAACACATGCACCATATCTTTCCCCCAGAGCTCACAGAACCCATCTACCAGCAACTAGACCTATCGTCTCTCTGTGCCCTGTCACAGTCCTGCCGCTTCTACCGAGACGACATTCCAGAGACTCTCTATGAGGAAAAGCTGCAGGAGGCGTGTCCCTGGTTCGAACCCCAGTTCTCTCATCGCTCCTCCTGGAGAGAGTGTGCGGTGGAGTACACTCGGCGTATGAGACACGGGGCCAAGTTCGCTCCAACTCTGGTAAAGGGGTCCCATAGCGACTACCAGGAACCACCAACATTGGCCGTAGATGAGCACCAATTTTTCCAGGAAAAGTACTATTATCAAACCTGGCGCCGAAATCTTGAAACCACCCGCTACAGGAGCAAATTTGGAATCGAGATCGACCTCGCTCCCATCTTTGAACAAGTTGGAACCTCTGGTGTCTCCAAATTCTTGTTCGACTCGCGCCCACACGTGCTCATTGCTGTCTGCCTCCGTCCAGACCAGGACCCGGAACTAGACCTGGCCCTGGTCATTGTCAAATACAAGGATTCCGACCCCATCTTGTGGAAGTTCCACAACGCACCACGCTGCTCAACCTATGTCCTGGGTCCCCATGTTTTCCTCAACTTTACAACCATAGCTGACGACGACGAAAACGACTATCAATTTCAGTCAGAAGAATACATGCAGAGGAACATCTTCTACTTGGACAGAAAAACGAGAGAGTTTGTGTCTCTCGAGCACCTCCATATCATTCTAAAGAGCGAATCAGCATGCAGAGTGATTTGCTTCGACGGGCTGTTCCACGAAATGTACCTTGGCAACTACCGCGTCACCCAAGCCACCCTGGAGAAAGATAAGCGACCAGTAGTGTGCGAAACCAACTCTTCTGTTCTCAACCCACGTGATCTTCTAGGAAGACACCACTCTTTTTATCATCTTGTTGAGCGGGATAATCACAATGTCTTGAACTACAAGTATGCTGCCATGCAATTCAAGAAAAAAAGATCCCCATTCTTGGTCGATCTTAGTACTGGAAATTGTGTCAAGGGTACGTTTGTTGATTGTGAAACAGGAGAAGAAAGCCGTTTAATGCATCTACAAACTGTCTCTGCTAGTGGCCCGGTCTTTTACAAATTCCTGCCTCGTCTACCTGGATATTGCCGGAAAGGTACTTCAGATCACCAGTCGCCGTCTCAGGGACTTGGATCGCAGCGACGGGATCTGGTTGGTCCTAACCCTATGTGTCGGTTGAATGAAAGACATGCCGAGACCCTGTACCGAGCTTTGATGACTTTCGATGATCCATACCTGGAAGGGCAAATGATTGCAACGTCAAAAGCGATACTGGAATTGGGGCAAGAATTGGACATCTGGCTAGCAAGTCGCAATCCCCCTTACATTCCACGTACAACAAGTAGACCTCTTTGGCATCGTGCAATGACACCTTTTCATAGTTGAATACATTACAAAAGTGCAATTCTACAGTAGTGTACACATGTCATAAATATATTGTCTATCAATCCAAACTACCAATCCTGAACGTCAAACTTGCTCAGTTCGGCCACACTGCTCTGGATATCCTTCTGCACTCGTCGTCGCATGAAGAAAATGGGACAGTCTCTGGAAGTACAGAGAATGTCCTGGTGAAGCGAACCCTGACATCGTTGACACTCGGTCCACAGCTTTCCAAACTTGACCTCCAACTCACTCAATTGACCCAATGCCTGCTGGTACAAAGCTCCGGCCTTGTCAACACAGTTCTCACAGACAGCACCCTTGGCCCATTTGCCTCGAAGAGGCGTTCGACAGCCCTTGCACATTTCCGTCTTGACGGCAAACTTCATCAGTCCACCGGTTGAAGGAGCAGCAACAGTGATGGTACGTGTATGTGCGCCAGTCATGAGCTGAGCAGACTTACGCTCGCCGAGAATGGGGTCGAAAATACGCTGGAGAGGCTTCTGCAGCTGGTTCTCAAGGTAATACTTTGTGTCGATGGGGATGTTGTTTTCCAGCACGTACGATGGGTCTTCAGACTTCTCGTAGTTCTTGCCTCCGACAGCACCCTTGATGATAACGTAGGCAACTCGGTCACCCAGCGCAGGGGCAGAGCCTGCGTCTCGCTTTCGCATACGCTCAGCCAGCTCCACATGGGCCTGCTTAGCAGCGTAGTCCTGCCGAGAGAGCTGTTTAGTGATGACCAACTGCGACAAATCCACCTTGTTCTGCAACAGATTGGCAACCATGGTCTTGACGTAAGCCTGGGCACCCTCCACGTCTCGATCCATGAGAATCTTTCGCAAAACAGTCTCAATCACGTTCTGCACCAGACGACAGTTGTCTCGACGAACTGTCTCGATACCTTTGGTGTCCATCTTGTCAAACTTCTCGGGGTTGGTCCAGTACAGACCAGCATATCGCTTCTTGTTAATCAAAAGATAGGGGAAATAGACCTTTTCGAATTCCAGCTTGATGGGCTTGAGGAACATCTCGGACACGTATTCGGCGGCTTCCAGACCCATATCCATAGCAGTCTTGAGATCTGGCACTCCAAACTTGACCATAACAGAATCAGTATCACCATAAATGACCTTGGCGTTCTCGGGGTAACCGTTGGCCTTGGTGTACTTGTTCTCCACCTGCTCCTTGGTGAACTGGATCATATCTCGACCGTACGCAGTGACGGAAGAAGAGATGGCAAGACAGGGAAGCTTACCAACCGTGGCACCGGTAAATCCGTAGACAGAATTGGCTGAGATCTTCAGAGCCAGCTGACGACCGTCCAGCACGGCCTTCTTGAAGGGGTCGGTCTCCTTCTTCAAGTCGGCCTTGGCCTTCTTACGGGCACTCAGAAGCTCTTCTAGAACAATGGGAAGAATACCCTTTCGGGTCTTCTGGTTGACAAACAGGTCTCCGTTGGGGGTTCGGTGGTAGTCTTCGTCAAGCTTGAGGTCCAGACGCTCAACGGTAGCCTTATCCAGTAGAGTGGTGTAACAGAGGTTATGGGCCATCATAATGGAAGGGTATAGAGACGAGAAGTCGAGAGTGGCAATGGGGATATCGTAGTATCCTCGCTCAGGCTCAATAACCGTGGCTCCCTCATACTGTTCTTCGGAAGAGCCGTCCTGTTTCAAGTTGGGAATGACCATTCCGACTTCCAGGGCCTTTCGGAACAGCTGCGAAATAACCTTGATCTGCTGACCTCGAGAAAGAAGGAAGGAGAACGGGACTCCAGTGACACGAGCCATCTCCGTGTAGTTAATAAGACACATGAGCTTGTCCATGAGTCGCTGAGGCAGATAGGCATCCTTCAAACAGTAGACCGCCAGACGTCGACGGGTGTCTGCGTTTCCATTTTGCAAATCTGTAATGATAGAGTGGTGCACATCTTCCTTCTGCTCCTTTAGAAAGTGAGCAGACACAGCGTTCAGAGTGTACGTTCGCAGCTTGTACTCTCGCTGAATAAACTGCAGAAGATCCAGCTGCGTTCGTCCATCAATGTTGAGCACCTTGGACTCTCGTGTTCCGTACGCCTTGGAAGAGAAGGTGGAGTCTCGAAGGACATTTTGAATATGCGTCAACCGGCCAAAGTAGGGGAAGTCTGTGAGTTTCAAAGTCTTTGCGCGGTCGATGAGATAGGGAAAATCGAAGTTGGTTGTGTTGTAACCGATAATCACGTCTGGATCCACCTCGTTGACAAACTGCTTCCATCGCATCAGCATATCTCCTTCGCTCTCGTGCTCCAGCACCTGGGCTCCTGCAATTGGGGAACACGTGTTGAGAGTGAAAACGTTTCGTACAAACGGACGAGTGTCTCCCTGTCGAGACACGACGTTTGCAATCTGGATAATGGGGTCGATTTTGGGGTCTGGGAATACACCCTTTCTGCCGGCACACTCGATATCAAACGAGAGCACTCGCAGGGGGGCAATGTCACTCCATTCGCCGTCGGCAGGATGCGCGATGAGATCTTTGTAGGAGATGTTGATTTCTCGCTGACATCGAGACACGAGCGACTGGGTTTCAATGGTGTATTTGCCCTTGGGCAGCGTGACCCAACTCATACCACTAATGTGACAGTCGATCATACATCTCAACACGTAGGGAATGTTGTCGAAGGAGGTGCATCCGTTGGCAAACAGCATTCCGACTTGGGCGTGTGACGAGGGGAAGTTGAGGTTTCCGTTCTCAAAAGCAGATCGTAGCTTAGGGATTAGTTTTGGGTTGGTGGCGAAGATCTTAAAGAACTTGGCCTTGGCTCCTCCGTTGTATCCCCAGAAAGATTCTCTTTCACAGACCTCCAGGCGTTCCAGGGCGTCGGGAACGGTGTTTGCAATGGCAGATTTGAGAGTGCTGAGGTTTTCGGCCTTGAACCCAACGGGGACAGGAGCGTAAAAGTAGTGGCAAAAGCCGCGGATGTTGCACAGAATTGTATGTCCCTCCTTTGTGACTCCAAACAGACGCACCACGGCGTGTCCGTTCACCGACGCCTCTTCCGCGTCGATCTGCTGGAAGGAAATGTCGGTTGTCTGAGGATCGAATTCCTTCCATTCAGGCCGGGGCCACACCTGGTCGTCCGACACGACAGCTCCCTTTTCGGCGTCTGAGGCCTGGGTCAGCAGAATCAGCTCCTCTTCAAAGTCGGTGGGATTGGGCTCTTTCGTGACCGATTTGATTTTCTTGGTCTCCATGGCGGCCACGTCGTCGCCCGTTCGCTTGACGTTCATGTCCACTTCCATTGACGGCATTGTGATTGTGTGTGTATGCTGCGGTGTGGTGGTGAAGAAGGGAAGCGCGTGTCTGATAATTAGATTTACGCGTGCCCTGTGGGTGGCGGGGACAGGTCTCCGTACAACGACGAGTTTTGATGGCAGGAAAATTCCAAAAGCAGGAAAATGACGAGAAAACTGTCTTGTGGGAGCGGGGATTTTCCGATCCGAAATACATCCAATATTCGCGGTCCAGACCGCTGTCTCTGTAAATTGTAATAAGAGACCGTATTAGGCAATCTGTATAGAGACGCGTGGGGGAGGGTGGGAACAAGACAATCGGTCCAGTTTTGGCGCCATTGAGAAAAGGAAAGCTGGAATATGAAGAATGACGTGAATATAGAAGTTTGCACTTTTCAGATTTACAATACTACCAATATTGCGGACTCTAGAGACGACTCTCTGTGCAGAAGCTTGTGGGGAGGTGCAGCACGCTGTGTACCGCTGATTCAGGACACCATGCTCATAACCTGTCGTCTGGGGCGTCCCAAGAGCAAGGAATAGACACAAAAAGGATATCCAACTAATCCCCATAATTTGCTTTGTTGTTGTTTTTATTTCCTGCGCTTTTCCTGTTTTTTTGTCATTCTACACCACTTCATCGCAAGACTGGTTAGCGTTCGAGGCGCGTTCGTTGCTCAGCAATTGTCTACATAAAAAGGAAGGCGTTGATTGGCTGAAAAAAAGTGAATTTTCGAAATATAGACGCCTAGACGACCGTTATACGGGATTTCACCAAGGAAAAACACATTCGAAACATGATTTACGGCTCACCGCACCATTACCAGCGGTCCACCCCAAGATGGAAGCACGCGTTTACAGTTGAAATTTTTTTTACGCGCTGCATATTAATTAAAAAAATTCTGTACCTGTAAGCGGGTGGGAGTGGAGTGCCCAGGTGTGAGCAATAGATGAGAAATAGAGCTGGGTTTGAGTTGGATTTGCAGTGTTTAAAAACGTCTCTTTTTCGAGCGGGTACATAGTATGTAGTATATATTACAGCGATTGCAGCGTGGTTGGAGAGAAGATGGCAAAGAAACACGACTCAAAGGGCAACTGGATGGTACGCGAATGGTACGTACCGGATGCAGTTTGTACAGCAGCTACGGTACTCGTGCTTGTGCTTGGACTGGACTTTGGACCGACTCGATGTAGCTGCCGTAACGCGTACCACTGTTGTGCTGGTGCTTGCAGGCGGATCCGACGACGTCCATCTTCCAAACGCACACATCTCCGCCGGAATTTTCAACAAGTTTGATACTATCGTGGAGCTCTCGTTCGGGCAGACATTCTGGGAGCAGCAAAACTCCATTTGGTTCAAATTTGACGGAATTATAGCCATTCTCGCCCCACCAACGCATCTCCAGAAATCACACTCCACCACCAATCGAAAACCCAATTGAGTCACGTGAGCATACCTATTGCGCGGTACGTCCAAGTGGTTTCTCCGTTTCTGATCTCGATTGTTTTCAGTCTAAGCAGTTGCAACGGACGGTGTCGGACAGTGTCGGAGGTCTTCTCGGTGCGATAACGATAAGGAGGTCGGCTTGGCGTACGGTTGTTTGCTTGGCGCACGTGACGTGTGAAATTGTTGATTGTTGTCTCCATCTTTGTGAGTCTTGTAGATCTACAGCAGAGTCGCAGGAAGAAAGTGCGGTACGGTACAGCTACAAGCAGGCACAACCACGGGTATATTGTACATACACTACATTCGGGCACAAGTGCGTTCAGTATACTCGACATGTCGTGCACGGCGGTGTTTCACTATTGTATCAGTGAAATCGTGAAACATCTAAAACGACGAATATTGACGCTGAAGACACAGAAAAAGGCTCAAAATGACCGCACAAACGAGACTGACCGATCAACAACATTTTCAACCACACTTGTCTTCCGAAACTGGCCGTCAAACAGCCCGTTTACGGCCCGTATTTCACTCTCCAAATAAGCTCCTAGAGTTTGTAATAACCTCACACTATTTACCCTCATCACTTAGCTGCATTGAGTATATAGGGCAAAAGCAGGAGTCCGATGGCATAGAAGCCATCAGTGGTAGCGATTGATGAGTAATCGAAAACGGGGAGTCAGGGGTGGTTTCTAGAGTCACGTGCCGACCCACGTGACCACCCCCACTAACCACGCCCACGTGACCGCCCACGTGACCGCCCACCAACAGTCTGACCCTGCCTCTGCCTGGGGTTGATTGAATTTCGGAGCTAAGATTTCGGCTTCAACTGGATTGTGGCGAAATGCTGTTGCTTGTCTCTTGTTTCAATTAGGCGGTCCGGTGACATTGGTTGTGTCGTTGCACAGACTGACGGTTCGGGATATAAATAGGGCACGTTCCGCCGCCTTATTTTCTTTTCTCTCTCTGTCGCACCGGTCGTATCCACGTTGCTGCCCAGGCACGGAATGACTCCTTGACTGGCCTGGCCGGGCTGCTCTTGCGCATCTTATCCCGGATATAAACCTTGCCGATCCAAACGGCATAACCTAAGTGCTTCCCTGTCGTTTATATCGTACCAGCACGGCTGTTTGGGCGGCGGGTGAGACGAAGAGGGAGTGGATGGCGGTGTATTTGGAGCTCGAGACGATGCTGGCGGCGTGGGGTTCCAGAAATGCCGTCTTTCCAGGGAATTCGCGACATGTTTGGACAGTCCGAGATTTCGGATTTCGGCCATCTTTGAGTTGCGTTCGCCAGTGTCCGAACGGGTGCAACTCGGTGAGTATTTGGGGTAAACGGGCGGCGAAAACCCCATCGAGTAGCCCCACTGATCCGGTCCGTCTCAGAAGTCCAACTGTCCAAATCGGCCCACTGCAACACGAAAGAAACGGCGCATCTTCCAGTCTTTATCTTTTCCGACACGTTAAGCATTAGGCTACAAGTAGGTGCATATATAAAGGTGCGTTTAAATACAAAAGTAAAAAGTCGGAGCTGCCTTTTTATAAGAGGTGTCTTCCGTCTACCGAGCTCAAAACACCCCCGATACACCACCATGGCCGCCCATTTCGATCCCCCGGAGTACCCCTGCAAAAAGTCGACCTTGCCGCCCCGTCCCAAGCTCACCGGCGAGCAGGAGGGCAAGTACAAACAGGTGCTCCAGTTTTTGCAGGAGAAGACGGAGTTTCCAACCTCGGAAAAGGGCGCGGAGAAAAACAGCGGGCCCATGGAGCCGCTGACAGACGAGGAAAAGGCGTGGCTGTCGGAGGAGTGCATTTTGCGGTACCTCCGGGCCACAAAGTGGAACGTTGCGGACGCGCAGAAGAGACTGCTATCTACGCTCGGCTGGAGACGTGAATTTGGAGTGGAGCGAACCCGATCCAACACAATTACCGCAGACCGAGTTGCTGTAGAGAACGAGAGCGGAAAGGAGTTGATTTTCGGCTTTGACAACGACTCGCGGCCGTGCTTGGCCCTCAGAAACGGCCGCCAGAACACCGAGGCGTCGCACAGACAGGTGGAACACATGTTTTTCATGCTGGAACGAGCAATCGACTACATGCCTCCCGGACAGGAGCAGCTGGCTCTGCTGATCGACTTCAAGGCCCACACCAAGCTCGGCAAGAAGGTGCCCTCCATGACCACCGGACGACAGGTGCTTCACATTCTGCAGACACACTACCCCGAGCGTCTAGGCAAGGCTCTGCTGACCAACCTGCCCTGGATCGCCTGGACCTTTATGAAGATCATCCACCCCTTCATTGATCCCACCACTCGAGAGAAGCTGGTTTTCACCAAGCCCTTCCCCGACTACGTGCCCAAGGAGCAGCTGGAGAAGGAGTACGGAGGAGACGTGGACTTTGAGTACCAGCATGCCAAGTACTGGCCCAAGATGAATGAGATTGCCGACAAGAAGCACGCCGCTTTCATGGCGCAATACCACAAGCTTGGAGGAGGCATCGGACTCAGTGAGGAGAAGATGCGACAGCCTCTGGATGCTGACGACCAGGCCACTTTGGTGGGAGGAATGAAGAAGCTGTCCGTTTAAGGAGCCAAGCTTGGACACGAACCTCTAACACCCGATGGGAGCTCTGTGCTTGAACGAGTAGAACGCATCTTCACTTGAAAGGGAGCTTTATGAAGCTACAAATGGAGCTTTGCTGCCTTTCTGACTTAGAGACCCATCCACAACTCTGGAACATGTATCCATGTGCCAGACTAGAATGTAATTAGACTAATGATAATGACTGCTTATGGTGAATCTGTAGGTTGGTAGGAGTGAGAGTGTGACGGCAGTACAATATGGTATCAGTATGTAAAAAGTACGAGTATGGTATAAGAAAGTACGGTGCAAATACGTACGAGAACGGTGTAAATAGGCACAAAAACGATATAAATACGTACAAGCACCCGTACTTTTAGACATTGATACTACCGAGGCTTAGATACTTGCTCTCTGCCCTAATCCGCCATTTTAATATGCTCAGCGTTACAACGGTTGAGTCTGAACCAGAGTTCTCTACAACCACTGTATATACCACCAGCTGGGTGTTTCACGGAGAAAGGCTGTCGACAAATCTACTAGAAACTGCTTCTCTTTTCTCAAACCCCTCTCCGTTTTCTCCTATCCATATCTACAGGCAGGTTCTTCCAGATCACTCACTCACTCATTGATTATTCATCCGCATCACTCGGGCCTTATTACTCACCCGTTATGCAAATCAACTTTATCGGACTATCGGCAGCAATAGACAAAGACCCGAACAAGGACAACCAGTGCATTAGTGGCACCCGCGTTACATGAGCGGTTTTTCGGACATCTGAAACGATGCAGATTTCACTGGCCAAAATGGGTCACGTGACCAACGTAGCGAAAAACAAAATTTAAATCATCACAATCGAAAAAAAAATTAACGTCGCGCCGGGTCGTGTGACATCTCGGTAGTCTGTGGAACTTTAACTAAAATACTGATACTATGGTGTAGATTACTAAGCGGCGGTAAGTCACGGGACCTGGGTTGGCATCGCCAGTAGGGCGCAGTTCCATAACCTCCAGACCTCTTCATCGCCGATACTATCTTGTGGTTGACGTTGGCGTCCTCCTAAATCCTAGCCACCTTCTCCTCGACCTTTCTATATCGGCTTTTCAGATATTTGAGAACTGTCGAGTCGTTTTCTACTGTTTTCTCACATATGGTGTCTTTCTATGTCACTTTCGAGAGGATAAATCGGTACCAAAATGAATCTCCGAGTCTGGATATTCTATCAGTACTATCGGGGGCTCTTTATTGTTGTTTCTTGGTCGCCTGGAAGTATTTTGATTTGATTCTACAAGTATCGTACTTGGTCTACAAACAAGCCAAACCACATTGGACTGCTATCCGGGTTGTCAGAGAGTATGACCATCGTATTTGCGGTTTCGTATCCGGCCTTTATACCGGATAAATGTGCTGTAAAGTGGAAGTCTGTTGAACGGTCAGCATCGAGTGGTAATAGGTCGTGACGTTCGTGGGTTGTGGCATGCCAGAGATGTCAATGTCGAGCGGTGAGAAGGGCTAAGAGACGAATTGAACTCGGACTGGAATAGTCGAGTTCCAGTTAACCCATTGACTGGTTTTATGAATGGAGTTCACTACCGTCGAGCATCTAAACAGATATACAAGTACTGTACGGGCTAGACAGCATCCCTAATGTCTTAGACACGATAAACTAGCTGATAACTCACTTACTAATAAACAAAACAGGTACTTCTACTATACCTACTGTACTACAGATTTACCAACCACTTCACCAATCGTTAGCACTGTCATCATGGCTAAACTCGTTACCTCGTAACGACCAAATAATCGAAACATTCACTTGTACGGTAATCAACAATCACCGTCTCAAACAGGGGTACAGTACCTGGTACCTTGGAAATAGTCGTACAATATAGAGATTATTGAATTATATTGCACAAACGAATTTGTGGTTTATAAAAGTATTTGTTCCAATATCTATACTATGTAAAAAGGCAAGATATTACCTAATCTAATTTCGATTGTTGATATTGAAAAGTATATATATATATATACCCATGCCACTAAACGTTTAATTAGTAATATTCGTGTTAACATACATTAATTTCAAAGATTGTTCTTTCAAAGCAAAGTCATAATCAAATGAACGTATATGCAGAAAATATATATATATATATATATATATATATTCAGTATATATTTTTGATGTTGCATTTCTAACAACACATATACATCAAATAATGTATTTTTATTGAATGAGTAGCAATTTACTTAAAGTAACAGCGGATTGACAGGAGTACACTCATGCGAGACGCAATCAGAGCTTCTTTCGAGCTCAACAAGCCCCTCACCGCGGAACATGCCAACCCTCGAGAAGATCACGAGCCCTCTACAACAGACACAGTTAATCACAGAATTTGGGAACGAAACCAGGTGAACGTGAGAGCAGCAGAATCTTTCCGGGAAGCGCACGTCGACATCGCAGCCGCGAGACGATACCATCCGGTCAGAATGGTGTCCACAGCGGAAATCGACCACCTCCGGTGGAGCATGGGACCACTTACTCTAAAGAACTTCATGTTTCACAAGACCTCGTCTCCCGACTTGCCAAACTTCCCACACACACTTGCACGACCGAAGAAGTGGACTCAACGAAGCGACTACGGGGGCATCGCTGACGACATGGTCTGGCAGGAGGTAATGCATGACCTTCGAAAACACTACATCGCCGACGCCAACAAAGCACAAGTTCTTCACCTCATGCGGATATCTCGACTTCCGCTCGTGAAATGGAGATACCCTGACGACCACGTTTTCACCAAGAAGAATCCAGGATGCGGGCTCTGTGATAAGGCCATCATTCAGGATCTGCACGAGCATATCTTCTGCAAGTGCGAAGTTCTTCTTTCCATGTTGACCAGGATGAAGATTCCGTCAGTGGACTCTCTAAAGGACTGGATCTTTACCGAGTCGAAATGTGGAGTACTCCCCTCTTTCCCAGGGCATGTGAACAGTGACGCCCCCCGGAAACATCAACAAGTCAAGACACGCAAATATCTGCGGGAATTGGCTTATGGGATCTGGAAGATGGAGAGATCCCTCCGGTACTCAGGGGACGACGCCACCCTGGGACATGTCCAACAGGGTTTGCTTCAATTCCTGAAGGAAGCCCAGATGTGTTTCTACGATGGACAACCGCCAGCACTTCACGATGAGCGAGAGTAGCGACAGTAGCAAGCGTAAAAGGCGGCCGAGGCCACCGAGAGAACAGCGTAGCAGGGCGCGTAGTCACCACAGGGGACGCAGAACCAAACCAATGACGAAGAAGAACCACAAGGAGACGTTTTCAAAGGCAATGCAAACGAAGAGGGCAATGGAAGGATTGAGATTAGAGAACTGGAGACTGGAGTGGCGTTTTCCCGATGAACGAACAAACACGCGAAGCTATGTGGACCAACATACAACACGGACTGAACCAGGTTTTTTTATGATTTTTTTACTGGAAATAGGTACGTGCCAAGTTGGACCATGACACTAAACGTGTTTAATTAGTAATATTCGTGTAAGCGTACATTCATTTCAAAGGTTATTCTTTCACAGCAAAGTTATAATTAAATGAATGTTTATGCAGAAAAAAAAAAAAAAAAACAGGGCAGAAAAAGCGTAATATGACTTCAAAGAGGCTTTGCCGAGCGCCAAGCGCATGCTGCCAAGCTCGCAAATGAAACCGCACCTGCAAAAACAGGTCCCCGAGGAGGAGAGATTACTAACAAGGACAGACCTGGCTGTAACGGGCTCAGGCAGGAAGGAAATCACACAGTAAGGCAAAGTGTCAAGATCGTGGGCTGCGTATCGTCCTCTGTCACCTCCTTGCAACTTTTCTCCTTCACAGAAATGTTCAACAAGAAGAAGTCAAACTGCCAAACCCCGTTCCGTTGGTGCTAAACCCGCTGGGACGGACGTTATCTCCGTTGTAATCGGACCCTGTTAGTAATTGACAAGGTTTTACGCGACACGAATTAGCTTACAGTGCCAAAAAGAGTAGAAAATAAATATATGCAATGGTGACGCCAAAAAAGATCATCAAGATGACAAATGGAGTCGAATCGAACGAGCATCTTCCTTCTTCCTCCTTCCACTCCCTTCCATCTTCCACACGGTGCAATTTTCATGCTCTTGTGCATGTACTGTATTTGTAAGCCATCCACGGAACTTTTATAGCAAACTAATTTAAGCCAAAGTGGACCTGCACGTGTGCTGCACAACTTCCAAGTGAAAAAAAAAAAAAAAAAAGGGGGGGAAAAAATGAGCAAAAAAAAACAAAGCAGAAAAAAATGACAACCGAGAGATTCGAACTCTCGCCTCCGAAGAGACCAGGATACTTCGTTAAGGAATTAGCCTTAACCTGGCGCCTTAGACCGCTCGGCCAGGTTGCCCTAACTGTTTGGTCAAACTTTGTTTGAACCGTTAACCGCCCCCTACTGGGTCACGGGTCTTAGCTGACTAAGCAACGACAAGACCAATGGCGCGTATATTTTTGTTTCTCGAGTATTTGTCAATTTCAGCTATTGTCTCTTGCTGAAATGTCTCGTTTGGGTCTCGAAATCTACGCCAAAGTCAGTTTTCGACACGACATGCATAGTCCCACGTACCTGTAGCTACTGTAGCTCTTCACCACCCTCCACCCACACACCTCACACGATAGCACTTCGACGATGGGTTTGTTTGAAAAACTAACGCAAGTGGCGAACCGGCTGGGTCTACGGGACAAGATCAATTGGCTGGTTGCCATTGCTGTCGCTGCTTGTCAGCGTGATTGGAGCGCTCTGGCTGGCAGTTCTGCCTCTAGACGGCCAATATCGATACACCTATGTGAGTGAAAATGCGCTGCTTCCGGGCCAGGCACACACGCATTTTCGCGAGAGTGAGTGGAACCACGTCCGGGCCTACAAGCAGGAGATTCAGGCGATTGTCAATTCGGAGGCTGGCGGTCATATCAATGAGCAGGAGCGAATTTCGCATGTACGAGGGTACCTGGCCGACATCGGGCTCAAGACGTCGCTGCACGAGTGGTCCGTCGACCATTTCTCCGAGTCGTACAACGGCACCAACGTCTACGGCGTCATGCATGCTCCTCGAGGAGACAATGCCGAGGCCATGGTTCTGGTGGCCCCCTGGATCAACCAGGATGGAGAGCACAATGTTGGTGGTATCAGCGTCTTGATTGCGCTGGCCAGGTATCTCAAGCGATGGAGCGTGTGGAGCAAAAACATTGTGTTTGTGATCCCCAGCGACTCCGGTTTTGCTCTACGTTCCTGGGTCACTGCTTACCATACCAGCCTGGCGCTTACGGCCGGAGCCATCGAAGGCGCCATTGTCCTGGACTACCCCGAGGCGTCCAGTGAGCACTTTGATTTTATGGAGGTCTTCTATGAGGGTCTCAACGGCCAGCTGCCCAATCTGGATCTCATCAACACTGCTGTTATTGCTGCCAGCACTGAGAATCTGGCTACTGTGATCCAAGGAGTGACGGAGGACGATGAGAGCTTTGTCAAAAAGTACATGCCTGAATCCCTCAAGGAGTTTTTTGGCAACCAGCAGATGGATGTGCTCAACAGATACGCCAACCGACTCAAGATCATGCTGTCTGGAATGACCCGTCAGCTGACAACCGGAATCAGCAACAGTCCTGGATCGGAGGCATTTTCCGGCTGGAGAATCGACGCCATCACTCTGCGAGCTCGAGGAACTACCGGTCCCTTTGATATCACTACCTTTGGCCGAATGGCAGAAAGCACTCTGAGATCCATCAACAACCTGCTGGAACACTTCCACCAGTCGTTTTTCTTCTACCTGCTGCTCTCGCCCACCAAGTTTGTATCTATCGGCACCTACCTTCCAGGAGCAGTGCTTGTGTGCGCTTCTTTCCCCCTCACTGCCATCTACCTGTACGCCACCAAGCCCAATCGATCGACTTCGCTAGTGAAATCTTTCTTCATCATCATTGCTGTCTTTGGAGCCTGCACCACGATTGGAGGGGTTTTGACTGTCGTTCCTACCTCTGCAGTCGGCCCTGTACTGACCTCTCTCTTCGTCATCAGTGCCTGTCTGCCTATTTTGTCGGTGGTGGCTCCCTCACCTCCTCCTCACCCTGCCAGCGCGCCCGCCGAGCCCAACGTTACCCTGGCCATCTCCTTGTTGCTCCACGGCCTCGTTACCACTGCTCTGGCAACCATCAACTTTTCGTTGGCCATGGTTCTGGGTCTGCTGACCGTGGCATTCAACTTCATCCGTCCTGGGTCTGCTCACACCAAGAGCAACCTACTGATTCTCATCATCACATGCCCTTGGACTTGGCTGGTTGCCGTTGGCGCCGTTTTGCACACCTCGCCCTTCGATATCCTGCAGATGCTCCTGTGGTCGCTTAGAGGTAACCAGGTGTGGACCTGGCAGGTGCTGTTCGGTCTGTGGCTGCCCCAGTGGGTGCTTGCGGTTATTGTCTCGCGCTCTTCTACCCCCGCCCCTGCCCAGTCTACTGTTGGCTATTTCAGAAAGCAGTAATTAATGGGGGGGTGCTTGTGCTTGTGATGAAAGAAGAAAGAAATCATGTCTCAGACCACTGACCAGGTGTTACACCTGATGAATGTATACCCTTGTAGGTATTTAATGTCCGTAATATATTTATGATGAATAGAATATTGGCTTGTGTTTCAACTGCTCGTTAGCTGTCTCTACAGTTCTCACTTGTCATGGTAGATGTTGTTGAAGGTACCCACCATGACCCCAAACTACACTGGAGTCACATTGTTGCTGCTACATATATTGTTTTCATCACGCATGGAGTTTCGGGGGATACCTTCTCGTGGAGGGGTTGCAACTGAGAGAGCTGAGAGGATGTCTTGGTTGAGGATGCCAATAGGGATCTTTGTCGGAGTTGACACCAAACTTGTTCACCTGTCTCAGGTTGGTCACGTCGAATTCATTGGTGTCTTTTGGAAGACGCTGTTGGGGGTGAGGTTTTTCTTTCGGGCTTTGCACTCTCACAAACGCTTTGGCTTTGGGGGCGTACCTGAACAGTCTTAAGTTCTCTCTTCTGACTCTCTTGAAGATAGGAATGGTGACTGTGGGTTTTCTAGCGCCGCTTTCGTGTTTGTACTCTTGAATGAGATCTCTGAGCGATCTTTCTACCTCCTCGCAGGGCTGGATGATCTCCTTGTCCAGTCGGTAGATGCATTCTTTGAGGATACGCACTTTGCTGAGCTTGTGCTCGCGAGCAGTGTGGTAGTCGAACGTCGGTAGGTTGCCGAGATATGCCGTGTACAAGGCCAGAATGAGCACTGTTGCTGCCAGCTCGTAGACAGATATCATCTTGAGCGGTGATAGGGGCTGTTTATGAGTGATCTGTTTACACTGACAAGAGACCGGTCTGGTGGATTGAGTGCGGATAGGTCGGATGGGGTAGGTCGGAGAGGTGTGGGTCGGGAGTACTTGTGGATGTGTCAAGATACCGCTCGGTGTATTCAGCAGTAGGACAGTTGGTATACTCAATGGTGGTGTTTTAAAAAATACAGTAACTGTACAGGTACACATGTTGACACTTTTCACAATATTATTTCGTTTGTCAGATCGCTGCTGTAGAAACAATTGTGTATGTACTGTATGTATGAATGGTTTTCTTTGATCAAAATCAATAAGCCGTTTAATATCTTGTCTGATCAAAAGGTGTACATTATTGGTCTGTTTCCTGTTATTACATTTCATATTTTGCTGAAATTAATTGCAATTAATCTACGAAATTATCTTTAAATGCTGCTTAAATATCCCCAAAGATTAATAAACTCGGATCCATTAACATGCATGAACGCGTAAAACTTGCTCCATGGCGACACACACCATGAATAGCGACATTCCCGATCCCAGCGACTGGATCGACTCCAAGCTGAGCGGCCTCAAAGACGTGGACGAGACTCTGCGCTGCCACATCTGCAAGGAGTTCTTCACTGCGCCCATGATCACGGGATGTGGCCATACCTTCTGCTCGCTGTGTATCCAGCGATATCTCACCAACACCAGCCAGAGATGCCCCACGTGTATGCAGGAGCAGCAGATTTCGCAGCTGCGCAAAAACGTGACTGTCGAGACCCTCGTGGAGCATTTCAGCGCCCAGAGAGCCACGATTCTTCGCGTGGTGAAGGAGGCGGCAAAACAGCCGATTCCAGAGGTGGTGGAGCCACCCAGCAGTCCAGATTTGGACGACGGAAGACGCCGGTCCGGTCGCAAACGTACGCGCACAAACTACACAGAAACCCTGGTCTCGTCGGACGACATTCAGGTCGAGTGTCCTGTTTGCCAGGCCATGCTTCCAGGAGCAGCCATCAACAGACACCTGGACAACAACTGCAACGACACCGGAGCCAATGGAGGCAACTGGCTGGGCACCAAGAAAAAGACCAAGCCGCTGCGCAAGATTCAGCGAGTCAACCAGGCGTCAGAAAGCGTGGCCAACGTGCGTCGCAAACTGCAGGATGAAGGCCTTTCTACTTCGGGGTCCAAACAGACGCTGTTTCGGCGCTACGACGAGTGGGTGACGCTGTGGAACGCAAATGTGGACAATAAGACGCCACGGTCAAAGAGCGATATCAAGGACGATCTGCGAAGGTGGGAAACGACAGTGGTGGCAAACGAAAACGCACAACCGGTGAAAATGACCATCAAGAACATTGACGATAGACAGTGGGTCCAGAAACACAAGGAAGACTACGACTATCTGATCGAACAGGCAAGGAAGTCGATTCTCAAGAAGAAACAGGAAAAGGAAAAGGAGCAGCAGCAGCAGCAGGAGGGGCACCAAAAAGCAGTGGATCGCAGGGAGGACAACGAGCCGGACATGAAGAGGAGTGAAACAGAGGGGTATCAGGTTGTCTCCTAAGACATAGAATGCATGCATGTTAACACTTACAATAGACATAAAAAGATTTATTTGAATCACAGAAGCGCGTTTCGCCGCAAGATCGCCCAAGTTTGAAGTCGACAGTCATCGTGGCACAGAGCTCCCACAGGCGTGAAAGTACGACGTTTTGATTCGTCTCGTTCCGCTCTTCAATTTGATCTAACAATATCCACACAAAAAAAACACAACTCCTCCCAAAACTGGGTTTCGTATCGAAGTGAGGACCTTCACCAGTCAGAAAGACGTCTCGAATACCTGTCTTGAACAGAGACCAGAAGAAGAAACAAAAAAGAAAGAGCCAAAGAGCTCTTATGGACGACACCGGAATCGAACCGGGGACCTCGCGCATGCTAAGCGCATGTGATAACCAACTACACCAGACGCCCACGATTGGAGATGCGGGTTGGATACGTGCGTTTTGAAAGACAAAGTGCGGATAATTCGTCGTAATGAATCATTAGAATAAAAAAAAAAAGTCGTGTTATTTAATCTAATTATCGACCCTTTTTGTAAATATTTATTCAAGCAGCTACTTGTACAAAACAAGTATTTTTGTCAATGTTTTTTTGTATACAGTGTACCCAAGACGTGTCTTTACTTGTATATATACTGTAATTATATATAATTATATATACCCACTCTATTCTACATTCACACAAAACTGTTTACCGCTCAAAACAATATTCAGTGTCTGAAACACTCGCCGCCATTGAACCAACACAATGAGAGATATCCAGGCCAGATTTGCAAACTACCACTCAGATACCCCAGCCAGATACACCGACAGATATCCTTCAACACATCCAGTGTTTCAAGGCACAGCAAAGCGAGCCACCAGAACCATGTCTGGCTTCGCTAAACACACGTCAATGAGAAAAGCGATTGCCCAAAACCAGCTCAAGATGCATGTTCAGACCCAGGACTTTGGAATTGCTGTAATCCGGAACGTGCGAGTTCATCAGACCCAGGACACTGTCATGTCCAAGACCCGCGACTTTCTCGTCTGGTTCGACGAAGTGTGGGAGGGAGCAGACAAGTGGAGGTTCGATGATAACTGGAAGGAGTTTGACGACTCTTGGGGCCAGTACACGGAGCACCGTCTTCTCCTTCGTGTGAGGTGAGGACTGGGGCATGTCATAACATGATCCCTTTAGCTACATTTGACTACAGCTTTGATATTAACGGGCAGGTGATACATAACTAATGAACAAAATAGAAAGAAACTGTTTTCAGAGCTGTACAAGTGCTTATTGAACTGGAGCAGTAGTAATCGTAATAGTCTGGGCTGGTCAATCACATAAATACAATTCTTACTTATACTAGATCTGCAACACTACCACTGACGGGTTCCAACAATCTTCTGGTAAGCAATGGCCACAAACAGGATGAGAATGGTCAGAATGATAATGTCAAACAGCTTGTTGCCTCCAAAGTTGCCATCGGCAGGGATATCAATGACTCCGAGAGTGTTGGAAGCAGACACAGAGACAGCCATGGTCTCATCCTCGTTAAGAGCAACTCGGGTGATGGCAAACTCATGGGCCTCTTTGTACTGTTTGAGCAGACGCAGGTTGTCGGCGGAGAAAATGGATAGACTGAGGTCCTGGTGGGCAGTGAAGATGTACTTGTCGTGGCAGGCCAGAGCAGTCACCTTCTTGAGGTTCTTGTACGAGCTGAATGACACCTCTTCGAACTTGTCTCCGTGCATCTTGACCAGCTTGATACCATCCTTGGCTCCCACAGCAATAGCAGCAACCACCGCCGAGGACTTGAGGAAGGCAGCCCGGGAGAAGGTCTCGCCCTTGATAGACTCCGAGTTGAAAATGTGCTTTCCGTCGGCCGAGTTGGCTACAACAAGAGTCTTGTCCGTCACGTAGACAAACTTGGACTCGTCCAGAGACAGAGACATGCCGTTGATCTCACTCTCGGTCTTCTCCTGGAAGTTGACTGCGTGATCCTTGACATCAATGGAGTAGATGTATCCAGGAGCCGTGGAGTTGCTGAGAATCACAGACTTGTGCTTGGGCACAGCCAGCGCCCCCTTCTGGTAGTCGAGAATGCCAACGTCTTCAAAGACTTGTGAGGACTTGGTTTCGCTCCATTTCTCCTTGTCGTCCGAGAGCGAGAAGAGTCGCAGATGCTGGTTCTTGCCGCTCTTGAGAGTTTCACTGTTGCTGTTTACACCGGCGTAAATGGTGTTCTTGTCGAAAATTGCTAAGCTCGTGGGATTGTCTTCTTTTTTCGACAGCTCAATCTCGGAGATCTTCTTGGGCATGTCGGGTCCCTTGATCTTGACGATGCTCTGAGTTAGTGTGCTCCACGTAACCAGTGACCAATCACATGAATCACATGAATTGGTTACGGCACAGAATGCCACATTGAGCAAAGTTTGTCCACTTTGTTTGTGTCTGTTTCCAACCCGCCAGAAGCATGCCTGCCACCACGGTTCAACCACTGATACTCACCAGCTTGTTGGGGATGCCGTGGTTTCCCTCTCCGCCGCCTCCGCCGACGATCACGTGATCCTTGTCGAGAAATTCGGCCACAAATAGTGGATAGTCGAGCTCCAATCCTCTCAGTGACATTGTGTGTATGGGTGGTTTGCTGCTGGTGATGTTCGGAGCTACGAGTACGTGTTGCGCGCGTTGATTAATTTAGCTCATGCATGAAGTTCTTTAATGGAGAGAGAGGTAGAAGTCGGAATAAAATAGAAATAAATTCAGATTTATTCGCATTAATTCGGGTGATTGTTGAAATATATATAACCCGCCAAATCCCGTCCCTGTAAAATTCTCACCTTCTGAATGAGCCAATGTTGAGTCCTTTCATCGAAACACCCAATTATGTCGTTTGCATAAGCGAGGCGTTGGATGTGAAATAATTGTAAGATCGCACAGAATAATTAGTTTGCTGAAGTTGATGTCCATCTGGTCAACTGGGGCATTTTTTCATAGCTCATCATTAACAGTTTCTTTTATCTGCGAGCTCATGTAGTTTTTGTTTCGTGCAAACTGTAGAAACTACCGCGAGAGAAGCACATTGCATCATCCATTGTGGGATTACTTGACAAATGTATAATTTGTTGAACATTTTGTTTACTTCTTAAACATTCACTTAGAGAGTTTATCTCCACTTCCACTAAACCAACCCCTACTACTTACCTCATCTTCTCCCAGGCAGACAAAGTTCGGCATGAAGGAGAGTGTATCTCTCCCGATAAGCGCCTACTTGTAGACTGATCTCCCCATCCCACTTTTACACAACACAGACACCAATGAAACACCTGCTTGCGATCCAGTCCCACGTAGTCCATGGCTACGTGGGCAACAAGGCAGCTACCTTCCCTCTCCAGTGCTTGGGCTGGGAGGTGGATGCTCTCAACACGGTGCATTTTTCAAACAACACGGGATACGGCACGGTCAAGGGCACCAAGGCGTCTGCTCAGGAGATTCTCGACGTCTACGAAGGCCTCAAACTTGCAGGGCTGTCGTATGAGTTTCTGCTGACCGGCTACGTTCCTGGAGAGGAAGGAGTGGAGGCAGTGGGAAAGGTGGGAGAAGATCTCAAAACCAACAACCCTTCGTTGATCTGGCTGCTGGATCCGGTTCTGGGCGACGCCGGACGAATGTACGTGTCGGAAAAGACCATTCCTGTGTATCAGGATATTCTGAAGAGTGGCAAGGTGACGTTGGTGACCCCCAACCAGTTTGAAGCAGAACTGCTCACAGGAATCAAGATCACAGACCGAGAAACGCTCAAGCAGGCGCTGACAGCCTTCCATACTACCTATAAGACACCTTACGTGGCCATTTCGTCTCTGTCCTTTTCCGATAACGACAATATCCTCTACTCGGCAGGATCTACGCTGGACAAAGATGGATCGACCTCAACATACATTTACGAGTTCAACAAGATCAACTCATACTTCACCGGCACTGGCGATATCTTTGCAGCTCTGCTTTCCGACAGATTCTACACCTATCACACTCTCAAGCCAGTTCCTGACCCACTGTCTGTGGCTGTGGGAGAAGTGCTGGGAGTGGTTCAGCAGATTCTCAAGATAACCGATGAAAGCGCTCGAAAGTCGGGTATAAAGAGAGGCGAGATTGGCAACGCCGAGAGCATGAAGCAGTGTGAGCTGCGAATCATCGAGTGCAAGGATATTTTCGGTGATGCCACCGTCCCTTACAAGGCCCAGACCATTTAACCCCATATAGATGCTACAATAGATGTATTATTAGTAGTCCCGACGAGTGTATCGACACGAAAGGGTACAGACAAGCTGACGAGAGTGATCTCTGTTGACTTTTATATTGCTTCGCCAACTTTGAGGACACCCATTCACTGGAAACTCCACCATCTCTATTGATTGTCACGAGCCAGATACACGCAGGTACAACTGACGACAGTCTGACTACGGTCCTTGGATCTGCACGCTAGCCATTTCAAACCATTGTTTGCAGCAGAAACCCCGTCGGCTTCTCTGATTACACTACCCCCTTTGGTCTTACCTATAGGGCGCCTCTCCACAGCACGCAAAAGAGAGTCTTTGGACGCTGGTTCGCGCAGTTTTATCCCCAATTTCACCCTTTCTTTTTCTTCTTTTGGCCCTACAAGAAAATCAAGTGAGGAATGAGACTCCAAACTTCATCTGTAGCCCTTTTTTGGCTGGCTCTTCGGCCTTTTGGTACACTACCAAATCGACATGATCAGAGTTGATGTCCCCTTGGAGGAAGAAGAGAGGAGCTAAGAACCTTGCGATGGCCTTTGAATGAGAGTCTCGAGTTGATTGATAGCTTGGGCAGGATGTGATTCAGAAGTGTGTCAGAAGTGAGTCAGAAGTGAGTCCGGGGAGGTGATTGAGAATGAAAGGGGTTAGAACAAGCAACAAAAAGAGTGGAAAAGAAGGAAATATCAAGAGATTCCTATGTAAACATCTGCAGCTACCAATTTATAACTGGTCCCTATGTGCAACCGCCTCATGGCCCCTGCCGATGCTACTTGTACTGGTACGCTGCTCGGTTTCTGCAGCAGCAGAGAGGGAGCTCGAGATGACTCTGTCCATTGTCTCCGGCACTTGTAGCCATGACCTGCCATTACAAAAGGAGGTCTGAGCCTGCTTCTTTTGGTTTAGGACTCACTGACTGAAGAGTATTTCATATTCTGTCGTTCCAACTAGGGTTGCCATTAACCAATGGTCAATCTCTAGTCGGCCCTCCTAGCCACGCAATTCTCCGATTACGATCTTGGACTCTCCACTCTCATGGAAGACGGCTCCCGAGGGAGATGGAATCGTTGCTCTGGACGGCCAATGGTGGGCCCACTCGAGAGCTCTACCGCGACCTCGTTTTTTAAAGGAAAGAGTCAGCTGTCTTGGCTCGAAAGAAAACTGATAGCAATCTTCAAGCGAAGTTGATATTCAGCGAGAAACACATTCTCCAATCTCGCTGCCACCACTCCAACAAATGGAGGCCATCCCTGGAACATGAGAAGAAAGGACTGATGTTGAATAAACCAACTTTTGCTATACACCAGACTCTTCTCTCTAACAGAGAGACTCGTCAGGAGAGTCTCAGCACTCTGGTGAAGGATTCGACTGAGCACGCCATCAGGTAGACAAAACAGCTGAGAGAATTTGTTCTTGGAATGGAAACTGGAGATGAAACTGAAGGTTTGTCACTCACGTCAGGGGGCATCTGAAAGCAGGAGAACCTGAAAACTTGATCTGGGCTCGGTGAAGATAGCCGACGCCCTAGGTGGCGAAGGTCGGGGGAGGTTTGATGACATGTTTGGTCTTTCTGAGCATTCAAGTGTCGAATATCGGTCGCGAATGGCAGAAGCCTGTGAGGTCGTCGGTTTATCTGCTGCCCTCTTTGGAACTTTGCTGTTGTTTCATTAATGATGACACTTCTTGACAGAGCAAGTTGGAGCGGAGTCTTCAACTCGATAGGAGCTACACAACCAGGACCCAATTGTCCAAGTTGTAGTGGTCCAGGATACCCTCTCCAGAGTATGAGACGCGCCAGAGTCGCGGAAACACCCCATTGTCTTCCTACTCTCAAATCCACAAACGTCCACAGCCCTGTATCCATGTAATTGTACGAGTAAGACGCAAGTTAATGTATGCGTTAGCGTCATCATCGAGAGACTGAAGAGCAGTACAAGACACAGGGTCACGATCTCAGGTCCAAAAAAGAACAGCTTCGCAGCTGATAGGGCCCAACCGGGAATTGAACCCGGGACCTCTCGCAAATTGCCTAGGACACCCTAAGCGAGAATTATACCACTAAACCATCGGGCCCTGGATGAAATTTCCGAGTTCCGATGGAGTGGGGGATCCTAAAAGTGTAATTTTTAAAAAAAATGAAGAAAAAATTCGGTTTTGGGAGGAAATTGGGGGTTATTTTGGGCTAAAAAGAAAGATAATCACTTAAAAATCATCTTCAATTGTTATTATCCGCCATTTCCTCACCCTTGACACTCATATCTTGCTGTTTCTATGACTCTTTTGTCCACCTCGGGTAGTCCTTCTGTATACAGTTTCGCTTATCGGATAACAAAAGTTTATATTTTACTTCTCCGCACAAGTGACTAATTCCTGGATCATATATAATTCATTCTCCCCGCACACCACAACAACACCAAAAAAAAAACAAAAAAAAACACTGTTACACAAACAGCAATGTCAGTGTTTCAAACAGACGTGCACGCTACTCTTCCCCGGACAATTGGCGGAAAGGGCACGGAATTGACCATCGAAGAAGATGGACAGACTCGAACGGTGCTGGACGCGTGTGGAGGAGCAGCGGTGGCAGCCCTGGGACACGGAAATGAGCGCATGATTGCCAAGATCCAGCAGGCTGCCGGTCTGCCTTACATTCTGAGTCACGGGCTGGGCTCGAAGCACGCAGATGATCTGGCAAAGTACCTGGTAGAGCAGTCTCCTGAGGGCTCCTTTTCCAGTGCTGTCTTCCTCAACTCTGGCAGTGAGGCCAATGAAGCAGCTCTGAAGCTTTCCAAGCAGTACTTTGTGGAGAAGAACGAACCCAAACGAGTCAATTACATCTCGCGACACTTCTCCTACCATGGCAGCACTTTAGGCGTTCTTTCTCTGGGCGGATTTCAGTCACGTCGAAAGCCCTACGCTGACGTTCTCAACACCTCAAACTTCCACAAAGTTTCCACCTGTTTCTACTATCGGGGAGCCAAGCCCGGTCAGACGGAAGAGGAATATACCCAGCAGCTGCTAGACGAGCTGGATGCCAAGTTCCAACACCTGGGTCCCGAAACCGTCATCAGTTTCACTTGTGAGACCGTCATTGGAGCAACTCTCGGTTGTGTGCCTCCTACGAAGGGCTACATTAAGGGCTGTCGAGACATTTGCCACAAGTATGGTGCGCTGTTCGTGCTGGACGAGGTCATGAGCGGAATGGGACGCTGTGGAACGTACCATGCTTGGCAGCACGAAATGGACGAGGGCCCAGATCTGCAACCCGTAGCCAAGGTACTTGGAGGAGGATATGTGCCTCTGGCTGCCGTTCTCATCTCTCCAAAGGTGTACAATGTGTTCAAAAGCGGAAGTGGTCACGTGGTTGGACATCAGACGTACCAGGACCATATCTTTGCCACAAGTGTAGGTCTGGAGCTTCAGAAGATCATCAAGGAGGACCAACTGGTGGAAAGAAGCCGTTTCCTTGGTCTCAAGCTTGAAAAGATGCTCAAGAAAGCACTTGCCAACAACCCCAACGTTGGTGATATTCGTGGACGAGGTCTCTTCTGGGACGTGGAGTTTGTTCAGGATAAAGAGACAAAGAAGGCGTTCCCTAGAGCAGTGGGGTTTTCCACCAAGGTTTACAAGGCCGGCATGAAGCGAGGAGTTCATTTTCTGAAGGGTGTGGGCACTGTGGATTCGTTCGAAGGGGACCATATCATTCTCAGTCCACCTTATACTGTCTCCGAAGAGGAGTTGACCAAGATAGTGGATGTGTTGAAGGCTAGTGTTGAGGAGGCTCAGGGTGAGTCCTTGTAACAATCCAGTTATATTCATCTTTTGCTCTGTGGTCTATCACTGTATGTTCTATGCATATAATACAATGTTTAATATCGTGTACTCTTACTTGCACCAGGCGGGGATATAAAATACTACCATAGTTTTCTTTTCTCAGTTTTCCGCCCACAATTCTCCGCCTAAACAGTTTCCTGCTATTCGCAAGTGGTCTGGTATGATTTCCTTCTTCTATATATCTGACTAGTGTTTCATGCTAACCATCCATCTCATCAGGACAGCCATATTCCCTTTCCAAGGTGGATTTACTTTCTGTCTCTTTCGAGACGCCAATGTTGACCACTGGGTTGGTTTGCACAAGCCAGGTTTACTTTTGTTTCTCATGAGGCGGAGTGTCCGCTTCAGGACTGTTCCTTCGGTTGTTGGAAAACATGCAACGAACTGTTTTTTCCACCATTAAATCGGTGCTAATGGCTCTAACTGATGGAAAGGTACGAAATTTACTCTGAAAACAAAAATTCCACATAAAACTGAACGGGGGACTGAACCTGAGAGGGCTACACTACAAGTAGGCGTCACCGGGTTCCTACAGGGAGTGAGAGCTTGAAGGCACGAGGACGCGGAGGGTTGTAATGAGAGTCATTGATGCAACTGATGTAGGAATGAGAAGGGGGTGGAGAAACAATGGTTTAAAGGCCCGGTATATCTCACTCATTTCCAAAGAAGAGACAGTCAAGTGCTCGTATGACTCCTCAAACATTAGCTTGTAGTTTGGCGATAAGGTTGCTGGAGGTGCATTATCTGAACTCTAATGGGCTCGGTGAGATGAAGAACAAGAACCGTCAACAACATCAGTTACTACTGTATCTAGTACAGTAAATGATTAGTGGTTTGGAATTGGTTGAATGACAATGTCATATTTCTTTGGAAATGGGTTGAATGATAATGTCATACTTTGTTGATGGATGATGTTCTTAGCTGGGGTAACAATGATCAGGCCCCCGGTCAAAAGAACTCTCAACCTCCTGCTTGGTTATAGACTGCTAAAGTACATACTGCAGTTGCAACTTTTCAACACTTGTGCTGCCATCGATACAACAAATTTCATTACTTTCCCTCCTCCTGCTCGTTCTCATCTCACTAGTCGATTGTCTGCTGTATGTACTGTACTTCACGTACCTGGTCAACCCGATCAAGAGTCAATGTGCAATACCATCATTGGTCGTTACTTTCTGAATATGGTTGTAACGTGAAGGATCAGTCCAACTGCATATATCTCACCAACCCAACTACTAGCAGCAGATCTCCAACCGCAGCTTATTAATCAAAAATATCAGAGGAACAAAAAATACACCGATCAGCTGAAGCTATGGGACTTAAACCCACAATGTTTCCTCCACTGTCAGTTCAGAGAACTTGACATGGACAGGAATTGAACCTGCAACCCTTCGATTACAACCGAGAAGACTGGAGTCGAAAGCTCTACCATTGAGCCACCACATCAGTGCGTCGGATCCGGCTTGGGTAGGAGCCACTTGTCTGGGAAAAGAAAGAAAAGTGCTATGATGACAAGTTCATATGGTCTATCCACCATCAGCACCCCAGGATTATGCGCAAAACAGCTACCGTCCACATGGCCAACAGTCTACTGATCACATATTCCTACACGAACAAGAGTCACGTTTTTTACCTGTTGCAACGAGCCCACGTCTTACAGAAACATTGTCGCAATGACCACGTTTATCACATGCCATTCGACTTTACGTCATCTCTAATACCGTCTACTGCTTCTTCGTTTCTCAGCAGTCCAAGATGTCAGTGTCTGATACGACTACGGTATGTACAGTATGTACTATACCTTTTAAATATTGATCCGGTCAAGAGATGGAACAGGAAGAATCCGTGAACAAGCGAAAAAGAATGCAATGCGCTCTTCTGAACGATACAATCCGAATCCGATTTGCGGGTATAACATTGTTTTTAGGCCCAAGTAGCTGAAATGTATTCAGAATTAAAAGAAGAAAAAAAGAAACAAACAAAAAGCAATGGACAGTTATTCACATTATAAAGAGACTTGTATATTAGTCTAGTCGTTATCTAATCGTTATCTAATCGTTATCCAGTTGTCATATAGGTTTTTACTCGTTTCAACTTTTTACAACTGCTGTAAGACTTGTAAGCGGAGTAAAGAGACATGGGGCTATGAGTGATGAAAGAGATACTGAAAAGTAAGCATTCTATCACTCTTGAGAGCTGATAAAATCCTTTGGAGCGTATATAATTCAACTTTGATGGACCGCCGTCAATTCAAATCACTTCAGATCTGGGCCACTGGAGTGATGGTATGTACTGTAGTCAAAGAAAAATCATCTTACACCCTCAATTATTTACTCATACTTGGAGTGTTTGAACTTTTATTCACGTTTTTTACGTAAATACAACCAACGTCTTTCAGTCCAGAAGTATCTGATATTGGGAACCCCAAAAGATGTGCAAGTATCTATTTTGTGCGCGGAAAACACCAAAAACAACCTTGGAATCCGAATAATACATTGCCAACCAACAAGTACTACAACCACACTGTTCATGACTGTGCTCCGCCAGCCACCGTTAACTTTCTTTCAATCATATTCACTATTAATAAATAGAGTCGATCAACGACATGGCGACTAGAAACGGGCCCAAGATGCAGCTGGGGCCGTCTCCGATGCAACCTATCCTGATAGATTGCAGTTTAACTAGGACAGTTGTGTTTGTCCTAATGAACGAAAAAACTATCAAACAATCCTCCCACCGTGCCCATCTTGGTTAGTATCTATCCAAGACCGTAATCCAATGAAGGAGCCGTAGCACGGTGGTAATCTGCACAAACTGTAGTGAGTCTGTGCAGAGAAAGACACCAGTTTCACACAGGTGATTCATCGTGAACCCCAAGGTCTCCACTGTACGTCCATCAGCATGCCCTCCGTTGAATATGCATGCTGCTCAGTGAAGTAAGAGCTGTGGGTATTCTGGGCGTCACTGGGTGTCAGTATGAGTTTAGAACAACCTCGCTTCCACACAAGTATGATCAAGGGCCAGTCCAGGTTGAAATTGGAACTGACCCTGGTGTTTTGAGAGGATCTAAATGGGTTTATATATTGAGCAGAAGCGGTCGGTGGCGAGATTCACGTGGGTGGCAAACTGGACATGTGGCAATGAGACAGGCACTCAGAATATTGGCATAGCTATGGGAAGACCATGGTGAAAGATAGAGCCGGGAATATGGACATATCCGACACCCCCTCATTACCAATTACAGCAACTTCATCATATTATAAAATAAAAAGTGCAGTAGTTCTTGTACAGTACATACAGTACTGTACTGTACTGTACTTGTAGTATATACCATTCATGTCCGTCAATGATATCTCCAGAGTTAGATCTCATCGAGCTGATGAAACTGTACTTTCGCCACTGTGGGAAGCCCTCGCCAACACTTCCTCCTGAAGTAATGATAGACGAGTATAACCGACATCGTGTCGGTTATACTCGTCACATGTATCTATAACCCCTCAATCTTTTCACAAGGCGAAATGGAAGATTCAGAAATCTGTAGAACAAACTTTGTTCGCCACAGTAGACTGCAGCTGAACTGTAAGATAGGGCGTGGTTGAAAATTGGAGGCAGAGTAGATTCTCGAAGGAAGGGGAAATAATGTCTAGCTTCACGCGACTTTTGAGGGTGTATTGTATGTTATTTAGCTCCATAGAGGCCCCTACCTGTCTATACTGTTCACCTCACCTTGCTGATTTTCGCCACATTATAAGCTGCTTCAATTTTAACAAGCGAATAATTTTTTTGAGTTGGACAAACAAACAGAACGTTAGCGAATACGATGCACACGCGAGTCATACCTCCATTTCACACGAAGATTTCTCCAGAAGATAACCAGCTTACTGGGCGAGGGTGTCTTAGTTCTGAGAGCACAGAGTGGGTCGCCGGAGTGTGTCCCCAGAGTAGGTCACCAGAGTGAGTCCCCAGAGTAGGTCACCAGAGTGAGTCACCAGAGCGAGTCGCCAGAGTGGGTCGTCAGAGTGATTCTCTGTGATTCTCTGTGATTCTCTGTGATTTTCTGTGATTTTCTGACATTTTGATCGACTGACCCGGTAAAGTGTCTGTTAAAGGTAATGTTCAAGGAATACTGGTTGCGTCCTGTGCGCTCGTTGCTACATTACGTACAGTGTTGAATGCAATGACACCAAGCTCCATACATTCCATTACACAGTTGTTATGATGTTCTAATTCGACCAAACATGAACAGCTCCGGGAATATCCCCACTCAACTCCACAATGTCAGATTCTTGGGTGTACTTGGCCTTGGCAATGGTAACCTGTCGCTTGGTGGAATCAAAAATCACCAGGGCTCTGGAAATCAAAGGAGGGCCCGTCAGTAGCGTCTTCTGGTCATCGGGAGCGATGGTGATGTCCGGAAATCGACATTTTCCCTGGTCGTCCTTCCTAATAAAGATGGAAAAGTCCACAGGAACAAAAGTCGTGCCAAACACGTACTCAAGAGTGGGCTTGGCTCCGCAGTCAACATACCATCCGTTGGAGTCGTAACCTCCATTGTGCTGATTGCTGATTTGACCCACAGTTGAGTTAGAGAGCTCTAGGGTGATACCTCCTGTGTCCAGAATGACACTATGTTTGACATCCTGCTGGGCGTCTTTTCCATCGACTTTGAATCCAGAGATGGGCACCTGGTAGAATTCGTAGTCCACATCTTCAATGTCAACCGTCGTCAGAGGACCCTCGTACTTTTTGGAGTCGAATCCGCCGTAGTACACGTTAGAAATGACGTGATCCCACGAAGAAGATGTCTCATGAGTTCCAATTGGTTCTTCAGAGTTAAGTGAGAAAATCGACCGAGGGATCTTACCTGCCGCGGCCAGACTCTCTGCGTAGCTCGCTTGTGCATCATCTCCTTTCAATGGACCCTGCCCAAACACTCCCAGGTTGTTATCAATGGTATCAAGAGACACCCACACCTGCATATCAACGTCAAGACCCGCATACTTGACAGTGTCGTTTCCAGTGATTCCATTTCCATCCCAGCCAGGAGCGTATCCGTTGAACTTCCAGGTCTTGGAGGCCGAAATGTCAAATGAAACACCTTGCTGACATTGGCCCTGAAGACAAGCCGTGGAGTTCGTACCAGGGACCCACAAGTGTCCCGATCCAGTGTCGAAAATCACACTTTTGACTTGCTGGGAAGGAGTGCCCACTTCAATGTCGGCCAAATAGTAGAGCTGACCCATAGAGATGTCACCGTGGGCCGGTCCGCCCTTCAAAGGCACCTTGATGACTCCAGCAGCAGCCACGGAAGCAAGGAGGAGGTTTGAGAAGATCATGAAGATTCGATTTGGTACATTTGACAAAAGAAAAACCCCCCACTTTTATATATTTCAACAAGATTCACGGCGCAAAGTTAGATCTGAAGTGGAGTTTCTTTGATCCGGTTTAGTGGAGGGGATAATGAAGGTCTGAAGCTGAGATTTAGCATCGATTACAACGGCCATTATAACTCATAATTCCCGTTGCTTTCACTAGAATCCACCCATAATTGATGTTGTGGACAGAGACCTTGCCCACCTTATCAATGTAACATTAGTTGATCGACAGAACCTAATGAGTGTGCCGTTTGACAAGAGGTGGCAGAGATCCTGGTTGCGAAATGTCCCGTGAATCTTTCAAGATGGCTGTGAAGTGCCACAACCAGAGTTTTGCGTAAAATTGAAGGCTTTTGGTCCCCCATTTCTACATGTGGCTTTCTCATAGTAGTGGCACCAACTGTATATTTTGAGATTGAGAGGGGTCAGGGGTTTAATAAAGCTCACATTGGAACTTTGACGTCTCAACTATGTGCTCAAATCGTCAGATTTCCGAATACACTGTCTCAAACAGTCGAAATCGCCGCCAGGAATTTTCGACATATTTCAGAGGTAAGTGGAAAACTTTTCTCAGAATTTTGTAGTGGTCCCGGTGGCCGAGTGGTTAAGGCGTTGCCCTGCTAATTTGTTAGCTGTCAGGCAGTGGGTTATGCCCGCGCAGGTTCGAATCCTGTCCGTGACGATATTTTTGACTCCAGTTTTGAGAGGCAATAATTGCTTTGATTAGATCCACCAGTGTCGCTTTTTTTTGCTTTTCTTTTTTTATTATTATTACTTTTCTCGGGTAGAATGTTGGTTTTGTTTCACTTGGCTGTTTGGGTGTTTTTTCCTTAGCTTCCTTATGGGTAGATGGAACCATCGCCAAGATGGTCACCACCAACGCCCACAGACTGTGGGTCGTGCAGCCCGATGTGCCCTCTCCACAGCCGTCGACCCCCTCTGGTCAGCCGGCCTCCAAGACCCACGGTCCCTCTCACCACGCTGCTCACAACGGTAAGCTGATTGGAGTGGTGTCGCTGACCGACATTCTCAATATAGCCAATAGCTCTGTCGAGATGATACATCCATTAAATACTGTAGAACAGACTATTCTCACACTGTTAAGGTACTCTTAGTAAGCAAGATTTCAGGTGATTGGATGGTCATGTGACTCCCAAAGACTCACCTGAGGATTCTCATTCTTCAAGTGAGGGGATCATCATATTAAGGTTATTCAACAAAATTTCGTTAAAGTGTTGAGGTAATGTTAAGTATTTGAACAATAACGTTGAAACTCCCAATTAATTCTTCACAAACGACATGACACACAAACTGAGAAGAATGTTCCACAGGTTGAAACAATTATATATAGAGTTAGTTGAATGTTAGTAGATATGCGGCCCATATATGGTTCTTCCCAATAAATCTGTTGAGTAAATATAAACTATAGACAATTTGTTGAGTAACTTTAAATTGAGTGCCATAAACTTGTCGTGCCATAAACTTGTCAGATAATCAGGCCACTTTTACCAGAAAATCAGGCCATTTTCTCGAAGCTTATTTCACCGGGCATAAAACAACACCAGAGATGTATTTCTGGTGTTAGCGTTGATAATGCAGGGACTAATGAGATGAAAACTTTAGTATGCACTACTTCGAACCCAAAAATTGAACATCGTCAAAATTGGAGTTGAATGGAGTCGAATTCGCGATTTTATATAATCTTTCTTGATACGAACCCCGCACGTAAAAATCAGGCCATAATTTAAGGTCACATATTGGTTATAGCTTAATTGTCTGTTTGTGTAATATAAATATACCCCCAGTTTCTAGATTCACCAGAATCCTCTATTCATGTTAACCATCATCGCCAAGAATCCGCCAAGTACGTGTTTCGTCTCGAACACTGAAATAGACGGCTTCTTTTTGTCGCCGGCTAAGAAAGAGGCGGCTTGAGTGAGTATTTATGCTTTCTTCTGTTCGACTGGCACCACTGGGGACTTTTTGGCACCATTGAGACAAAAATCGGATGTTTGTGACACAAACAGCTCGACACACGACACCACACAACATCATGGGATACCTCGGTTTCATTACATAAGCCGATGACACTGCAACTACAGACACTGTCTCCATCACCAACCACGCTTTTCGACGACTGATTCCCACAACCAAGCCATGTGACACAAACGCGACACTAAGTGACACAAACGCGACACAAAAACGACACAATAACGACACAGGCAAACAACATACTACAGATATCTATGTTTCCAGCACCTTGATCGCCGTCCAACCAAGTGTCTCAGCTACAAGAGGAGTCCCCACAGTTGCCATGTCTTCTCCATCACATTTTTTCAACTTACTAACACAGATGGGCGTCCTACGATCTAGTTACTACCATAGGTAGCGCTAGTCATAGACGGGTGCTTCCCGAAGAGCTATGAGCCAAACGACTGCGTCTTCCGAGGGTGTCGGATAGGCACCAGTCAGGCCAGAGTCTCCAGGGGGGCATCTCAATCCCAGGGAGGAATTTACTTTGTTTACAGGGAGGGTGTGCGTTAACCATGCCCAGGTTCCAAGCATGCTATGAACTCTGGGACAGAGTGTCATAGGGAGTGCCCCGGACAACCCGTGTCTACTGGCGATTTTTGTCTTTAGACACGACGCTACAACCCAGTCAGTTTCAAACCAACTTGCAATCACCCTTCGCGTCCCAAGAGGGGAGTCTGATTGCACAGAGACAAAACCAGACTAGCGTCACTCACGTTCTCGGCGGAACCGGTTCGTGAGATTTACTTTTTTACTTGCTATCGATGATAATTTTGGCACTGGTGATGTTGGAGCATAGGAGATGATGCTCTTGGTGGTGGAAGGGAGGAGTGGATTTGGGGGCTTGTTTGCAAGACAGGAGGCGTGAGGATAGTTAGGGGTGGTGGGTGGTGGATGGTAGATGAGGGGAGTTGGAAGGTGACGAGGGGTGGAAGATGAGGGAGTTGGAAGGTGACGAGGGGTGGAAGATGAGGGAGTTGGAAGGTGACGAGGGGTGGAAGATGAGGGGTGGTGGGAGGCCGTAGGCCGTGGATTGTGGATGGTTGGAGTATGTGAGGGAGAAATCACTTGAACCCTCTGGTTGTGTTGCCTTCTAATCACATCCGTGTGTGGAGAGAAAACACTGCAATCTTCTGATTGTGTGGTCTTCTCAATCACACCCGTGTGTGAGGGGAAAAGCGCTGGAACCCTCGTTCTCAATCACCTCTGTGTGCGAGGGAGAAAGTGCTCAAACCTTCGGGTTGTGGTCTTCTCAATCACATCCTCCAAGGGTGGTGGAGGGAATGCAGGAGAGGGATAAGGCATTATATGGGGGTGTTGGGGTTGTGTGAGTGGGATATATATAAATAATGTATTGATTGTTTTGAAGCTCATGAGCTGTATGTTAACTATCATTTAGAAGCAATGCATTGTATTGTATAAATATTACTGTATTGGAGCCGCTGTCTTTTTGACATCATCTACGATCCTTTCTCACAGTCATCTAAGATCCACGTGCAACTAGGCTCGGGTTAGTCTGGGCTGGGGCAGTTTATATGGTCCATGGGCGCACGTAGATTGCGGCACATGTTTTCTGCCAAGCCAATGGTGCGTTATCTCTCTTGGCACATGCATTGGCATCTGATAATAAGAGCCAGCTGTGAGTTCAAGGAATTGTATTCAATCAAGGAGCACCTTGTTATGACCGCGATAAAAAACCTACTCAGTGGAGCTTATGGTTTGACCAATTCTGACAGAGTCGCGTGAATATGTGTTTTTCTAGCCAAGTGGCCGTCAACTTCTAGTTTCTCTTCCACCTAACTAACGATCGCCATGGTCAATTGTGTAACCAAACGACTTGACAACTCATCGTCTCTCCAGACTGAGGTTGTCAGCGTTGGCAACAACGCTCTAATGGACTGGGGAGTTCGAGGCTCAGAAGATCTTCAACGCGTCTGTCTCCAACTGCACAAAGTGTCTAAAAAGCATCAATCTCGGCACAATATCACTCTCAAAGTCCCCACGGTCTCCCCGCCCAATCTGTCCGACCTCCATCTGAGGTCCAAAAAAGAAAAGTTATCAATCACCATGGCCAACAAACGAGGTCTGTCGAAACTCTGCTTCATGGTAAACTACTACAACTTTCGGAACATCAATTCGTCCGGGGGTGTTCAAGTGGCTTGTGGGAGAGAGAGTCCAATGTGAATAGGTTGGTCAGAGGGTGTAGATCATGGCCCATGTTCAATAAAAGTTTCAAACCATGTGTAAATGGAGGGCGTAGAGCCCCTTTACTAACAGGTTTGCTGCTACTCGCAGCGTTTACTAGTTCATTTTGTCTATCTGAACATTCTGTATGGTTCGGCTCATAGACGACTCATGACCGACTGAAAAAACTCCATGACCGACTGAAAAAGTCGGTCTATGGCGCAAAAATACAGCCCACTCGCTACGCTCATGGGCTGGGGCTGGGGCTGGGGCTGGGGCTGGGGCTGAGCTGGGAAGGGCGACAAAAAGATTACAGCACCCAGGATTCTCGTATGGTCTCCCACTACAACACTAACTGGGCTCTCTGGTGCTTGACTATGTGTGAGAAAATAAAGTGCTTTGTGCGTACCAGGGATAGGGTAGGTAGTGAAATCTGAGTTAGTACATCAACTCTAGACGATGGGCGTCGCCTGTGTAGAAGAACAATAACTCACCCGGTAACTAACACTATTTCTCGGTGGTCAATGCGTCAGAAGATATCAAGACGGTCCGTTTTGCGTTTAAGCCGAGTGAATGTTGCCTGCCGTTAGTAAATTTATTATGAAAAACCCCACTATGAATACATCAGCCTATACTGATATACCAAGAAGTGCAAGGGAGGTGGTCCTGTTCCACCTGAACGCGATTTCCGACAGGCGGCGGTACTGAAGGGCTTTGTGAGAGAGGTAACGCCGATTCTCTCTGCAGTCGTAAGACCCAGGTGGTGTGTCCGAGGCAGTATCGCTTTCCCAACTCTAGTAACCTCGGTAGTGTGAGACACACTACCCCTAACGGTAGGACAGCCGGACGACGATGGCGCAGCAATTGGCGAACGCTGTTATAAAACAATTCACTTACGTGCAATGAAAGTTGTTTGGGCAATAAACAATAAATGTATTAGAGCCAGACGATAGACAACAATCCAGCAGATGATGAGCAGGAAAATTGAGTAAGATCGACGTGGCAAGAAGAGTTACAGTTACGCAGAGTTAATAAGGTGTTGGGAGATTAGAGTTACCCTGTCGGATGACTAACTCTCCAGAGCGAGTGTTACACCTGCCCAGGTCTAACGGGGTTTCGTCCCGAAGCCCTGGTTAGAAGAATCAAGAATAAAGGCCCTGAGCAAGGAAGGAGCCCTGAGCAAGCCCAGAATCAACACGAGCGAGCTTCGACCGAGAAGTAACTCTAGTCGACGCAGTGGTAGCTGCAGAACGGACGGAACGAGTAGCCACTGAAGCCGGGGGAAGAACATGTGGAGAACAGGCAGAAAAGCGGCCAGGAATGGCAGGGAGAGCAGACTCGCGGGACTGATGTTCCTTCATGCGGTCCTGGAACTCAACGATGGAAGCGGGGTGGAAAACCTTGAGGCGGTTGCGGTGGATACGCCGCGGGTTCTCACCGTCAACATCGTTGACAGTGTACGTGCTGGTCTCAGGGTGACACGCGGTCACGATGGAGGGACCAGTCCAACGAGGAGTCAGCTTGTTGTGGGGACGGAGGTCGTGAACAAAAACGAAATCATTTACGGCCAAGGGATCTGTATCAGCTGTGTTGTGATGTTTGTCGTAGAACGCCTTTTGACGCTGGCGTTGCAGGGTCAGGTGGTCACGAGCAGAGCCAACTTCGAAAGTAGAAGCAGCAAGTTGCAAGGTGCGCAGAAAAGCAGCATGAGCGGGGTCGTTGTGGGCCAGGTCGGTCTTGCCACTGAGGTAATTCCAGGTCAGGAAACGACTTTCGACAGGCAAGACACCAGAGACACCATACATCAGCTCAAAAGGTGACTTACCCGTGGATGAACGACGGGTGCACCGGTCAGCCCAGAGGGCGGTGTGGAGGTATAAGATCCACTGACGACCGTATTTGCGCAGGCAGTGGAGGAGGTTTTGGTGACCGCGTTCCACAATGCCAGTCGATTGACCATGAGCAGGAGTGGTGAAAACCTGCTTGATGTGGAAATCTTCGCAGAGATGCTTAAAATCACCCTTGAACTCACTACCACCGTCAGTGTAGACCCGACGGGGAACGCCAAAACGAGCAATGATGAAATCGTAGAAGAAAGCGGCTGTGGAGAGAGAGTTGATACTTCGTAAGGGCACCGCCTCAGGCCAGCCAGAGAATTCATCACGAGCGACAAGGACATACTGGTAGGGGGCAATAGTGACATTTAGCCGTCCGCGGGGGGCAGAGGAAACATCAGTGAACTGAGGGGCAGTGGGGAGGAAGTCGGTGAGGGTGGTTTGAGCAGCGAGAGCCTTGGCGGGATCAGCCAGATCGGGGTACTCCTTGGTGGGACCATGAACAGCGGGAAGGTAGAGGATGTCCAGCTGGACTGTCTCCCAAATGAGACGGGGAACCACGAAGTGGAGACTCGCCTTGAGAAGACCATGGTTGGTGGCTTTTGCACACGTGCCGCATGATGCACGATGGGACTTCACGTGATCAGCCATGCCCGGCCAGTAATAGAGGCGACGGAGAGCATGAAGGATGGCAGCAGCACCGCGGTGGCCATATTGTTCATGGGTAGCTCGGAGAACCTCAGACACCTCCTTCTCTGTGAAGAGAACACGTCGATGGAGACCAGGTGAGCTGATCAGTAGGAGAATGTCGTCAAAAATGAAGAACTCAGAGCAGATTTGACGCAGTCTAGGCGGAATGTCAACACCATCTCGATCAAGATCGCCGGAGGCAATGGTGGTGAAAATGAGATCGAGAGAGATGCCTTTGTGGATGAAAACGGGCTCTGGACCAATGGACAGGACAGTGATGGAGGCCACAGGGGACCAAGTCGGGGGCACAAGCGGAGCAAGCTCATCAGCTTGTCGAGCTGTATCAGCAACAGGAGGGCGAAAATCGACAGGTCGGAAGTCAGAAAATTTCTCACGACTCAGCCAATCGGCCACTGGATTGTCTCGGCCTTTAACAAATCGAACCTCGTAATCAAACTGTTTGATGTAAGCAAACCACCGGGTGAACATAGCGTTAGGGAGTTCAACTCGGGATTGCTGCAGTAGGAAAACCAGGGCCTGGTTGTCAGTTTCGATCACGAAATGAACGCCAGTGACATAGTGACGGCACTTCTCCAAGGCACGTTTTACAGCAAGGCACTCAGTCTTGGTGGATGCGTAGGTACGCTCAGTGGGGTTCCACAAACCACTCTCGAAACGGACGGGGCGACGGGCAGCCGGAGGGCCAACACTGACGATGTGAGACATTACTGCGCCCCATCCGAGGGAGGACGCATCAGTGGTGATGACAATAGGTAAGGTGGGGTCGTAGCGGTGCAGAACCGCAGGGCTCACCATAGCCTTTTTTAGCGCCATAAAAGCAGACTCGGTGGCCTCGGTCTTGGTGATCTTGAGTTTGCCAGCCTTCTGCGCAGCGGAGATGCAGTCGTACAGAGGTGCAGCGATACTGCTGAAATGAGGGATCCACATGCGAAAATACACCACAGCACCGAGAAAAGAGCGCACACCACGGACAGTAGTGGGGAACTCGAAAGATTCGATCTTCTCGGAACTGCCAGGGGACGGGAAGCGGCCTTCAGAGGTAGTGAGGAAACCGAGGAACTCAGCCTCACTGACGAAAAGCTCGGCCTTGTCGAAAGACACAGTCAGACCCGCTTCATAGAGATTCTGAAGCACAGCCATGAGGTTGTCCATGTGTTCGACGATGTACCGGCGGCAGCCCGGAAAGTCGTCATGCATGGCTCCGCCATAGTCAGTCTTAGGCCCGAGAACGCCAATATCGTCCAAGAAAACAACAGCCTGATCCGGAAAGAGGGGCCCAAGTACGCGCAGCATGGCACGGTGGAACACCGCTGGAGAGTTGCACCAACCTTGAGGCAGGCGCGTTAACCGATAGGAGCCAAAATCTGTGTTAAAAGCCGTCAAGTCACGGGACTCGGGAGCAATCTCCTTCTGACCGTAACCATTCTTAATGTCAAGCAGGGAAGTTACAGCACGACCACAGAAACTCTCAGCCAGGAGGTCCGCGTTGGGTGGGTGGAAAGCATCTCTCAAGGTGATCTTGTTGAGGCCCTGGCAGTCAAGGATGAAACGGTATCCCGAGCTCTTTTTGCTCACGAGGAACCAGGCGTTGCGGTGGGGGGAGGAGCTGGGCTCCATCTGGCCGTTGGCGAGACCCTTCATGATGATGTCTTTGGCAGCGCCGACCATAGCCCCGCGGAGAGGGAAGTGCTTTGAGTTGATAACGCCTCCCTCTTCCACGTAGATCTTGGTGGGCTCCTCAATATGGTGACTGAGGACACCCTCCTGGTCTTCGTTGAAAGCCCAGACACCCTCCATGTCCGACATGCGATGGCGACAGAGAGCAAGCTCGGCCGGGAAAAGGACTGGAGCAAGTTTGGCATCAAATTGGCAAGACTCGTCGCCAGAGAAGTTGCGATGTCGCGGAGAAGGCTTGGAGCCGTCACCGACAGGAAAGGAACCGTCCGGGCGAAGCTTATTTAGAGGCAGAGAACGCTTGTGTAGCGGCTTGTACATGGCATTGACGGAGACAGATAAAGAATGCAGAGAGTCTTCAGGGGTGATTTCTTGGGCATCACTGAGAACTTCAGCAAGGTAGAGCTGTTGGCGCATGGACAGGTCAGTATCCGGTTGAACCTGAACGATGGTAGCCGAGTCGCCAATGTCAGCCATGATGAAAACAGTGTTACCAAGTACACGACACTCACGTACAGGCTGCTGGCAGCAGCTGCAGGGCGATGCAGGAGGTGGATACTGGAAAACACTGTCGAGGTCGGCAGAAGAAATAAAACCACTGAGAGCATGAGCGTCGGGGGGTCTGGCATGAAGAGCATTGTCTGCAAGGTTGTCATGGAAACGGTACGACGTGTAGCTCTCCTGGAAAACGGTGCCTACATCTGACAAGGCGGCCGAGACTCCGGACGGGGCTTCCGACGGGGCTTCCGAGCCTGAAGAGGAGGAGCAGAGCTCGTTGGAGTCATCCACAGATGAGGCATCGGTAGGCAGTAAAGGTCCAAGCGTACCGTCGACGGGAGCGGAGGTGTGCCCAGGTGATGAGGAGTTGGGCTCGCCAGAGACATCACCGTGGTGCCCAGGTGATGAGGAGTAAGACTCGTCAGGGTCATCACGAGGGGGAATGCCAAGGGGATCAGGGCCGGAGCTGGACGCTAGAGCCTTGAGAATGGCGGTGGCAGCGCTCGAAGGCGGGCCGGCAGACTCACAGTCATCAGCAAAGGATATGGCAAAACAGCCTGCCGCTGTTTCAGAACGGTGGGAGTAAGATCCAGGCTGAGGCCCTCCGAGAGATGAGGCGTCAAGGAGATTTGTTGCTTCATCAACATCACCACAGAGTGAGGGAGTGGGTCGAACGTGTGCCATGACGTTTTGGCGAGACAGCTTGGCAGCAGGAAACGCAGGCACAGGCCGGCGGCCGGGCCTCACAAGACGGTCAAGCAACCCAAGGTGAGCAACAAGGCCAGCTGAAGGTCTGTCACTAGGGTAGCACCGGACGCCAGGGTTACCAGGGTTCTCCACTGAAGCGACACGGTAACGATCATGGTCGAACGAAATGCGCAGTTTGCTGATGTATCCGGTGCCGAGAATACACTTCATGCTGCACTTCATGACACAAAATGTTTCAAGAGTAACGACACCCAGGAAAGTGACAGGGAGAAGCGCCCAGAAATCAACTTTTACCTTGGCTCCGTTTGCGACTGTGGCGTGGGACTGTCCGTCAGAAAAAACAATCACCCGGTCAGGGGTGACACCAGCCTTCGCGAGTACAAGGGCAAAGAAATCAGTGTCGATGACGTTGTTAGACGAGCCACTGTCAAAAAGGGCGCTGGTCTGTTGGTCGAAAAGAGCAATGTTGTCGGTGAAGTGGGGCGAGAGTGGCCTACCAACTTTGTCGTCGTACAGCTGACGGTCAATGGTGGTGAAAACCTCCTGAAGACGACCGAAGGTGCCAGAGTTGAGCTCATACGGTGTGGACGAAATCACGTTGAGCGCAAGATCCATGGCACACTCCATGAGATCGTCCCCGAGCTCAAGAGCGATGGCTTGGATGTCAGGACCCGCAAGCCGGTGCCGCTGGTGACGGAAGTTCTTCCAAATGTACTTTGTGAGGTCAGGGCACACCTGGAGAAGCTCAAAAAGAACGAGGCCATCAACATCCGACGCCTTGAGGATGCGCTCAAACAAGTCTGCTTTTTCCGATTCCGGCAGAGCATGAATGGCCTCAAGCTTGAAGAGAGGGAGACGCCCAGCCTTCAGCAAGGCATTGTCGTAACGAGGATGATCTCTGGTGAAGAGAGCCTTGGAGTCCTCTAGGTCAGACGGGAGGCGGTCCAGAGCATCCTTGTAATCTTTTAAGGGTGCATTCTCCGCAACGGCAGAGGCATCGTGGATGTGGTTGGTGACACGGGTTCCAGGGCTCACGTAGTGGTTATCACCCAGACGGGGGGGGTGAACAGCCACACGAGAGCTGGGGACGTCAACAACAGCGCCCGTGGAGGATGCGGAGTCAGTCGGCCCCACTGAGGAGGGATTGGCTACAGCCTTGGTTCGCTTAGCAGTGGGGGGAGCAGCGGAAGATACCGTAGAAGAAGCGGCACCACGTTTTGTCGCTTGAGGCAAAGCAGGCGGGGGCATGTCTTCACGGACATCACGACGGGGGCTGCGTCGCGGCAACGGAGCCACTGGTCTGTCAGGGTGCTTGCTGTCGACAACAGTTTTCAAGGCGTTGATGTTGGTCTTGAGAGACTGTCGGCGAGGATCGCCTTCGGTGGCGTAAGCGGGCTCCATGAGGTCATTTCGGACTGTAGCGAAACACTCGTAAAGCTTCGTAGGCAATACTACGTTGTACTTGTTGAGCAATCGCTGGACCGCATCAACAAAGTAGACACGGCCGGCAACTGGGGAAGACGGGGCCATAACAGCACCTACAAAACCCGCTTCAAGCGTGGAGGCTTTGAACGTGCCCGGGGGAGCAGTTAAGCGAGCTACGAGCTGCATGAAGGCTGGGTGTGCCACAAGGCGCTTCATGTTGCCACTGTAGGAGCCTGACACAGGCGCATCAATTGCGTAAGTGACGGGGAGGGGTGTGGGCTGTTTTGCCATCTGGAGAATGTGCTGGTGGATTGCCTCTTTCGTGAGCTCAAGCTGGGAGTCAGTGGAGTCAATGATAGTGCGAGGCTCGTCGTAGGAGGAAAACGTATCAGACAGAAGATCTCGAGGCACCCCTCCTAGACAGACACTGAACGTGCCGGGTTGGAGAAGGTCCTGGAAGTCATAACCAGACGCAGATGAGTCAGAGTCATAGCTGTTATCCAAAGGCCCGCCTGGGTCTTCAACGTGTACAAATTCAACGGCATTTACGCGGCCAGCTAGGGCAGGACGCCACTGCGCATTGAAAGTTCGAAGTCTAGGCTCCATAAGCGGATTCGACCATTCCTTCTGCTTCCAGGAAGTGTAGAGAGCGCTCTGTTTTAGAGGGAAGTCAGCATCAACAGGCGATAGATACTTTTCAAAACCCTGGTAGCCAAGTCGGGTGAAAGACTTGAAGCTGCCAAGGTACTTGGCCTTGACCAAGGGGCTGCCTTCGGAGTCATCGCAGTTGACCAGTGCATGGGCAGTGGAACCACAGAAAACACAAGGAGCCTTGTCAGCTGCCCAGGAGGTTGAGGCATCCGAGGCACGGATTGTGGGTTTCTGCACAGTCTCAGTTGAGACAGGGCCGTCGGCAGGCTTCCTGGTGGAACGACCACGTCCCGCAACGTGAACGACGACTTTGTCAGGTTCAGGCGTGGAAGGCTCAGGTGGGGCGGAAGGCTCGACCCACATCCACACGTCTTCGAAAGATACCGTGTGCTGTCGCCATCTCAGAAGAGCCTCATCATTGAGATCGTCAAGTCGTTGGACATGTTGGGTGATCATCTTGGCGAGGGGCTGGATGAGCTCCGTGGCAACTTGATGGTCACGCTCAGGGTCGGAGTCCATGCCAAGGCTCAGCCAACGAGTGTTGTCACGAGGGATCTCGCGTCCGAGGGCGGTGCCCAGGTGAGTCGGAGCGAGCTTCTGCAACTGGAGACACCGAGAGAGAACCGGCAGAGGTGAGGAGGTCAGAGCGGTGCTCAGAGCAGAGAGGTACGCACGTAGTGTCTCGATAGAGAAAGCGGTGTGGTAATCTTTGAACCGGAAACGGAGTTCCTCCTCTTGTTCAGCAAAGGAGACAGCAGGTTCGTGGTCAAACCCGCGCTTTCGAAAAAGGTCCCGGAGGAGACGTTCGCAAGCGGTGTTCAGACGAGCGTGGGCACCTGGCTTGGTTGATTCATCAGCAGTCTCTGCTTCAAAGGTGCTTCGGAGTTGGAGGTACTGTTGATCGAAGAGGGGCTGCTTATCGTTGACACCGCACCAAAGGTGGAAAGCCCGAGCTCTGGTGCTCCAACGGATGTCATCCTGGAGTAGGATAAAGGTAGCCACCCGGGAATCAAAAGATTTGTAAGCGTACAACTGTTTTCGGAATTCTTCGCTGGACAAGGAGGGGTAAACCTCGTTCCGGATGATGGACTTGAGGGCGTCGGATTCTTTTCGATAGTCAACAGAACCCGTGTCACTGGCAGCAAAGTCCATGCCATGTAGGACAGAGTTACCCTTCTGGGGGGTGTCGGGTTCAAATTCGGAATCAGCCTTGCCAATACGGGAAATGCCTTCAAGGGAGCTGGTGCTCGGGGGTGAGTCGACACGCTTGCTGAGGTTCGCGATGGTTTCGTGCTGGGCCGACACCAACTGGTGCAACTTTTCAAACTCCCCAGCCTGATGTGTCTTGAAAGACTCATTTGACTGCTTGAGCTCGTCTAAGGCTGAGCGGAATTCCTTGGTATTAACCGCGGTAGCGAGAGTAGTGGTGATCTCCTGGTGGGAGAGCGTCAAGGCGTCCATCTTCGCGGTGAGAGCCTGGAACTCGTCTTTTGTTACTTTCGACATGGTGAAAACGAAAGAACGGAAAGGGAAGTAAAATACGCTGGTACGACAGTAAAGGCACAATAAATCTGGCAGGCTATCACTCGAAACAAAAACGAGGTGTCGTCCACCAGATGTGAGAAAATAAAGTGCTTTGTGCGTACCAGGGATAGGGTAGGTAGTGAAATCTGAGTTAGTACATCAACTCTAGACGATGGGCGTCGCCTGTGTAGAAGAACAATAACTCACCCGGTAACTAACACTATTTCTCGGTGGTCAATGCGTCAGAAGATATCAAGACGGTCCGTTTTGCGTTTAAGCCGAGTGAATGTTGCCTGCCGTTAGTAAATTTATTATGAAAAACCCCACTATGAATACATCAGCCTATACTGATATACCAAGAAGTGCAAGGGAGGTGGTCCTGTTCCACCTGAACGCGATTTCCGACAGGCGGCGGTACTGAAGGGCTTTGTGAGAGAGGTAACGCCGATTCTCTCTGCAGTCGTAAGACCCAGGTGGTGTGTCCGAGGCAGTATCGCTTTCCCAACTCTAGTAACCTCGGTAGTGTGAGACACACTACCCCTAACGGTAGGACAGCCGGACGACGATGGCGCAGCAATTGGCGAACGCTGTTATAAAACAATTCACTTACGTGCAATGAAAGTTGTTTGGGCAATAAACAATAAATGTATTAGAGCCAGACGATAGACAACAATCCAGCAGATGATGAGCAGGAAAATTGAGTAAGATCGACGTGGCAAGAAGAGTTACAGTTACGCAGAGTTAATAAGGTGTTGGGAGATTAGAGTTACCCTGTCGGATGACTAACTCTCCAGAGCGAGTGTTACATATGGCTGATCGGACGGGAAGCCGTATTTTCACCAGGATATGGCCGTAACCAACCTGCGCCGACCCGGAATCGAACCGGGGGCCCATCGATGGCAACGATGGATTTTACCACTAAACCATCGGCGCTTGGAGATAGTGTTTGTCCTAAGTATGTTTGTCATATCCACAATCCTGCTTAGTAATTTAGTAATCCCATATTAGTCAGGGTTAGAATTAAAAAATCATTAGAAGTAGAACCCCCCCTCCTGGCTAACTAACTGAAATATACAGCAATTTAGAACGTCTAAGGAGTACCTTTTAGACCCCAACAATGCATGTCGGCTCTTGACCATGGACAATTCTCTGGCACACCCCGCAAAGACGTTCATAGCATTTTTACAAGTGGAGTCCCACGCATGAAAAAGTTAGTCTATTGACCTCGGGCTTTTCTTGTCTTACGGATGGGCACAACTATGTGAGAAGCAGATATTCTTCGCATTCTGAGACCGTGGATTGACTCTCTCGCCCTAACCCATATTTCACAAGCGGTTCGGCTAAATTAACCGTTCCGATATATGGTTATCAAGCCATGTTATGCTTATCTTATCACTGTTCGTCTCCGGGTTGGATTCGGATAACAGACTTTTCTTATTGTGGGGGAAAAGGGTCGGGAATCGATATCCGCTGCATTCCTGGGAGTCTAAAGTGGAGCACTGAGTCACGTGGTTTGAAGGAGACATGCGGAGAATCATACTGATGTCCAGGGAAAAACTAATTGCTGCCAAGCCTTGGAGAGATGGGTTTGACTGGTCATCTCTTGGCTGCTTATCTTGTGTGTCATAAAGTCGAGCAGATTACAACCGACGAGCCTGTGGTCCAAACTGAACTTTAAAGCAGAAGATAGCTCGTCGATGGGTCTGTATTATGCATACAAAGAGGGGATTGCGGAGAGCTGAAGAGATTTTACAGCGTTGAAATGTTTGGTATCGTCCTGATCAACCTCTTTGCCCACCCTACAAGTTTGTAGACCTTTTTTTCCCGGATTTGATAGTGTCTTTCTAATGCTAGAGCAGCATGAGTAGATCAATAAACTAACTTTCGGATAGCGCTTATCCCCACCCTTTTGGACCGTCCTGGGGATTCATATATAAGTCGTATTGCTGCCGTGTCTTGGTATCTATCATCATGAAGCTGTTTAAACGAGAAGCGCCCCAAGGAACAGTCAGAACTAGCTACTTTGGAAGTAGAGGCACGCGGCTGCATCGGATCATTGCAGCCGTGGCTGGAATCGGCTTCTTGCTGTTTGGATATGACACCGGAGTCATGGGCAGTTTGTTGACCCTGCCGACCTTCATTCACCAGTTTCCAACTATGGATAGCACGTCTCCACATCTGGATGCAAAGACAAAGTCGTTCCATTCGACGGTCCAGGGCACAGCCGTGGCCATCTACGAGATTGGGTGCATGTTGGGTGCTCTGTTTACAATGTGGGGAGGAGACAAGCTGGGTAGACGAAAGATAATCTTCATTGGCTCCATAATTGTCACCATTGGAGCGATTCTTCAATGTGCTTCGTATTCGCTCGGTCAATTTGTGACTGGAAGAGTCATTGCTGGTATTGGAGTCGGTTTCACTACAGCTACAGTGCCAATGTTCCAGGCTGAGTGTGCTCGTCCTGAACGGAGAGGGGCCCTGGTGATGCTTGGAGGAGCCCTGACAACTGGAGGAATTGCTCTCAGTTACTGGATCGACTTTGGCTTTTATTTCGTCAAGCGAAATGACTCGGACTGGAGATTCCCGGTAGCTTTTCAGATCCTCTTCTCCCTCATTCTGTCGTGCACAGTCCTGTACCTTCCCGAGTCCCCCAGATGGCTCATTAAGAAGGGACGCTATGAAGAAGCAGCAGGAGTGTTTGCAGCCCTGGAAGATGTGCCCATTGACGACATCTATGTATCTCAGCAACTCATGCAGGTCAAAGAGTCGCTCATGGTAGGCCAACTTGCACAGGAAGGCATTGAGGGAGATGAAGCACGACGACGAATCGCTTCAGGAGACGTGGAGCTTGGAGAAGAGCCGCCGTTCAGGAAACAGTTGGTTCTGCTCTTCACCTTTGGCAAAAAAAAACACCTTCATCGAGCCATGTTGGCTTACTCTCAACAGATCATGCACCAAATGTGTGGAATCAACCTCATCTCATATTACGCAGCCTACATTTTCCAGACTTCTATCGGTATGAGCCCGCTCAACTCACGAATTCTGGCGGCTTGTGATGGAACAGAGTACTTCCTGGCGTCCTGGATCGCCTTCTACACCATTGAGAGGTTCGGACGAAGAAAGCTCATGCTGTTTGGAACCATTGGACAAGCCTGTACGATGGCTATTCTAGCAGGAACAGTCTACGCAGCATCTTCAGTAAAAGACGGTGGCCTAGACAAACCTCAGGCTGGCATTGCAGCAGCAGTGTTCCTGTTTGTTTTCAACACCTTCTTCTCCATTGGCTGGCTAGGTATGGCGTGGCTGTACCCTGCGGAAATCGCCCCCATTGAAATCAGAGCCATTTCCCAGGGTCTGTCCACATCCGGAAACTGGGTCTTCAATTTCCTGGTCGTCATGATCACCCCCGTGGCCTTCAACTCCATCAAGTGGAGAACTTACATCATCTTTGCGTGCATCAACGTCGCCATGGTCCCCTCCATCTACTTCTTCTTCCCCGAAACCATGGGCCGATCGCTCGAAGAAATCGATCTCATTTTCGAAGACTCCAACCCCAGAACTCCTTGGGACGTGGTTGGTATTGCAAAGCGACTTCCTAGGGGTACCCTGGATGGAGTTGTTCCTTCAGACATGGAGCTGGAGAAGGAGATCGAGCATGTCAGCGTCAAGTCTTTGGGAGGTGCCACTATTCGTGGATAGTTATGCTGTAGTATATATTTATTCTTTTTGTACCTTGGTACATTGTTATCCTTGTGTCTCGCTTGTACTTATGGCACCGTCACAGGTCGTATGAATTGTAAGCTGCACTCGGTCTCGTTGAATTTTTTTCCACATATATTACAATTTACAAAATGTACTAATGAGTACGGAAAACTAGAGCAGAGCGGGGACCTTAATCTCCGCTCGGCAGCTGTTGCAGTAGTTTTCAATTTGTTCAAACTTGCCCTCGTCCAGCTTGTCCTTGCCGTACAACGGGTCAGCAGCCACTCGTGCTGTGAACCGCTCACAGTTTCGGACTTCGGATCGAAGCCAGTTTTGCCACTCTTCAATGGCAAGGTCTCGGTCAGATCGGTTGAGCACTCGCAGGTTGACCAGCAGCTCTCGGCGCTTGATACCCAGCATGTACCGGGCCTTTTGGATCTTTCGAGAGGCCGACCGAGAAGCAACATCTGAGAAGTACTTGTTCTCAAAAAACTTGTCTTCGAGTCCGATACCGTCGTCGCCCTTGAGGATCTTGTCAGGGTCCATTCCAAACACCCGAGACTTCTCCAGAGACAAATACTTTTGCAGAGCGATGGAATCCGTATTGTTGGTATCCGAGGGGAGCATCATGGGATCCAGATCATTGATAAATACCGCTCGATATAAAGTGTCGCTTGGAGCCGCCCTACGGGCCTCCTGATGTTGTTTAATGTGAAAGTATGTGAGACGACCAGATAGCCACAGGTTGGACACACCAGACACGGCCAGAAGCACAATCAGCACAATGTGAGGAGACAGAGACTTGAAGAAGCCCTTCGCGAGCTTCACAATGATGATCATGAACGCCGTGAGAGCCGTTAGCAGGAATGTGAAGATGGATTCGGACACCCAGGTGACCAGACGTCGTCGAGAGACCTTGAGCACATCCTGCGAGTCCTTTCGCTCCAGTTCAGCAAGCTGCTCGGGGGTGGGATCAGTGTCAATCTGACCCAGCTTACCGTACATGATGATGGACCGGTTGGTGGAGTCAAAGGTGCCGACTCGTCGCAGACACTGCTGAATGAGTCGAACGTGAGATTCGGCTTCATGCTCCATGTATCGCATGGCCACAGTCTCAACCACAGACTTGAACAGCGACCGCTTCTTCTCGGTGTAAACGAGGTCGTCCCAAATGCACAGACGCGATCCTCCGGTGTCGTTGGCGGTGATGACAAACCGCATGGATTGGTAGAATGAACTGACGTGGCTGATTTCCCAGGGGTTTCGGCTGTTGTGCACCACGTAGCACACGTTCTCGTCCATGCGCTCGATAACCTGCAGGTTTCGAGACACCAGGGTGCCGGTCTCCATTAGCGATCGCAGCTTGAGATCGTAGGTAATGAGTCGAGATAGAGTCTTGTCTTCGGGGTTGAGCATCCACCTGGTTCGTCGCGAAGAAATCACCTTGTGGAAACGCGAGTAAATGTCCTTGAACATTCGCGACTTCTGGCCAAACATGATATGGAACAGTGCCTTGGGGGGACAGAGGAACTCCCTATCAACAACCTTCTGTGCAGTCGACGAATGCAGAGAATAGTCGGGAGTATCAACGGTCTTGGACGCCACTGATCTGGCAGATGAGGAAGTTGGTCGCTTGGTGGCCTTGACCTCCTTACGCTTGTTTCGCAGATCCCGATACCGCTTGACGAGATGCTCGGACAGCTCTTCCTGCGAGAACTTTTCGTCGTGTTCGCCCTGGACGTTGTCAATGTATCCAAGATCGCTTTCTCGTTCGTACCAGCCATCGTTCTCGGTGAGAATCTTGTGGTCGCTGTCTCCATCCTGCAGGATGGGCAGCATCTCCTCCAGATTACGGGGACTGTCTGACAGTACATTGGACAGAATGATCTGCAAACGTCGCTGAACAAGCCGGCCAGAGTCTAGGAAGACTCGGCATCTCAAAACAGCTCCATCAGTACCCAGGACGTACAGGTTCTCCCAGGCATTGTCAGGGGAGCCCTGCACAGATACGATTTCAGTCAGAGGCTTCTTGACTGCACAAACAAAACCCAGAGAGTATGAGTAGACGTATAGGTTTTTAAGAGTGACAAAGACTCGGCCGGGAAGCTCCTGGCGAGGATTGGGAGACCAGAGACATCGGAAGACAGTAACCACACGATCATTGGGGTCGTGATCAACGGCGGTCTGGAAGATGGCTCGCATCTGGAGGTCCTGGGACTTGAGCTCGATGGGGTAGTTTTCGGGGAAGGGATCTGTCTCTGTGGTAGGGTTTTCATCCATCTTGCGCTGGAACTCAACCATGTTTTCGTGAGAAGCAATGGCCACAGTCGAGTTCTTGGCGTAAAGCGCCCAGTTGACGGAACCCCACACGTTGGCGGTAACGGCGTTTGGCATGTACGACGGCTTGACAAACGCCGTCGACACAATTGCTTCCTTAGTCATCCGGGTGTAGATGGGGGTGATAATGGGAGGCGAAGGGGCCAGCGATGTATTGAAAGGTCCAAAGCCAGAGAAGTTGAAGGCAGACTTTTCGCCGTGCTCGTTGGTTTCGTTGCCGTCAATAAAGGCTTTACCAGAAGCCATCAGCTTGTGCAGAGGAGTCTGGTGAACATGGTGTTCAGAGGCATAGGCATGGGGACCTCCGAGGTAAGAAGGAGAGGTGGTATCGGTAGTCTTGGACGAAGTGTGTGCCATGGCAACATCAATAGAGGTTCCGCCAGAAGAGGCAAACTCGGGAAGAGGCACAGTCCACTTCTTGAATGCCAGAGAAGACCGGTACGGCGACTCCTTGTCCAGGGACTGCTGTTTGGCGAGCTCGAAGGCCACGAGCCAGGACTTGAACTCGGTCAGTGACTCGGCCTGGGCAATGAGTGTCACTTCCTGAGTCTTTATCTCGAAACAGAACCGTCTTTCCTCGGTGGGGAGCTGCTTGATGGAGCACAACAGCACTCCAATCTTGTCGGACTCCTCGACAAAGTCGCACTCGGGGGGAGGCGACACGTTCAGCCAGCCAAACAGGCCGGCCTTGACAAATGCCCATCGTCGGACCCAGATAGGGTTCTTTTCCGCTGGCGAGTTGGTCTTCATCAGCAGCCAGCCGTGCTTCTCGATGGGGTGGTTGGTGACCTTGGAGTCCACAGACAGCTTAGTGGATGGTGACAGAGGCTGATACTCAGCGATATCCTTGGATGGCTTGGCTGCGGCAAGCGTGCTGTCCTCAATTTCCTTTCGGGCCTTGCCAATCTCCCGCACAATCACCTTGTTGGCCTGGTGGATGGCGTTGGACCAGTTTCGGATTCGGTGCATTTCGATTCCAAGTCGGAAGTACGCCGAGCCGGCATGCTGGTGTGCGCTGTCGTCGTGGTTTCGGGCGTTTGACCGCCAGGTGTCTGTGATGGTGAGGATCAGAGCCCGGTCAATGGCATGGTGGAGTCTTAGGTAGCCAGCGCAGAATTCGAACGACGCCTTGATGTAGGTTGCTCGGGCTTCGTAAACGGCCATTGCCTCGTCCCGAAGATGCGAGGGCTCTCTGGTCTTGTTGAGAGCGAGGTACTTGGCCTGGGCGGCGTCGTACTTGGTTTGGGCTGCTCGGAACGCCTTGACTGTCTCTGAGAAGGGAGCAATTCGCTGTTTGAGCAGCTTGACAAGAGGTTCACCAAGGTGCGTGTTTTGGCCGTTGATGTTTTTCATGGCGTTGGTCCAGAAGAGCTTGGAGCCCTCGGCGAACCGTCGCAGCACCAGCATGGTGTAGTCGTGATCCACCACTCCCTCGGTCACGAACGAGGGCATGAACTTGCCGACCAAATTGTTGATGACGGCCTGGAGGGTGTGCATTTCTGCGGTGACGTCGTGGACGCTTTGCACAAAGCCCTCGAGCCACTGTGAGGTGACCGCCAACTGGGAAATAACGTGGTTAACGGTGGCTCGGAAAGAGGGCGAGTCCAACGACGCCTCCTTGAAGATGACCGGAATCAGTGTGATGGGCATGTTTGCGGCGGCGTTGGGCTTGAGCTGGTTGGTGGGCACGCCCTGGTCGTTCATTTCAGAGTGGGGGATTGTGGAGGAGCCTGCTCTGTCGCCGGTATGAGATTTGGGGGACGACACAGACGCAATTGAGGGCGCCGTCTTGGAGGCCGGCGTCGCGGCATGCCCGTTGACCTCGTGATTGCTGGTGAGCGAGCGTCGGTGTTCGGGGGTGCCCAGACCAAGCGCATGGGCGTCGTGGGCGTCATGTCTGCTGCCATGAGGATGCAGAGGATTGTGGGGATGGGGGTCTTTCGGAGCCACGGGGATGGGGTTTGCCACCGAGTGTTGGGCTGCTGCCAACGCAGCGTTTGATTCGGACACTGTGTTAGTAACGGTGGCGGCTGTTGTTGGAGCCACAGACGGCTGTCGGCTGACAAGGTCATGTTGACTGTTGGTGAGCGCCGCGGACAAGAGTCCTGACTCCTGATCCTGACCCTTTTTGCCGGCTGTTTTTGCACACGTGTGCTGGTCGTGTTGCAGCCAACTTGCTCCGTGGTTTTCTTACTCACTGGTGCTCCTCGGGTGGTTCTGGGGAGTTTGTGTCGTGGTTCGGCGTCCGAGTCGAGGTCCTTGTATGTCCGACCAACAAGATTGCTCAACTCTATCTTGCGGGATTATGTATGCACTTCGTGGGCTGGGGGTCTACAATGTAGAAGTATAAGAGGAGGAGTGGATGGGGACGGTGAAGAAGAGAAGAAAGACTAGAAGAGGGCCAAAATAATAAAAATAATATATAAAAAAAAGGTCAGGCACCAGCACGCTGCCGCTTAATGCACATATAGTGCGCTCTAACTCCCGCTAGCCAGTTTCTCCACCTTGACATTGTTCCTGGTTAAGTCCCTCTAAGTCGCACTCTGACTTCCGCTTAACGTACATGCTAGCTGTACAACCGATGTTAGTCGAGAACAAAAGACGGGGAAGGAGCTGTCAAACGAGAACCACATGGCATTACTAAGCAACATAGCCCCGAATTTCCTTTGTCGCGTGGTCTCCGGTGCCCGTAAGCCCATCTACAGCCGAGGTAGACCCGGCTACTACTACTGCGTGCCTCTCACCATACGATACATTAACTTTGGCCTCACGTTGATCCAGGCTTTTTTGAGTATTGGATTTTCCCGTTTGGGCTGGACCAGTGTGTAGTGTTAGCCAATAGAATTGGGCTATGGACGGCCACAGATACGGACAAGATAGATTATGATGACTGTTTACCGTACTTTACCTTCATTTGTCCCAGTCATCCATCTCTTCCCATACATTGCTCAGACACTTGCTACTTGCTTGTTTTTTTTTTCAGATACAGGCAGTCATCTCCCCATGTTCTTGGCAACGATCAAACTCAGCTGCCTTAGTCTGTTCGGACAAGTCTACTTGTAGTACATACTGTACTTTTGTAGCTCCTTGTACTTGACGCAAAGAGGTTTTATCAACATCGGGTCTGATGGAGATCTGGTGGTTTGATATTACGTAATCTACCTCATTTGCTCGTCAAAATAGCAATTCAACACATCAACAGGCGATTGTGGATACTCGTCGATAACCTCAGTTACACTCGAGACAGATCTGGTTCTTGTTCTTGTTGCTGTTAGTGTTAGCAAGCCAAAAGGTTGTCTGGTTGGAGTGCGTTGGAGTGCGGTTGAGGGAAGGGCGGTCAGTCGGAATGGAGACTGGTTACTGCAAGAATATAGAGAAACTGAGTCATCCCGTCGGTGTTCCATGTCTGTCACGTCACTGTCCCTTACATCCACGCGCCTTTATCATGTCCGTATTCCTCCTACTCGGCACGATATCCACTGTCATACAAGTACAGTACCAACACTAGACATGGTCCGCCACCCAACCCAATCTACAGTATCCAGCTGAGACAGAACCCCTCGCTTCACCTCGGTTCAGGCTGCTGTCTTAGTCTTGGTCTGTAGAATCAGGCAACCAAAAAGAAATTACGGTCGGGTGGCGGTACGAGTACAAGTGGACCTTTTGACCATTGTACTTCACTTTGGTGATCGGGTGGGGGGACTCAACCTCGTGCCGTAGAGTACGAGTTCGTCAATACACTCGCCGGGTTCTCGTATTTTGGTTCAATTTGGTTGAATATATCTCAATGCTCACGTAGGAGCCGTTTCTACATATCTGCTCTTTCTATGATCCGCTTTATGATTTGCTCTTTCTATACATTTGCTCTTTCTATACATTTGCTCTTTCTGTATGATCAGCTTTTTGCTGACTCGTCGCGATATAATTGGCAGACATGGTGTGGAGGTTTGTCGTAAACCAAGGTTGACACGACCCCCCGGCCTGTAACTCCTGCAAAGATCGTAAACATGACCCAGTGCAGTTATCCCTGTGGTCGTGAATGTGGTCACGTGAACTTTGAATGGGACAGCAGTCATGGCTGGTGTGTATGAGCATCACGTTTCATCTTCTGATTCCTCATCTCCTGATTACTCATCAGCACGATTACTCATCAGCTTGATTACTCATCCGAAGAGATTATGAGTTCTGGAAAACTGCTCGAACCCATCGACATGGGCGTAGATCCGACTTTTAAAAATGCAGTCTCATTTCTGGTGTATTTCTGGGGTATTTATCACGGCCTTACTCCCTCACTACTTGTACTTATATAATGTTCGTGACAAGTAAACCCACCAACGCAGACCCAAGTATACACATCTCAATTGGGTGATACAAGACACAAATGCGCAAAATGAAGTCGCGGACAGCAAAACACACGTCATAGAATCCACTCCAACAGGTAAATCTCACCCTCCGCTCGCACCACCCACCCCACACTTGGCCCTCCAAGCCACTCCAGGGTAACCAAATAAACTTCCCAACCCTACCTCTTGCCATTACCCTACCGAAGTGTTGCAGTCAATAAAAGAAAAAAGATTGGCATAACTTGAGACCTCTTTTTTTTCTCTCCTCACATACGACAAGACAATGATCTCAACACGACACTGAATGGTGAGTACCCCTCTTTTACAAACCCCCCTCGCGCAGCAAGGCAAAATGATTAGGAACATATTTTCTACTGAGGATGTAAATGCAGGACAAATCGTTAAGGAATTCTTCGTTTATGATCTTAGTGCAAACGGCATCTCTTCTTCCCAAACACTTCTAACATCAGGTGGGTATCGACAAAATTGCTGGGGATTTGATTCTTTACAAGGATTGAGTCTTTTGTCTCATCAACTGATGAAATTTTCACACACTTTTGCAGGTGAAAACGTGATCCAAGCAAAAAACATGCATCACCATCTGACATTTTGTTGAAATATCTTTCAGTTTTCGACATTCGTTTTGCTAACATTAGTTACCTTGAGTTTCTAATACCCCTTTCCCATCTGATTTGTGAGTACCTCCATCGTTTCTGCCTTGCTTGTGTGAGACTATAATGATGACAAAAAATTTTCAGTTCTGCTTCTGAAAGAGAATGAAGATAACAAAATTACCAAAACCTCTGACATTCTGTTTGATGTTTCATTGCCTTTTAAACCCTTTCTAACTCCAGATTTATTGCACTCCTCTTGGATGCCTCCGATACCCTGATTTATAGCTAACGTATTCTATCTAAAACCGTGACAGTAACACCGTATCGCAGAGCCACGCAAGTTGGCATGCTCATTGGTTTGCTCTATAACAGTTAATCGTACTTGCACTGTATCACAGCCATTGTTCATTTCTGGTACTCGCACTCATAATCGTACTTGTACTTTTCAATATGTTAATACTATGGACATGCTATAATTCATACTTCTCCAGCGAGCTGATTGCCAGAGCTTCAGGTTCCTCACTCAGAAAGATTACGACGCCTGAGACATCAAGAAATCCTTCACGGGCTTGACACTATTGACCGCATCAAGACCCAACGACCGCAGACCAACCACCAGCGGGTTTCGGGTCGAGTACAACTTGTGCAGCTTGTCGACCACGCCCAGCAGCTTGTGGTTCTTAAAGTACTGGTCGGCCCAGTAGGGCTCCAGGGTCAGGGTGGATCCAATATCGGCTCCACGCCCCGCAGCGTTTCGAATGGCAATGGCCAGACTCTGGGCGTCTCCCTGGCCCATGTTGAGACCCTGTCCTGCTAGAGGATGGGTGGTGTGGGCAGCATCTCCAACCAGAGCCACGTTCTCGGCAATATAAGTGTCGGCATGCTTCATCTTAAGAGGGAAGGAGGCTCGCGACTTGTCTTGGACAGCAACAATGGGGCAGGGCACGTCGGGGTTAGAAGATCGCTGAGACAGTCTGTAAGGAGCGTCAGTCATGATTTCATCGGGATGTTCAACCAGGTACTCAATGTCGGTGGGCTCGAGGTTGAATGCACAGTTAACCATCATGACAAACTGCTCGGGAGTCAGCTGCTTGAGCTGGGCGGCCATCTTGGGGGTGGTGGACCAGACGAGCGAGCCGAATCTGTTAGGCAGAGGAAGAAGAGCAATGGGACCGGTGGGGAGGAATCGCTGCCATGCCGACTGCTGCTCGTTGGCCAGACGCACGGTGGCAACCAGACCGTGGGTGTTGTAGTCCCATCCTCGTGCCTCGATACCGGAAAAGGTTCGAACAGGAGAGTTGGCTCCATCAGCACCGATCAGCAGATCAGTAGAGATAGTAGAACCATTGGAGAGCTTGACAAGGGGCTTGTTGTGCGATTCGGGTGTTCGCTCAACGCCCTCCACCTTGGTCTTGTCCAGGATCGTCAGATTGGGCTTATTTGCCAGCTGCTTGAGCAAGCCGTTCTGCAGGTTGAAGTTTTCGGTCATGTAGGCGATATCTCGGCCCTCGCCCATCAATTGGGTGGTGTTGAACTGCACCTTAGAGCCCGACACTCCATCCCACGCTGTCATGTGTCTGTAGGCCTGAACTCGGTCTCGGTTGACATGTTCCCACACGCCGATCTTGGTCAGATACTCGACCGAAGAGGGGGTCAGAGAACTGACTCGGTTCTCAAACCGCTCCATATCGGGGCCCCAGGTCTTCAGATTGTCCAGAGACCCAAACTCAACAAGAGTCACAGACTTGTTGACCGTCTCAGGGTAGTGTTTGAGGGCAGCGGCAATGGTCAAGCCGGCAGGACCTCCTCCAACCACCACAATGTCCGAGTGGGTGGTGGAGGGTTTGGGAGCAGATGTGGTGGTGGAGTTCCATCGCTGGACTCGAAAAACAGCCGGCCGCAGCCGTTGCAAGGTCGTGGATCGAAGCATTTTTTTTTTTGATTCAGCCTAAGTGCACTGGTAGAAATTATATCCAAAGCCTAATTGTAGATGATGGCACGATTAAATAGAGTTTATTTAGGGGATTTGGTGGGCCACGACTGTATTGGGGGTGTTGTCAGAAGTGACGAAGATCCGCTCGAGTGTAGCAGCGTCTAGGATAGGACGGAACCAACGTGGACAGCTTGCCAGTTTAGGATTACTAATCTTGAAAAGTCCGAGTTTGTCTACAGTTTATCTACAGTTCGTCTACAGTTCGTCTACAGTTCGTCTACAGTTCTGTCGGCTGCGGTTGTAGTCCCGACTTGTGCAAAAAATACCATTACTAAGCATACATTTGGGAAATTGTAAGGGTATTTACTTGTCAAAAACGATGCCAAATGATTATTCAGCTCTTACTCATCTTTTAGATACTAAACACATGTTTTATACACATTACTTGGTTGCTCTATTTAAAGTTCACAATCTATCAAATTACATACGACTGCATATACCTCACTAGACCATTTTGACAACACTCTCAACAACACACACAACTCACGATGGGAGCGTTATTATCGATTCCTCTGGCGGTCATCCCGTCCGTCTCGGCCATCGGAACTTGGGCAGCCACCTGTTGCGGCGCAGCAATCGGCTCGGCCATGTGTTCGGCCTGCAACAAGTGTTCTTCTTCTATCGCCACTCGAGTGGGCTACGCGGTGCTCTTCCTGGTGAACTCGATTCTGTCATGGATCATGCTCACCGACTGGGCAGTCAAAAAACTGGAGCGCTTCACTCTCGATTACATGAAGTTCAAGTGTCTGGGTGAAGAGTGCACGGGGTTTGTGGCGGTTCAGCGTATGAACTTTGCCCTCGGAGTGTTCCATCTGATAATGGCGCTGTTGCTGGTGGGCGTGCATTCAACGAAAAACCCGCGGTCCAAGATCCAGAACGGCTACTGGGGTTTCAAGATCGCCGCTTGGCTGGCTCTTATTGTCCTATGCTTCCTCATCCCCGAAAAGTTCTTTGTGGTCTGGGGCAACTACTTTGCCATGATCGGCTCGGCCATCTTCATTCTCATCGGCCTCGTGCTTCTTGTCGACTTTGCCCACTCCTGGGCCGAACAGTGTCTTGAAAGAATCGAGGAGACAGACTCCGGAACATGGAAGTTCATTCTCGTGGGATCAACAATGTCCATGTACATTGCCAGCATCGTGCTGACAATTCTCATGTACGTCTTCTTCTGCACTTCGGGCTGCTCCATGAACCAGGCCGCCGTTACTATCAACCTGGTCATGCTGATGCTCGTCACCCTGGTGTCCGTCAACCAAAACGTGCAGGAGTACAACCCTCGAGCCGGTCTGGCTCAGGCTGCAATGGTGGCCTTCTACTGCACCTACCTGACTATGAGTGCGGTTTCCACGGAGCCCGATGACAAAAACTGCAACCCGCTGGTGCGGTCCAAGGGCACCCGAACTGCTTCCATCTTCATCGGAGCGCTGTTTACGTTTGTGGCCATCGCATACACTACGACCCGAGCCGCCACTCGGTCTTCGGTGATTGAGCCTGAGCCAGAGTCGCTTGTGGACGACACCGTGTACACTGAACCCTCCGCTGTAACCATGCGTCAGCAGGCCATCCGAGCCGCTGTGGAAGAAGGGTCTCTGCCGGAGTCTGCGCTTCACGAACAGGAGTGGGAGACATTTGAGGCCGATGATGAAAAGTCTACCACTAAATACAACTATGTTCTGTTTCATATTGTGTTTTTGTTGGCGACCCAATGGACGGCTACCTTGCTGACCATGAACGTTGAGAAGGATGACGTCGGCGACTTTGTACCTGTGGGACGAACCTACTTTTCTTCCTGGGTCAAGATTGTCAGTGCCTGGATCTGTTACTTCCTGTATACCTGGACTCTGATTGCTCCCGTTTGGTTCCCTGATCGATTCTCTTAGATGCCCAACTGCTAACCCTAGCGCAGCGAGCAGAGCAGAAGCGTCATCTTCTTGTGACGCGATTGCCTTCTAACGATTAATGACGTCGGGAATTATGGCCATAGACCCTCCCCTCTCAATCTATGCCTATTTTCTTATAACTTATATATACTAATGACATTGTGGACGTGAAAATGAGTGTCAAGGCAGCAGCCACAGTGGTTGTTGGATTGACTTGCGACTCTAACCACTTACTGGAAATCCACTAATGTATTCCATGTTTCCAGCAGTGAGCAATGTGCAGTACCTACATTTCGCTGGCTTCTAGTGGTTCCAGAAAGTCATGGTTGGCGAAATCCGCTAGTATACACTACTGTACATAGGTACATCCAGTGCGTGCGACCAGGGGTTGAGACTACCGGCACCGGCACCGGCACCAGCACTGAGCACTGATCGGAGATAGCTCAGGTGGTGTATAATCAATACATCCCCGGTAGTTGTGTACATCCCGGTAGTTGCATCGTTATGTCACCAGAACCAGTATCTTCAAACTACACTCGTATAGCACGGCACGGCCGACACGGTGGGATTGCAATAGCCGTTGTTAGCACGTTTATCTGAAACTAGAGAGTCATGCCATTACGGTATCGTACGGTATTATCGGCAGCTAGTATTGTACTAACGCTTCTACAATAGTAGTATCAACATATGATGCACTACAAGTACTGGTAGGAATGCGCTCTTGTTACAGTGTCGTACTCGTACATACAAAGCCCCGATAGTGTACGAAGATACGTACTCGGTTCACCAACTACCCATTACCCAGGCATTTCTAGCCGATACGTAATTAATAGCAACTCCAAGCAAGGGACAAGGAGCCGCTGGCAGCTTTGTGCCCTTGCGGCAATGCATCAGAGATCGATACGACGGGAGAGAGCAGTTGTTCCGAGTTTTATACTGCGGGTTTCAGATAATTAAAACGTTTGTTTTGGCGGTGATCCGTGGTGAAGATCAATTGACCCACTGTTGGGGATTCTGCATTCGAGTATCAACAGAAGGTACATAACTGCTACTGTACTTTGCTACCCCTACCCCAAACACAGCATCATCATCCTCGACTGTACAGACCCAGACCCAGATAACATTCCAGACTGTCCCATTGAGAGCAAGAAATGCGGGTCTGTACTTTGACGCACAGACCGCATCGTCTATGTGGTTTTTGTCATGTTGGTAGTTTGGTTTCCTTTTTGGCCCAACAATGACCGGGGCGGTTTGGAGCGTGTGTTTGACTTACAGAGAACAAAAAAATGATGTCAGAAATTCCAGCGTGTACGTAATCTCCTCCTCCCCACCCCCCGTCGCCCGCGGTCCTCGGGGCGTGTCACGTGACTGTCTCGGTATCCGCGTCTCTCGTATCGTGTGTCTAGCCGGGTTGTTTATTGTTATGGGTGCCTAACTGTAGCAACACCTTAATGTGTCCAAGGTTCTAGATCTAGGGCGGGAATAACGGAAAGATGTTTGTTTTTTCTGACGTGCCAAATCCAGTGATAGCCGAGATGGGGGGGAAGAAAAATTGCCCCATACGGAAGAGGCGGATCTGGGGAGTTGATTTTGGCAGATTGCCGAGATTGTCGGCCCGCGTCGACTCGCCAGCCACGCCTCTACCCCGCCCACATCTCTAATATGTGAGCGCGCCCCTAGGTCGCGTACACCACGTGCCAACATGAGAGACGCAGTCTTGTTATGGCTTGTTCTGGCTTGTTCTGGCTTGTTATGACTCTGGCGTGTTTTGGTCGCGTGCATGCAAGCCCAAGGATCTCCGCAGGATACGAGCCATGTATCTTTAGTGTGGGAATGGTAAACAGTATGTGTGGTGTGGGAATGGTTGTAGGAGGGGCTTGGAGACGGTCCAGGTACAGCGGGTGTGCCCATGAATTTGCCCACCAGGGGCGGGTCGAGGAAGGTGGCTACTTTTAAACAGGACGTGTTAGACTGTTCGACGCGTACTATGGGTACAGGTACTTGGACTGTAGCGGTATAACAAGCCATCGCGATCCTTCTTGACGATCATAGATGGTTGTAGATGATAAACAACGGTAGTGTCCTACAAGTACTTGTACAAGGGCTTTGAGTCTACTCGTACAAACGACTGCCTCAATAAAGATACTAATACATAATATTACAAATCGTGAATCATAAATAAAGACCTGGAGGTCATGCGAAGACGACAGTGGGCTGCCGGAGACACCTGACGGTGTATTTGCAGAGTGGTTAACAGTTTCCAAGCTGCAACAAGCTCTTGGCAGCTCCCATGCTGGCGGGAGTGCCCTTGAGCAACGAGCCTGGGGGGGCCCGCATGGGGGTTTCTGTGGCGGACGGCTTTGGAGACGAGGCCTCCTCCAGCGCAGCCAAGCTCACGTTGGTTTGCTTGGTGTTGATTTTGTAAAGGGCCAATTGGAGCCGCATCTTGAGCCGGTCGGCGTGCTCTCGAATCTTGCCGTCGTTGCCGTCCTTACACTCCTCCTGGGACTTTGGTGGCAGCAACAGAGGCGACAGGATATCCTGTGTGAAGAGCTTTTTGTTGGGGCCCTGCTGGAGCGACGATTTGCACACTCCCCGGGGCTTTCGGTATGGGGATCCGGTGGACTTGAGGGGGCTGAGGGCGCCCATCTTCATGTTGGAGATGTCTCCGAGAACCTCTCTGTGGACGGTGGTCATTGTGTGCAAGAAGATGTGAAATGTGGCGACTGGTAGAGGGAGTACTGGTCCTCGACGATGGGCATGCCATGATATATGTATAGGGTCTTTGGGTGTGTAGGTATGTAAGGCGCGTTGGAAATTAGGTTGTTTGAGAGTTTACGCGACGGGGGAAACGGGGCTGTATAACGTGACAGGAGGGTGATTGAGGCGGGGGGAAGGGGAAATCCGATTATTTTCGCCTCTTGTCTAGATTTTTTCTCTCTAGTCGCCAAAAAACACCCTTTTTCCACGTAAAAAGCCCTCCCCGAATCCCTACGCGACACGACTGTACAACTCTGTTTCGAATAGAATTACGACTCTGCACTAGAGGGATGTGCAAGTATAACAGGAATGAGTGTGGAGGAAACACACATAATATTTTGGCCAAGACGAGCTCAATCCAAGCAGACGGGACATTATTATCGGTCTATTGGGCGGTGGTAGTTCCATATGGCGTGTTCCAAGCCCTGTTTCCAAACCCCCTTCCCCTTTTCCCCAGATCCCCCTCCCCTTCCCCAGATCCCCCTCTGTTGTCCCACAGGGTACGTACAGTGTACCATCTCCCCTTCCTACACCTGTCCATACATACAGCTCGTCAACACACGCTCTGTAATTACATGACTCCCTTCCATCAGCATCTCATTGTTTCTGCAATACAGCATATAGTGTTTATACACTGTACATATCATGTGTGTGTATGTATTCTTGGACCCCCCGCCAACCTTACGCGTCGCGTATGAGACAGAGTAGACAGTAGAAGGGCAGGAATAGAGACGGCTACCGACTGTTGGATACCGTCGACCACTTCCAAGCGCTCGTCTCCTCTCGTCTCTTTCTCGTCTTTCTCGTCTTCTCCTCTTGTTCTGTCCTGTGTTGGATTCGCCTCAATATCAACTTTTCAACCCGTCGCCTCCAAACTCCATTCCCACACACTGTACCCCTTCAAGGCCATCTCCAACACCTATTTTTGGGTTGCATATTCATCTATTACGCTTTTTTCTTTTCAAAGCCTCACGCCAACGCCCCTGCCAACCCCTGACGTCATTCCCGAGCCTCCCACTGTAGCCGCACCACCAGTAGAAACGTTTCCCAAACAGGCTCTAAACATTCCCAAACTGGAGTGTCGGAATGCACCGAGCCCAAAAATGGACATTCCTGAAATTTACCCCTGAAAAGAAACGCTCAAAAAAAGGGGAATAAATGCGAATAAATAGACAAAAAAGGGGAAATCGGCAGACCCGACCGCCTGTAATTGATTCCACCTCATGTCATGGCGCTAGCTGCCCTCGTTCGCCAACACAAAGTGTCCACTCCAGACCCGCTCCCACCGCATTCCACAACGCAATGCATAGAATACTCGTGTATGTACCACCGTGGATAAACAAAAGACGTTACGCAGGGTAGAGCGGAAGCGACTTTCCCGTCAGAATGCGAGAATGTGCGCTGGTGACGTGCGCGGGAGGGTGCGACAGGTGTGACATGACCGTCTGTTTACTCCATAGATATAAGGTGTGTATGTATGTACAGGGTGCAGTCTTGCGAGAGTGTGTTGGCAAAAGAAAACATATAAACAGGGGTAAGAGAACGGTAACTCGCACTAACCATCGGGAGATGCAGCTGTGAGAAGGCTCTTTTTGTGTACAGTACGAGTACACAAGTGTACTTGAACTTGTATCACCATGCATGCACTTGTTGCACATTACAGTTGGAGACAGTTTATCATGTTGTCATGTGTCACATCTGGACCTGCCTCATGGATACACAATGCACGGAAGATACCGATCAACTGGGACGGCCCAAACGACCAGATTCTGAACGGGAGCCAGAAGTAGAGCCGTACTTGGGAGTACCCCTTCCTTTACGGACTATCCCATACGCTTCAGACTCCGACCTGCGAGGAGAAGCATCTCTGGGTCTTCGGGAGTGAGGCTCCATGTTGGCAGTATTGATGTGTCGAACAATGTCCTGTTTAATTCTCTGTTCAGAAATCCGTTCAGAGGGAGATCGGCTTCTCGGTCTGCGACTGTGTCGGTCGTCCCACCTCCGTAGTCGTTCGGTCGACTCGCTGTGGTCTCTGTATCTCTCCTCGGTCTGTCGCTTTTTCTTTCGTATGTCGAATCCCTTCTTGTCGGTTTCCTCAGACCGACGCTTCTCCCGGCTTCTGTCTCGGGGTCTGTCTCGGGGTCTGTCTCGGGGTCTGTCTCTGTCTCTGTCTCTGTCTCTGTCTCTGTCTCTGTCTCGTCGGCGTCTTCTAGACCTCCCTGGTGACCTCGATCCGTGTCTGTCTCTGCAGCTCGCACCCTGTCTGGGTTCTTCCTCCTCCCATCTCATTTCTCCACACTTGACGACCCTGACACTTTCCAGAGGCCTGTAGTTGTCGTCAACAGGTATATCGCCCAAAGCTTTGAGGTACTCCAACGCAGCTGGCTCCAGCAGGCGCCCGAACACAGTGTTGGAGGTAGACAAGTGTGGGTATCCCTCTAGTGTGATGAACCACTGGCACAGATTTCGCCCCTTGTCATTAGAAGCCATGCACAGGTATCCGCCCTCCGACAAGTCGCACCAGCCGGGACTCTCGATCGGAAATTCGCCGTCGTCAAACACAGATCGGCCCACGTCTCCTCCTTGAACAATGAACTCGGGAGCCACCAATCTGTGGATGTCACTATTCTTGTATCCATCTGGCGCCGCACACAGGCCGACAAAGTTCTTGCATGCCTGTGGAGCTCGGTCCGGGAACAATTCGAGAAACAGTCGTTTTCTCCCCGCCGGGCTTTGCACGTCCAGGTATGCTCTCATGTGTGTTGTAGCGGGCAGTAGTTGGAATATTGCTATCAGAGTTTGTCAGGCGTAATATTTACATGCAGAATATGACTACATACATAGCATCAGACAATCCACAGAGTGTTTAAAGATGGTTTAAAAAGACGCATTTGGCGGTCCATGTTGCTGTTCAGAGCCCGTTTCATGTCATTTTCCATCTCTGGACCGTTTCTAGTCCCTTTTTGAGCGCCTGGCTCAGCCCATGTTTCCAACCAAATTACCAAGTAAACGGCCTTGTATACTTGACTCGATTACTTACTGTATCTCAAGGTTACAGTAGGTTTCGATCGACCGTTTCTATTTAGACGCTCATTTTCCGTAATTCAAATTAAGGAGAATTCTGGGAACTACTGTAGAACGCGCAGCGACGATCGCTCACCCCGGATCTGCATTGTAGAAAAAAAGAGCGAGCTGTGCATATCATACACGGCCTGTCGCGGTAGACGTGTTCAGCGCGGAACAAGAATCGCGAGACCCCGTGCTCAGTGTCTGCAACCACGGGATGAGATGGATGACATGTCTTTCGTCTGATACCCCACTTTCTCGTCAGACCACACGCCCTCCACCAAGCTCCATATTCGTATACCGCACTAAGTACGATACGAGCACCGATACCGTATCAATAGTGTCGCTCCCATTCACCATACTCCTGTGTAATATCCATTCACCATACTCCTGTGTAATATCCATTCACCATTCTCCTGTGTAATATCCATTCACCATTCTCCTGTGTAACGTCCATTCTGACGATATCCCTCGTTCAACCACCCACGGTCAATCTCACACTGTGCACACTCACCGCTCGATCTGAGATCGCAGCTTCCAGAACAAAGAAGCCCCCCTTTTTTTTCTCTCCTTCATCGCTAAACCTCAGCCCTGGGTCCTTGTCTGGAGGATACGTCTCGTCTGTCTTCCTGTCCTTAGGGCATGTTTCAGCTCGCGTATTTTAGACTCCCGCCGTTCCAACGAAGCACACTAATCGGGCTTTAGCACGCAGTGCATTCTTCCCTTTGTTTGGGGTAACGATACCTACCACCGGCCCCGAAGGAACGTTCAGGGCCATGGTCCACTTTTAGCCCCTTGGTACGCCCCAGCTGCACCTTAGAGAATGTGCAGGGCTGACTCGAACCTGGTCGGTACGCGGCGTGTCGTGCAAGATGGATGGCGCGTATAGTTCATCGGTCGAATATCAGATGCGAGCGACAATGGGTAGGCGAAGAGTGTGACAGAACCTCAGACAGACGACAGTCTGGGGTCGCAGGTGTGAGACAGTCTTGTAGCTACAAGTAGCACTGGTGTCTCGCACCGATCGGTTGCATTCTGTCTCAGCCAAAGGGGTAACTTCCAACCTTGGTTGTGTTTCAGCCCGTGATGGAGTCATTGCACTGTGGGAATGCAGGGCCAGGAACCTACTGGTTGAGAGTTCGCAGGACTGCCAAGGTCAGGCGCGTTGGTCGTGTCGGGTGAGACAGCACGTTGGGCAAAAAAAAGGCGAGCAGGCGTGCTGTGTCATCTTCGCGATCAACAGTAACGAACTCGGTACCCACCGCTGAATCACTCGACCATCATTCTAAGGTGAGATTCATAGTAATGGTATGAGCTCTACTAAAGCGCCAGGATGAACATGAACTGCTCACCTTCGGAAAAGTCACTCGGTCAAAAAAAAAATGAAAAAAGCCGAATTCGACTCTGCCTTCGACCAGATTTGAACTGATGATCTCAGCATTACTAGTGCTGCGCCTTACCACTTGGCCACGAAGGCGGCGATTGCATTTGTCAGGGCCCGGTTTGAGTGTATCTAGACTCTCATCAGAATTTGAACCTTAATTGATGTTGAATTTGGACGCGTGACCGTGTCGGGACGTGGTTGAAATACTGTATAAATAGGAGGTCTTCTAGAACAGTGTGAATACGTACGCCGACACCCAGACAATGGCAGTGAGACCGGATAAACCGACATACAGGCCGGATAAATCTAATGCCACAATGAGACCGTCGACGACCGTCACAGAATGCTCATGTCATCTGAGAGGCAACTTGCACATCTATCCTGTATCAATCGTGGAGCGTGTAAAACGTCTCTGTTGTGATCAACATGGTCTGCTCGTGTCATTGACCTAGTAGCTGTCCACATTGTCTGCTTCGTTGGGATTGCATGTCCATTGTCTGGAGGTCGGAGATGGTGTACGTGGATCCTCGGCGTCTTTTCTTTTTTCTTCTGGTGCTCTTCACGACCTGGTCGCTATGTCTTTGTTTTCTGCGGGCCGGGGAATGATCCCACCTGCTCACGTCACGTGAATGGTAGTCCTGTGTTCATGTCACGTGACTATCTGGGCCGTGTTCACGTCACGTGGCTCTGTGGTCAACCCAGCAAATCTCCATCATGCACTGTATTTCTTGTAGTAAGGCACACATACCGTGTACCTGTAGTCCGGCTTCCAAGCAGGGCAGTGCGGATTGTCTCTAACAAGGGATTTCGCGACATGTATTGGTGGCGAAATTGTCATCAATAGGCTACAGCACGCGTCACTGTGGTCTCATACAGGGCACGTCTCATCTGCAACAGATCGTCATCGGTGCATGCAAGTAAGGGTGATGGGGGGATAGGTGTTGGCGACGTGTTCGAGGGATAGTAGATGTGGTTGGTGATGTGGTCGATTCTTCATGTGATGCGAGAGCAATAATTACGGATACTCGTACGAATACTTCTTCGAGGATCCTATACTCGGTCCAATTAGAACCCACAAGAACAGTACAGTATGTATATGTACCCACAGTTTTGATATTGGATGGAGTACTTGTAGAATGCGGTTTCAGAGAACGGTCCGCCCAAGCCAGAACATACAACTACTACAAGTAGCACCGACCCACCCACCAAAAAACATCTTGTGCTGGATCTCCAATACCTTTTGGTGAATAGTCCCAAGGTCTTGCTGTCAGATCATCAGAACGGGTCCGTAAATGGCTTCAAACTGCGAAATCCGACATTATAACGAGAAAATAGTCATAATTAGTACAAAAAAAAGCAATCACACTACTGTTTTTCAAAAGCCCCCGGTTTTCGCATGTTTTCTCTTTTTTTTATTCTAATGATTCATTACATTTTTTTCCCTGAAATTAATCTTTACGTTCTTATTGAAAAATCAGGATTCACAAATATGTAACGGATCGGTGATGGGTCAATCCTCAAGATATCCCTAGGTACGAGCGGTAACCGCTCGTCCTACGCTACAGAACAGTACACCAGAACAGTACACCAATAGTACGAGCTCCGGAAGTCGTATAAACATAACTTAACTTACATACTTGTGAGTGGTGGCTATATATACAGGCATCTCAACCCTAACTCTGTAAAGCACGTCACTATCCACGTGACCTAGCCACGCGATACCAAGTATTCATCCATAATGACACACTCATGACGTCCGGAGGACGTCATCATCATCCAGTCACGTGCCAAGGCACATGACTAATCATAACACCTTATGACTAGCTTCTGAATCGTTACAAAATAACATTTACCAGAGGACGTGGCGTAATGGTAGCGCATTGGATTTCGGTTCTTCTGAACGACGTCCTCCAAAGGCTGCGGGTTCGAGTCCTGTCGTCCTCTCTTTTTGCCCCTACTTTGCGTGATAACTCGAGATATCAACGGTATCACAGCAAAGACTTTCTTTGTTTTTTTGTCTCTCCAAGAACATAATCTGCACCGCTACTTTAGCGCCATCCACAAGTGCGCCGACTACACAACAATGGCCGCCCAAACACGGATCGACACCAAACCTGCGATAGCCATGTTTTGACGCCGGGCTCGTGACCAAAGGCAAAAACCACATTCCTGGCAAATAATACGAGCTCCAAGATTTGCAATCGATAAGAGTCTTACAGTATGTACTACTGTGGTCATGTGAGAGGTCTTCCCATCAGTCAGCAGTCAGCTACATGTCCACAGTAGAAGGCGACATGCTACAGTAGGAGTCGAGAAACATTGTCATATCGTCTCTAATACTCCGGCAGCTCCAAAACTACAGAATGGGCGAGTCGCCGATAGTGGGCTCGTCATGACCGGTGGGCTCGTCATGACCGATAGTGGGCTCCTATCTCTTTATTAAAGACAATCGGCTGTACAGTTTGTTCCTTGTCGATCACCATTTTCCAACTACACGGAGCCATGTACTAAAAGACATGTTTGAGCTGGGTTTGATTTAACAATCATAAGACAAGCCATTAGAAGCTGCTCATATAGTACAAATACTGATACCATATGACACAATACCGCCCAGGCTGCCGTTATAGTCCCATGATCCGTCGACCAACTGAGACAACAGCCGTCCATGGTTGCATTGAAGGAATGTGAACCTAGATAACGGCGGTTTCGCACGGAGTAAACACCAAAAAGTCGCGGCGATACACACACTGATTGCGCCACTCTTATCTTGTGTCCACATAACAACTATATAAGTCCCCTTTACCTTACCCTCAGCTTCTCTTCTCTTCTCATCTCAGATCATCTCCTCCGACTCTCTACACTCGTTCAACCCTACCCAACCCTTCCACAATGCAGTTCTCCATCGTCCTCCTTGCCGCTGCCGCCGGCCTCGTTTCTGCCGGTAACGCCACTGCCGTCGTCACCCAAATTGGTGATGGCCAGATTCAAGCTCCCCCTTCTGCCGCCCCTGTCCAGGCCAACGGAGCTGCTGCCCTCGGTGTCTCTGCCGCCGCCGCCGGCGTTGTTGCTGCCGCAGCCATGCTCATCTAACTTATTAATTAATTATTTCCAAGTCCCAGACCGTAAGGTGCAAGTAAAAGTAGGACTGGTGTCGTTATGAGGTGAGTATGAGTATGTCGCTGTTCTCCGTCCGCGTCGGCTGGCTACAGAGTTCGAGCAGATATACGATAGTATAATGTATATAATCGCGATTACATCAACCCTTGCCTACAACACGGTATGTACTGTGTACTTGTATTGTAGCTGGACCACCGACTATCTACGCTCCAATCTAAAGACGTGAACGTTTCGACATGGTCCGAGAGTTCTTGTCTGTCTCGTCAGGATGGTCGTACTGTTGGACGGGGTACTGTCATACCCCGCCCCATGCGGCCAATAGCGACATGTTGGCACGAATTTCCGCAGTATTTAGCGGCATATGCCGTTCCCCAGCTCGATGGTGGGCCACAAGCTTCCGTGTGTCGAAAGCGGGCCTCCGCCACGGCTCTCGGTGGATTCTTTGGGTCTCGCAGGGTGTATGCCTGCGAACGAGACATACCACGATAGGTGGACTGCCATGATACGAGGTAATTTCTCGTACATCATGGGCTTTTGCCAGGCCGTAACAAAGGCTGGACTTGTTTAACCACAAACTTGTGTGGTGGGACCGCACGTTTGTTGTATCGATGAAGAGGAAAAGAGACAGGAGGTTGGGAAAGGCGGGTTTTAATTCTTTCAATAACTGGCTGAAAGAAGTAGCTACTTGTATCATAAGAAACACTTGGCCGAAATTCCTATCATTACGCACGTCAGGTACTTTTCATCATTTCTTGGACTACAAACACAATGATGGTGCTTTTCTGGTTGGCTCTCAGTCATTTCCTCAGATGAGAATGATATCATTGACGAAGACTAGACTGGCCGGGAAGTTATTTACCCAGGTATTGTAGGTAATGTACCCTGGTCTGTCTGTCGCTCTAGTTGTCAACTGGTCTAAGTGAAGCCTCTGTGTGTAGGCATCTACGGTCTGTATGTAACCATCAACTGGTGCTCATCTATACAGTCCCTCCTATCCACCCTTATAGCAGTTAGTAGACTGTGCTACACCCAGCAGTTCCTTGTACAAGGGCTATCTACGCTTGTACTTTGCTTTTTAGACAGCGGGCTGACCTGGTTTCTGGATTGAGTACTGCGACACGTCTTGTGTTTACGAGGTCCTGTCAGAAAAGGAGGTCCATCGATACCTGGGACCGCCGACGACCTTCCATCGGTGCTCTTACCGACAACGATGAAGAGAACTTCAAAATCTTCAAATCGCGTTGCGAACCATGTGTGTGTCTGTCGGGGACTCCTACCGAGCTCAGACATTGAATTGGTACACTGTCATGTTCAGATACTGCTGAATTGAGCCACAGAATCTCACTACCTAAGGAGCCCTTGCCTTCATGACAATGTAACGGGGGCTTTACACGCAATAAGAGCATTGACCTGAGCCATAGAGCCAGAGTATAGCCAATGAGCTACGTGAGCCATAAGTCCAAAGAGCAAGGTGGCCACACAGGTCAGAGCCGGCGCTGATGTGCCAGAGCCAGAACCCATGCCACGAGCAAAGAGCCGGTAAGCCCTTCAAGGCAATAAGTGCCAAACGCTGTGAGAGCAAGGTCAATGCCACTAAGTCCTTCAATGCGATAAGGGCATGGTCGCCATTCGAGCCACGAAGTCCAGAGAGCAATAAGAGCCATTTCGCCTGAGCAAGAGCCATGAGTCCACAGATGCAATAAGCGCCAAACGTCAGAGCACAAACAGAGCCGAAGGAGCCAGGGCCTTAGAGCCGAGACCAGCCAGTTGCCAATAAGTCCAAAGAGCAATGAGAGCCTGAGCACGAGCCGAAGTCACACTATTCAAGGAGTAGGCGGTGAACCTCTTGGCCAGAGGAAGTAACTGACCGAATCTGTTTATCTAGTTTTGAGAGGAGTAGGTGAAAATCCGAACCTCTTGGGTTAGTAAATCATTGACCAAAGAGTCCCCTCGAATATTTGAGTTGTAGAGAGTTGAACAGTATTTGTATTTGTAGAGAAGCTTGATCTTCTGTAGAGAACCATTGCTGAACCGCCTTGATCTCGTGATTATTCACCGAGTTAGAGCATGGTATTGATAGCCAGTACACAGTTCCACGTACTTTCTCAACGGAGAGGCCAAGGATCAGTAGTGCGGAGGACACTTAGCCTCGACCAATATCCGTGACTCCCTTGTTCAGAGCAATCAGACTGACCCCACTAGACTGCCTGTGCTAGGATTGAATGCTCTTATTGACTTCGAGCACGACACCATTGGCCTCACGTTCATATGTCCTCCTTTAAGACCCCTGTGACGCTCTCAACGTGTCAATCAAGACGGCACAATATCGCCAATCGGGGGGGGGGGGACACTTATTGTGCCAGGTGCCACCTCATTCAGAGGTCATAAAACAGCTGGAGATGATGGCGATAGACCAAGATATACTTTTCGTTAGAGAGACTTTACACGGCATGGGTTTTTGACATTACAACTACGATTAGCATCTTAACAATCTCTCGAGAATAACATAAAATAATATATGGAAGTCATCCAAGGAAATATTTTCCACAATACATCCAATCCTAGTGTAATAAACCAACCTGTGGCCAATCCAACAATGGTTCCAGAATAACCACCCCGCAAACACACCCTCTATAATATCATACCAACCTTATCTTTGCACTTTCTCAACCCACCTTTTTCTGACAGCCCAAAACATCACCACCACTTTGTACCAGTGCTGTGCTGTATATACTGTGCTGTATGTACTGTATGCACTGCAAGCAACCTGATACCTCTGTTATACCCAATCACATGAACTCTTTGTACGTGTAAACGAAATCATGTGAAGATGGATCTCTTGGGAACTACCCTCAAGAATGCCATTCTACCTACCTACCCTCAACGCGACGGTACGAAGCAAGGAAACTTTTCCAACACTTATTCCACCGCTTGAGAAGACAAAAGTGTTATTTAGCAAGTTTTACAACCGTCTGCGTGACTCTCCCGGTTCATCTTGGCTGATTTGCAGTGTTGATGATCGGCAAAAGTAGGTCCTTTGTGCTATTATTCCAGAGGTGGAGAGGCAGTTTCAAGACAAGTATCACACCGAGTTGATGGAAGAGACCAGTTTTGGTGATCAAGTTTCTACATGCTCCCTACCTCAGTTTGGTGTGGACTCACTTGCTCCGTTCTTACCTGTGCAATATGACCCCTCCAAGTACATGGGCATCTTTCATGCTCGTATGATTGTGGTGGTGACTCAGCCAGTTCATAAGATTGCTCAGGGCGCGTCGTTACAGAATAGGTTTGTTCCCATGCTGTCCGTGGTGATTGATAAGCAGCTAGATCAAGCTGATAAGCCGAGATATCTGCCAGGCAGAAGGGCAGCCAAAAGAAGAGTGGAGTTTCAGGAGGGATGTATGAGCCAAAGAACAGTGTTTACAGATCCAAGTCGACTCTGTGAGCTATTACGTGGGAGTTTGGAACATGCACCAGGCAAGCACATAGGTGAAGAGCTGCTGAGAGTAGGAGGGATATATGCTCAGTCTGGAGGGGACAAACAAGAAAAGAGTGTGTCAAAGAAGTTTGATCATAGCGAGTACTCAGGGATATTATGGAGGGATAAGAGATGATAACGGGGATGGAGTCACTAGACGTCAACGAGGAACATTTTGAGTATTGGACTGAGGTATTTGGACTACTGAATGAAGATACTGAGTGCCCAGAAGGACCCCCTTTTTGATGTGAAGAAGACTGTGACGTGAGCTGCAGTGTATTTAAGTCGCATTGAAGATGATGTGTTCTTGCTGAGACTCAGTATTATTGCTGAGGTTACGTCGGTACATTACAGCCATCTCTGTTCTGTTAGAGATGTGAGAGTCTGCTCTCCGAGGCGAGTGTTCCTGTCACTGGGACTGTTGAAGACTAGTAACCGTGGTTGTCGGTGTTGATCCATCAGCTGCGACGTTGGAGGTATTTTGCCCGGGTTGGTGTCGTTGGCTGTGATTGTTCTCTAGACATGAGATGTTCAAACTGCTTGGGTATGTTCTCGGTTGCTGAGAGCTGGTCATTTCTATTCATGCACTAGTTGAGAGTTACTTGTAGTTCTTACTTTTTCACGGAAGTCTCTGAATGTTAGGCTGACTTTAGTCAGGGCTTCTGATTACCGTCAAGCGCTCCACATTGAGGATGGCGGTGTTGCTTGTTCCAAGTGTGCTATCTATGGTAGTTGTCGCTGACAGTCTCGTCACGGTAAACTCACGAGGTTGATGAGTCGGTTTCCAGTCTCGCTCTATGGTACTCTGTATATTGGATGCCTGTGCCTCAGTTTGTGATTACTGTTGTTCAGGGAGATGCTTGTCTTGGACATCTCGACATTGAATCGTGGTGCTTTTATCGTATAAGATGGAAGTCGCGCCACGACTTCATCTAAGGGGAGGATGATGTTAGGGATCAACGGCTAAGAAATGGCCGCCTGATTAGTAGTCACCCGTGAACCGATAGCGGAGTTCCGTCGGGACCCCGCGGAGACTACGATGAGAGGCCACCACGTTGGCTCTCAGTGGAACCACGCTATCATTAATATCGATATGCACCGACAAGGGTTACGGCGCAACTCTAGATAACATAAACTCCTGTATTCCATGTATTCTAACAATTTTTTTCTTTCCTTTTTTTTTTTCTTTTTTTCATTCTGCTGATTCACTTTGGTCACCGCGGCTGAGTCATCAATCTGCTTAGTCATGAGTCCTTGTTCTAGCTTTTTTGATGTAACGATTCAGAAGCTAGTCATAAGGTGTTATGATTAGTCATGTGCCTTGGCACGTGACTGGACGATGATGACGTCCGGAGGACGTCATGAGTGTGTCATTATGGATGAATACTTGGTATCGCGTGGCTAGGTCACGTGGATAGTGACGTGCTTTACAGAGTTAGGGTTGAGATGCCTGTATATATAGCCACCACTCACAAGTATGTAAGTTAAGTTATGTTTATACGACTTCCGGAGCTCGTACTATTGGTGTACTGTTCTGTAGAGTAGGACGAGCGGTTCCCGCTCGTACCTAGGGATATCTTGAGGATTGACCCATCACCGATCCGTTACATTTGAACATTCCGGTCCCTTGGCCCAGTTGGTTAAGGCGTCGTGCTAATAAGAAATTAGCCTCTTTGCAACGCGAAGATCAGCAGTTCGATCCTGCTAGGGACCATTGTTTTTATCCCATGGGACGAGATATGGATATGGAGTCTCATTTTGGTTATGGCACCGTCATCGCTGGTGTTTCACTAGCGTATTGTGTCTACAGTAGTGTTTTTTTATACATATTTTTTTATAGTCCCTACAAACAAACTCAAGTATGCGCCAAGTATGCGAGATAAGAACCTAAAGTGCTGAACAAAAAAGCTGTAAAAAAAAAAAACGTACGAAATCACAAATCTACTGAATACCATTGTACCGATAAGTGGAATACTGCTCTGTTATAGAAATACGCTGAACAATCCACGTATTACGTACCACATGTCCGTATGTACTTTATGTACTGGAAATTCGGTACTAGGTCTGTACTTACGATGACTATCTTTGTCGTTCTTTGCTGACCGCTTCTTTCGACTCTGGGTGGACCTGGGATACTTTGTAAAATGTCTGAGACTTCCAAAATCGATCATTTGCCTTCTAAAGTCGTCAGGATTCGATGTCATGGTGTCTCTCAGTCTGGATAAGTCATGGTCGTGGAGAGGGTATGGAAAAGATTGGGATTGAGTCCTGCACCAAATGGCCGGGCTTGGGCAACCAGAAGATAGACCAGACATATAACTCTACAATTCACACCTCTGGTTTTCATTTCCCCATCCCATGTAAAAAAGGACAGACATAAATGAACTGAGAGATCCTCCCCGAGACGATGCGGTTGGAGTAAGAAATGCACAATGGAGAACCAGGATCCTTTCGATGATACTCGAGACTATGAGGATAAGTCCAAGCTGAGGTTCTACAGCAACGAATAGCACGAGCTTGGCACAGTTGGTTTGAACTGTCCGCTGACTTTCAAGAGCGTTGACGCTTTCACAGATTACCAAGTCATGTTCTGGTAGATCAAGGACCGCCCTAGCAGTAACGTGGATCAAGTGAACGCGCAAAAGGACCACAAACGGAAAAGAACAGTTTGACCAGGGTCTGTATATGGCATTTACTACCATTAATAGGTGTAGTTCTTCGGTGCAAGTAATGTGGGCTCATAAACTAGGAAGTTATATATACACGACATCCCTGATCCCACCATTGATACACCGATCTAAGCAGGTTACAAGGTGCCACGATCTGACTAGGAGGTTCTAGATACCGTCTACAGCTCAGATGTAGCCTGATATACATGCTGAATACTTCCAAAGGTGAGAGTTACGTATTTTTAGAGATATGTTCAGTTAATAGTTTTGTCTCGAATGAGGCGGGTCCACAAGCACACAGATGCCAATCTCATCTAGAGACCAGAGCCGTTGTAAGCCAGCTTGTTGGGGGTACCATTGAGGTTACCGGTGATTTTGCCATTATTGGCGTTGATGAGCGTGTCCTCCACTTGGGCAGGGGTCAGAAGCTCGGACGAGGTAGCCATGAGTTGGGCAGCCAGGCCAGCCACGTGGGGCGTGGCCATGGATGTTCCAGAGTTGGAAAGAATACCGTCGTCGGACTGGTAGTCAGCCGAAAGAATGTTGGTTCCGGGTGCAATCACATCAACACAAGAACCCCAGTTGGAGGCCTTGTTTTGAGAAGGGTCCCAGATGGCGAGAGAGTCGTCGGAAGAGGAGGCAGCAACGGTAATGAAGCCGGAGGTCTGGCTACCGGCTCGACCGGGGGAAATTCCACAGGCATCGGTGTTGTCGTTTCCAGCGGCCACAGCAACAACCATACCCTTCTCCACAGCCTTTCGGAAAAGCGCGTCTTCAGCCTCGGAAGTATCTCCTCCACCAGAAAAGTTGATGACGGCTCGGGGGTACTTGTCCTTGTTCTTGACGTAGTCGTCAATGGCCCAGGAGACGCCCTGCATGATCTGAGAAGTGGAGCCGTACATGTTGGCAAAGACCTTGACGGAAATCAGCTTGGTGGAGGGAGAGACTCCATAGCCAGCTCCTCCAATGGTACCGGCCACGTGAGTTCCGTGTCCGGCGTTGTCGACATTCTGGTTATCTGCAAAGTTGGCGCCCCAGGAGGCTCGACCCTCAAACATCTTGTGGGATGTTCGGATTCCGGAGTCCACAATGTACGCCACGGTGGGGTTCTTGGTGTCCTTGTTCATGGCATACTGGTTCTGGGACTGCGAGTTCTGCTTGTGAGACACTCGGAACAGACCCCAGTTCTTGGTGGGGACCTCCTGAAAGTTGCCAGTTCCGGGAGAAGAGCCGTTGGAAGGTGCGCTTGAGGGGGCGGTGGAAGGGGCTGTGACAGGATCTTCAGGAGCAGGCTTAGAAGGTGAGGGCTGGTTGGATGGGAACGGATTCTCACCGCCAATTGGGGGAGGAAACTGACCGATAGGGTTGGGCTGGTTGCCGATGGGTTGAACAGCGTCATCTTCAGGCTGCTGGCCTTGGCCGTTGTTGGGATCCTGGACCGGACTGTTTCCCTGTCTCCACCACTTGAAGAAGTTGTCAATGAGGCCTTGGTAGGCATCAGGTGTACCCTGGTACACGTTCTGGGTGGACTTGAAGCTCTCAAAGGTGGGGAGTTTCTGGATTCGGTCTTTTTCAACCGTCACCAGGTCCGAGTAATTTCCCAGAGTATCAACAATGCTCTTGTCAAAGTGGCCTGTGTAGCCCATGAGGCCAGAGCCGTCCTTCTGAGAGGGCAAGTCAAAGGCGGTCTTGATACCGTTGAGAGAGTCCTTGTTGATCAAGCCGTCCAGCAGCTTGAGGTGTTCAGAAATCTGGTCAATGGACACGCCATCCTTGAAGACAATGTTGAAGGAGTCGGGTTCCTGGCCGTGTCGCTTTCGCAGACTGGAGTCGCTGAACTTGGACGACTGGCCGTTGATGATATCAAGAGCGTCCTTGTAGGCTCCCTGAGGAGCCATGGGAGCGGCCAGACAGGCCACGGCCAAAGACAGAATGACTGAGGGTTTCATGGGGGGAGTGAAGGAGTGACTGAGGTGGGAGAGATGTTACTATCTGGTGGATTGAAGCAGAATCCAGGTCGTTTATGTATCCCCAGAACTCATCGCCGCTCGCTAATGCACTCATTGTATTGCACTTCATGCGTGTAGTTACAGGTGCATCCATGTCTGTGATGTGAGACTTGCGTGTGCCTGCCAAGCCAGGGGCGCGGGAGTGTTAGAGCGGGAATGGAGGTTGAGATAAGATGGCAGATCAGATGTTGACCGTGGTTTGGGTGTCCACAATCTCTAGATACTGTAGTGCACTTGCCCAAGTGTACTTGGTCCAAAAGACAGTACAAAAGATGTATTTGAAGCTATCAAACACTTGAAATTTCTAACGCTTCAATTAACAAAGAGATTTGCAATTGAACACCCGCTCGCCCCGCCAGTCTGAACATCAACTTCAAACGCCGTGCCTGGATACAAAAGACAAAAGTGCATGCACCCCTGCATTTCTGAAACTCGGCTGAGGGGTTGCATTAGTCCGATGAGATGCGGCCAATTGATGATATATGTGCCGAGAAACAATACCGACAGCAAATTTTATCTGATTTATCAACCAGTTTCTCATTCTCGCCAAAAAAATTCGCCTTTATACCCCCTTCCCACCTCATTATTCCTGTTTGCTTTTTCCCGCCTAGTGTTTCATGTTTATGCATTCCCGGAGTGTGAGACGAGGACGGATAAACACTAATATAATCGTTTGTGACGGAGTAGATCAGTGGGGTAGATGATTACGATCCGTATACGACACTTCGGCGCATTCTGCTGCTTTGGACCCCCCCCAGTGCCGTGTTTCTGCCCGCACCGACCATGTTGCAGTAGTCGTACTTGTAAGAGGTAAGGCTCAGGCAACAAACCGTTTCATGATACCCGCCTGCTTTAACACAATGTTTTAGCAGCAGTTGCTTTTTACCACAAAAGAAAATGTGCGTCCAAGGGGATGTTTCGTGTGCGTTGAGACAGCCTGTAATTGAGATGCCGTTGCTACCGTGAGACACCCGTGGTCAACGCGTTTGGTATCCATTAGTGGAATGAAATACAACTAACAGTATATAGTGAACGGTAGGATTCTGGAAAAAAGGAAGTGGCAGTAATAAAGTCCCCAAACTGGTCACTTTTCTAGCATGTACCGGTTCATGCCAAGACTGTAGACACGGCACAGCAACAGACAATAGGTCTGATGTTCTCCATTGTCCAGATCTCCTGTTTCGGCCAAGAAAGAACTTGTACCATACAATGAGGCAATAGTTGCTACGGAAAGGTACGCAGCCAGAAAGAGATGCGTATTTGAGACCACAAGTGTCGAGAACGGAAGCGTTCAACTCGTAACAGGAATGTGACTCCCGTGTGTTTTAGGAAGTGAAACAAATGTCGACGACTTCGTGAAACACAATCAAATAACTGATGCTATAACTTGTACTTGTATCCAAGCTGGTTATGGACTCTTTGTCTAACTTGAGACAATTCCAACGCTCTTTCAAAACTCTTAGTCTACGTTTGGATTGACGAACAGGATATATATGGTGCAAGCTACGAAGAGCAAAGAATTGACCAAAAGGACACCTCGGGTAGTTCCTCCAATCGTCTAGGCAAATCGAGTTGTGGCATTGCCATCTTATCTCCTCATTAGCCAACCCTTTTCTGTGCTCACTATGCAATGCTCACCAAGTACATGGTACAGTACATACCACGAATGGAAGAGTTGGTACGGAAAGGGTGTCTGGTACAGGAATGTTCCACATGAGATTACCTAAAATGGCAGGTGAAAATGTGTTCCTTTCCATGGATTGAGCAAATGATAGGTATTATGACTTCCTGAGATCCAGTATGGTACGGTAACATAACTTCCTGAGGTTCGCTTCATCTGGTACAGTACGGTACAATGTACCAGAGACACTCGTTTGCTTCATCTCTTGCACCAATACCCACTCTTGTCAATAACTTATTATTAAGCAGCTACTTACGCATGTCTTGTGCACTACAGCTCATCTCTAACAGGAGCCTCAGTCGTCCCAGAAGTATCAGTCTCATGCTCCTGTTCACTCACAAGCTCTTCGGCCAGACCAGCAACCTCCTTGGCCAGACCCAGAAGCTCCTCGGCGTGCTCTCCCTTGACTTCCACGTGATCATCGTCCACCTTGACGGTGTAGGGTTCTTCTGGCGCAGCAGAGTCAGGATCAGCAGCTTCAGCACCTCCGGGAACACTCTCATCACCACCATCAGCCTTCTTGGCCTCCTCCTCCTTGGCCTTCTTGGTCTCTCTCTCCAATCTCCTTCGCTCGTCTTCCTCCTCTCGTTCCTTCTGGTATCGGGCGTCTGTTTCGGGGGTGCCCTTGACGTCATACTGGCCACTGAATGAGATCACGGTCGACTTGTCGGGATTGTAGATGGTGGCGAGCACAAAGTAGCGGGACGAAGGGATCCAGTCGGGGATGCTGACCGTTCGCTTGAATCGGATATCTTTCTTGGTGGGCTTCAACGGACACCCTCGGCCAATCTTGTGCTGTTTCATTAGATCACACAAAGGATGGATGCCTCTGTGCACCTCCCGGAATCCCGAGTAGACGGACACGTTGAGATAGGCACCGTCCTGGACAAGGTGGTTGACTTTACCCACAACCTCGAACTCGACATCCTGGCCCGCAGGCAGAGGGTAAGCCGAGGCATCCAGAGCGGTGATGTTGATGGCCTGGGGCTCGGGTCGGTCGCACACAAGGAACTTGACGTTGCCGGGCACCGCGTGGCAGTTTTTGGGCACCATATTGTCGAGACCCAGAAACTTGGCGAGAATGAACTCGATGTTGGAGTCTGCGGCCAGCGCCGAGGCTGCCATACAGACGGCAGATGCGATGCTGAGGAGTTTCATAATGTCGTGGGATGTCGATCGATCGTGCACCAAGGATGGTATATGTACAAGTAGCAAGCACGGTCCCCCGAGGCCTGTTCCATGGTGCGTCAATTAGGCTTTTTTTCAGACATGTGTAACACTCGCTCTGGAGAGTTAGTCATCCGACAGGGTAACTCTAATCTCCCAACACCTTATTAACTCTGCGTAACTGTAACTCTTCTTGCGACGTCGATCTTACTCAATTTTCCTGCTCATCATCTGCTGGATTGTTGTCTATCGTCTGGCTCTAATACATTTATTGTTTATTGCCCAAACAACTTTCATTGCACGTAAGTGAATTGTTTTATAACAGCGTTCGCCAATTGCTGCGCCATCGTCGTCCGGCTGTCCTACCGTTAGGGGTAGTGTGTCTCACACTACCGAGGTTACTAGAGTTGGGAAAGCGATACTGCCTCGGACACACCACCTGGGTCTTACGACTGCAGAGAGAATCGGCGTTACCTCTCTCACAAAGCCCTTCAGTACCGCCGCCTGTCGGGAACCGCGTTCAGGTGGAACAGGACCACCTCCCTTGCACTTCTTGGTATATCAGTATAGGCTGATGTATTCATAGTGGGGTTTTTCATAATAAATTTACTAACGGCAGGCAACATTCACTCGGCTTAAACGCAAAACGGACCGTCTTGATATCTTCTGACGCATTGACCACCGAGAAATAGTGTTAGTTACCGGGTGAGTTATTGTTCTTCTACACAGGCGACGCCCATCGTCTAGAGTTGATGTACTAACTCAGATTTCACTACCTACCCTATCCCTGGTACGCACAAAGCACTTTATTTTCTCACATCTGGTGGACGACACCTCGTTTTTGTTTCGAGTGATAGCCTGCCAGATTTATTGTGCCTTTACTGTCGTACCAGCGTATTTTACTTCCCTTTCCGTTCTTTCGTTTTCACCATGTCGAAAGTAACAAAAGACGAGTTCCAGGCTCTCACCGCGAAGATGGACGCCTTGACGCTCTCCCACCAGGAGATCACCACTACTCTCGCTACCGCGGTTAATACCAAGGAATTCCGCTCAGCCTTAGACGAGCTCAAGCAGTCAAATGAGTCTTTCAAGACACATCAGGCTGGGGAGTTTGAAAAGTTGCACCAGTTGGTGTCGGCCCAGCACGAAACCATCGCGAACCTCAGCAAGCGTGTCGACTCACCCCCGAGCACCAGCTCCCTTGAAGGCATTTCCCGTATTGGCAAGGCTGATTCCGAATTTGAACCCGACACCCCCCAGAAGGGTAACTCTGTCCTACATGGCATGGACTTTGCTGCCAGTGACACGGGTTCTGTTGACTATCGAAAAGAATCCGACGCCCTCAAGTCCATCATCCGGAACGAGGTTTACCCCTCCTTGTCCAGCGAAGAATTCCGAAAACAGTTGTACGCTTACAAATCTTTTGATTCCCGGGTGGCTACCTTTATCCTACTCCAGGATGACATCCGTTGGAGCACCAGAGCTCGGGCTTTCCACCTTTGGTGCGGTGTCAACGATAAGCAGCCCCTCTTCGATCAACAGTACCTCCAACTCCGAAGCACCTTTGAAGCAGAGACTGCTGATGAATCAACCAAGCCAGGTGCCCACGCTCGTCTGAACACCGCTTGCGAACGTCTCCTCCGGGACCTTTTTCGAAAGCGCGGGTTTGACCACGAACCTGCTGTCTCCTTTGCTGAACAAGAGGAGGAACTCCGTTTCCGGTTCAAAGATTACCACACCGCTTTCTCTATCGAGACACTACGTGCGTACCTCTCTGCTCTGAGCACCGCTCTGACCTCCTCACCTCTGCCGGTTCTCTCTCGGTGTCTCCAGTTGCAGAAGCTCGCTCCGACTCACCTGGGCACCGCCCTCGGACGCGAGATCCCTCGTGACAACACTCGTTGGCTGAGCCTTGGCATGGACTCCGACCCTGAGCGTGACCATCAAGTTGCCACGGAGCTCATCCAGCCCCTCGCCAAGATGATCACCCAACATGTCCAACGACTTGACGATCTCAATGATGAGGCTCTTCTGAGATGGCGACAGCACACGGTATCTTTCGAAGACGTGTGGATGTGGGTCGAGCCTTCCGCCCCACCTGAGCCTTCCACGCCTGAACCTGACAAAGTCGTCGTTCACGTTGCGGGACGTGGTCGTTCCACCAGGAAGCCTGCCGACGGCCCTGTCTCAACTGAGACTGTGCAGAAACCCACAATCCGTGCCTCGGATGCCTCAACCTCCTGGGCAGCTGACAAGGCTCCTTGTGTTTTCTGTGGTTCCACTGCCCATGCACTGGTCAACTGCGATGACTCCGAAGGCAGCCCCTTGGTCAAGGCCAAGTACCTTGGCAGCTTCAAGTCTTTCACCCGACTTGGCTACCAGGGTTTTGAAAAGTATCTATCGCCTGTTGATGCTGACTTCCCTCTAAAACAGAGCGCTCTCTACACTTCCTGGAAGCAGAAGGAATGGTCGAATCCGCTTATGGAGCCTAGACTTCGAACTTTCAATGCGCAGTGGCGTCCTGCCCTAGCTGGCCGCGTAAATGCCGTTGAATTTGTACACGTTGAAGACCCAGGCGGGCCTTTGGATAACAGCTATGACTCTGACTCATCTGCGTCTGGTTATGACTTCCAGGACCTTCTCCAACCCGGCACGTTCAGTGTCTGTCTAGGAGGGGTGCCTCGAGATCTTCTGTCTGATACGTTTTCCTCCTACGACGAGCCTCGCACTATCATTGACTCCACTGACTCCCAGCTTGAGCTCACGAAAGAGGCAATCCACCAGCACATTCTCCAGATGGCAAAACAGCCCACACCCCTCCCCGTCACTTACGCAATTGATGCGCCTGTGTCAGGCTCCTACAGTGGCAACATGAAGCGCCTTGTGGCACACCCAGCCTTCATGCAGCTCGTAGCTCGCTTAACTGCTCCCCCGGGCACGTTCAAAGCCTCCACGCTTGAAGCGGGTTTTGTAGGTGCTGTTATGGCCCCGTCTTCCCCAGTTGCCGGCCGTGTCTACTTTGTTGATGCGGTCCAGCGATTGCTCAACAAGTACAACGTAGTATTGCCTACGAAGCTTTACGAGTGTTTCGCTACAGTCCGAAATGACCTCATGGAGCCCGCTTACGCCACCGAAGGCGATCCTCGCCGACAGTCTCTCAAGACCAACATCAACGCCTTGAAAACTGTTGTCGACAGCAAGCACCCTGACAGACCAGTGGCTCCGTTGCCGCGACGCAGCCCCCGTCGTGATGTCCGTGAAGACATGCCCCCGCCTGCTTTGCCTCAAGCGACAAAACGTGGTGCCGCTTCTTCTACGGTATCTTCCGCTGCTCCCCCCACTGCTAAGCGAACCAAGGCTGTAGCCAATCCCTCCTCAGTGGGGCCGACTGACTCCGCATCCTCCACGGGCGCTGTTGTTGACGTCCCCAGCTCTCGTGTGGCTGTTCACCCCCCCCGTCTGGGTGATAACCACTACGTGAGCCCTGGAACCCGTGTCACCAACCACATCCACGATGCCTCTGCCGTTGCGGAGAATGCACCCTTAAAAGATTACAAGGATGCTCTGGACCGCCTCCCGTCTGACCTAGAGGACTCCAAGGCTCTCTTCACCAGAGATCATCCTCGTTACGACAATGCCTTGCTGAAGGCTGGGCGTCTCCCTCTCTTCAAGCTTGAGGCCATTCATGCTCTGCCGGAATCGGAAAAAGCAGACTTGTTTGAGCGCATCCTCAAGGCGTCGGATGTTGATGGCCTCGTTCTTTTTGAGCTTCTCCAGGTGTGCCCTGACCTCACAAAGTACATTTGGAAGAACTTCCGTCACCAGCGGCACCGGCTTGCGGGTCCTGACATCCAAGCCATCGCTCTTGAGCTCGGGGACGATCTCATGGAGTGTGCCATGGATCTTGCGCTCAACGTGATTTCGTCCACACCGTATGAGCTCAACTCTGGCACCTTCGGTCGTCTTCAGGAGGTTTTCACCACCATTGACCGTCAGCTGTACGACGACAAAGTTGGTAGGCCACTCTCGCCCCACTTCACCGACAACATTGCTCTTTTCGACCAACAGACCAGCGCCCTTTTTGACAGTGGCTCGTCTAACAACGTCATCGACACTGATTTCTTTGCCCTTGTACTCGCGAAGGCTGGTGTCACCCCTGACCGGGTGATTGTTTTTTCTGACGGACAGTCCCACGCCACAGTCGCAAACGGAGCCAAGGTAAAAGTTGATTTCTGGGCGCTTCTCCCTGTCACTTTCCTGGGTGTCGTTACTCTTGAAACATTTTGTGTCATGAAGTGCAGCATGAAGTGTATTCTCGGCACCGGATACATCAGCAAACTGCGCATTTCGTTCGACCATGATCGTTACCGTGTCGCTTCAGTGGAGAACCCTGGTAACCCTGGCGTCCGGTGCTACCCTAGTGACAGACCTTCAGCTGGCCTTGTTGCTCACCTTGGGTTGCTTGACCGTCTTGTGAGGCCCGGCCGCCGGCCTGTGCCTGCGTTTCCTGCTGCCAAGCTGTCTCGCCAAAACGTCATGGCACACGTTCGACCCACTCCCTCACTCTGTGGTGATGTTGATGAAGCAACAAATCTCCTTGACGCCTCATCTCTCGGAGGGCCTCAGCCTGGATCTTACTCCCACCGTTCTGAAACAGCGGCAGGCTGTTTTGCCATATCCTTTGCTGATGACTGTGAGTCTGCCGGCCCGCCTTCGAGCGCTGCCACCGCCATTCTCAAGGCTCTAGCGTCCAGCTCCGGCCCTGATCCCCTTGGCATTCCCCCTCGTGATGACCCTGACGAGTCTTACTCCTCATCACCTGGGCACCACGGTGATGTCTCTGGCGAGCCCAACTCCTCATCACCTGGGCACACCTCCGCTCCCGTCGACGGTACGCTTGGACCTTTACTGCCTACCGATGCCTCATCTGTGGATGACTCCAACGAGCTCTGCTCCTCCTCTTCAGGCTCGGAAGCCCCGTCGGAAGCCCC